GCTGGAGGGGGGTGCAGGACATGGACAGCTGTGGGCTGGTGTGGCAGGCGGGGTCCTGCCCCAGAACAGGTGAAGTCAGCGGGGGGGGGGGGGGGTGGGCGCGGGCCGGCAGCGGAGGGTCCCCTGGGTTTTCAAGAGTAAAAGAGAAGACCGTGCAGAGACTTCTCAGCACATGGTGGCTTAACTCCATGACTGGGATGGTTTGAGCTCCCTGTTTCCTCAGACGGGACCTGGCAAAAGGAGTGAGGAGAAGACACAGCTGTGAAAGGGTGTCCCTATTCAGGCTGGGTGGGCAGCACTGTGGGAAAATGTGGTGGAAAGGACACAAAAAACAGGGACTGGGAGGAGAAGTATTGTGGGGACACCCCAGATGAGATAATGAGTTGATGTTGGAAAAAGTCTCTCTGGGCAGAGAGAGGGGTCTTTTCAGAGGAAAAAAAAAATCTTGCCTGGCTGATTTGGGAGGAGATAGAGGATAAAACAGTAAAAATAATAACAATTATAAGCCCTTATATGTACATAGCATGACAGAGTTATAAAGCAGTTTTTTTTTTTTGTCTTTTTGATCCTCTTAAACCCCTAGAGGGTAGTCATTCTTTCATTGTACATACAGTAAACACGATGCATTTGTTGTGGGCCAAAAAAGTGAGGCTCAGAGATTTGTGACAACTTTCCTGAGATCATATAGTGGGTTTGTTTTAGTTAGGCAGGACTCAAACTCTGTCCTGGTTCTCTGTTCTCTCCACACCCTTTTCTTTCTTCTGTTGTAACTGTAAGGAATGAGGTCCTAGGGGTAGTAACTTGACTCTGCAGGGAAATGACAGTAGGGACACAAGAACATAAGGGACCTAAGGAACCTGGCATTGTGGACTTGTGATGCCCTTAATAGTATTTGTACTCACGATTCCCCACACTTTGGAAAGGTTGGTTGTTCACTTAAGCACACGCGTGTGCCAGTCTCATTGACAGAGCAGGACTGGTGAGAAAAAGACAGGAATGCAGGTATGGGGCCTGGGAAAAGGAAGCTCCTCTTTTCAATAGTGATGATGGCAGCAGAACGTTAGTGGAGGCAGGTGGGTGGCGGTGAGAACCTGGCTTCCCTGGAAGGTTTTTTCTCCCATAACAGCTTTATTGAGATATAATTCACATACCATAAAATTCACTCTTGGAAGATTTTAATGGACTAGACTTAGGCAATGACCACACAGGGCAGTGACGGGCCACTCTGAATACAATCTAAAGAGCTGATGCAGTCCCAGGAAGACTCTTGAATGCCATTCTCTGCCCTCGTCCGGACCCAGAGTTTGGAATCCTATCTGGGGTGCTTTGCTTCCTGGAGTGTTTCTTTCTCATCAGACACTCTCCCTGGGAACTGGAGCTCTGAACTGCTCTTTCCTGCAGTTTGTAAAGAAGGTTGAGGGTGGAGAAAATCCCACTCTATTGGTAAAGTCTCTGGAACACCTCTACCCTGAAAGGTCACCCTTCTTGGTTGCCCCAGAGGCTTGTAGGAGGGGCTGGGGCTTCTAAAACCAAAACTTTCACTTCACATGTCAGTGATTCTGCATCGTCATATCTGCAGCAAAATTGACCTGCAGGGCTTTCCCGGAAGGGCTGCAGCTTTCTTTATACAGCCTCATCTGCTCACTTTTGCGGGGTAGGCTTCTGTTGAGCAGGGGGACTGTTTGGTATTGTCATAAGCCCTCCTCCCCTACACACACATGTGCCCCCTTTCCTCTCTTTGCTCCCTTCTGAGGTGACCTGACTTTGGAAGTGTAGTTGTAGTGAAGGGCTCCTGCAGGGTTACTGACTTCTCAGTTTCGGGTGCATCCTGCCACCTGCCCCTCCTCCCTGTGCTGCTTCCTAGGCCAGCCCCGAAGTCTGGTGTGGGACAGGGAGAAAGTCCTGGCGGGACACGGCTGAGGAGTGCCCTTTGGAGTGGCTCCCACTTGTTCCCTGGAGGCTGGGCTCTGGCTGCATGGTGGCAGGCTCTTCTAGGAATGTGCTCCCCAGCTGCGTTTTCTGGTTGGTTGGAAACATCCCTGGGCTGGTCTGTCCTAGCTCTTAGGGGCTTGTGCTGGGCTGGCCCAAGGCCAGTTGCAGGGGCTGGGCCCTTAGGGAAGTCAGGATGGCCACAGGCCTGCAGAGGAACCTGGCAGCAGTGGGCACTGGAGACCAGGTGGCTTTGCTTTTGCTTCCCTCATTTGGATGAGTTGTCAGTGGAAGGGAAGAAATCAGGCAAATGAAAAAAGCAGAAAGGCTGTACGCTGAGCCCCTGCCAGGAGTCCTGAGAGTCTAGCCTCTCCTTGGGAGGCCTGCATCCCTGAGCACCCCAGTCCCTCAATTGCCCACTGGCTTCTTCAGTGGGAGGAGCAGAGTCGTGACAAATGATTGGCTTGCCCTGTGATCTTGTGCAAGCCACTTAACCTCTCTGAACCTCAGTGTTCTCATCCTTAGAATGAGAGGGATAAAACTCTCACATGCAGGATGGTTAAGTAGGCTGCATGAAGAAACAATATTGTCTAGTGAGTGTTAAATCCATCCGGTAGCCTGGGCTTTTCTTTGCAGAGAGTGATTTCCCTGGTTCCCCTATTCACTTTTTTTTTTTTTTGAGGCAGAGTCTCTGTCACCCTGTCTAGAGTGCAGTGGCATCATCACTGCAACCTCAAACTCTGGGGTTCAAGTGATCCTTCTGCCTCAGCCTCCCAAGTAGCTGGGACTATAGGTGTACCACCATGTCTGGCGAATTTTTAAAAATTTGTTTTAGAGACAGAGTCTTGCTATGTTGCTCAGGCTAGTCTTGAACTCCTGGCCTGAAGTGATCCTCCTGCCTCAGCCTCCCAGAGTGCTAGGATTGCAGGCATGAGCCACCATGCCCCAGGCTCCCCTATTCACTTTTTTACAATCACAGAATCGTGGCTCTTAAACTGGGGGTTTCAAGAGGTCATCTGGTCCAGTCCTCTGGCATAATTATCTATATTTTGCAGATAAGACTGTTTTAAGTGCTCATTACTTTGACATGTCTGTCATAACATGGTGCAAATAAGCCCTTTTCCTCTTGGTGATGTGTGACCTCCAGGTGCACACAGGTGCTCTGGCCAGCAGAGAGGTGGAAGAGGATGGGAGAGCCATGCCCCTTATGACCAATTATGAGTTTTGCAGGGTTTCTAGGCAGAAGGTTTGAGCATTACCCGTCTCATCCCCTCCCCACCCTGGCTCTGCAGGCTCAGTGGGAGAAAGTGAGGGATGCATCTGGTTCTCAGGACTGGCCATAGGGGGAAAGTGACTGCCAGAACACAGTGATAGTCTTCAGTGGTCTTTCTTTCAAAGGAAACTCTCCTTCTGACCCATCTCCTTGAAGAACAACAACAAAATACACCAGAAAACACAGAAGGAAGAACAGGGCTCCCCACCCTGGATTTTCCCTTGGCTCTGGAGCCTCATTGAATGTGGGGCCAGCAAGAACCTCCTGAGCTGCAAAAATGTTTCCCATCTTCCTACCAGTCAGGCAAGGAGACAACAGGGTTTGGACCAGAGAATTGATCAGGGGAAAATGGGGGGATGGAATGAAAAGCTGCCCAACTGTGGCCTGAGTTGCTAGGATTAAACTCAGGAGGCTTTCATCACCTAAGTAATGGAGCTTTAATAGGGGTCCTTTATAGGGGCCTGGGCCAGCTTCTCAATAGCCTTTACACACACTAGGATGCTAGTGAGCCAAAAAGTGAAACTTGGGGAGGCTGTTAATAAAGTATCTTGGAGAGAATTGTGCATGATTTACCGTATCCAAAACCAGAGAGAGTTTTCTTTGTGGAAGAAAGCGACTTGTGCCCTCCCAACATCACACGCACACTTTCCTGGCAGGCTCGATGGGTTTCCAAACATTTCGTCACCGTCTCCTCCTGACCTTGGTGTGAAAGGAACAAGCCGCGTGGCCTGTTGGTTCCAGCAAAGCCATCGGGGGCGCGGGCCTGGGCTGGGGGAGGGTGGCGACCGACTCGAGTGGAGGTGAGGTCTGCTGGAAATCCCCAGCCCCGGCAGCCGCCTGAGGTTTAAAGACGCCTTCCTCGGCCTTATTTGGTCGCAGGAAGTGGGCGGCGCCAGGCCTGCTGGCGGAGAGGCCGACCCGAGACAGTTGTGCTGATGAAGTGGTAGAGCTGGTTTCTGCTCGCCGCGGTGCCGTGCGCGCCGGCCGGCCGCTGGGCGCTCCGCGCTCCCAGCCTCGAGTTGTGCAATCCTTTGTAGCTCGCCAGAGAGTCCTCCTCCTTCGCTGTTGCCTCTCGCCCTCTCTCTCTCTCTTTTTTTTTCAAGCTGTGAGCTCAACCGATGAGTCAGAGCCGTGCAATCCTGACACTGCATCGCAGGACTGGGGGTGACACGGAGGGAGGGAGAGCGCTCGCGAGGCGGACAGCACGGGCGTGGGGCGCGCCGAGGATCCTGCGCCGCGAGCGGGGGGTGACAGCCCGCACGTCCCGCCCGGGCCCTGCCAGCAAACTTCCCAGCCTCGGGAGGCGCGGGCTGGCGGAAGCCCCGCGAGCGCCGCGGGGAGGCGACGGCGCCTGTTTGTTTTTAAAATCGGGGAGTGAGTGCAGGCGGCTGGAGTCCCGGAGGCGACCGAAGGCGGCGGCCCGTGGAGGAAGGGGGACAGCCGAGGCAGGAGCTCGGGCAGCAGCGGGGTAAGTGGGGCTGCCGAGCCCGCGGCTGAGGCCTGCACGCGGCGGGGGCGGCGAGGGGACACGGGGCGGCGCGCAAGCAGTGGCCGCTCGCCTGGCGGGCTGCAGCTCTGCATGCGCGGCCCGGAGCGGGGGTGCAGGGCCGTGGGGGCCGCCGCGCGCGAACTTCTGCGGCCTGGGCGGCCTTGGGAGCGGGTGCGTGTGGACATGCGGTGGCCGCCTGCAAACCCCCCTCCGGGGCTCGCACCCTCCGCCCGCAGCGGCGTGTGCAGCGCAGCCCCGCGGTGTTTGTGCAGCTACGCAGCTCGCGCGCGGCCCCCGCCCACCCGGGCGCGGCCCGGGCAGGAAAACCCTCCCAACCCGCCGGGCCCACGGCGGCAGCGACGGGGGCTTAGGAATCGGCTGCTCCTCCTCCGCCAGAGCGAAACGTGGTGTCCGCAGGGACCCGCTGGCGTGACGGAGCCCAGGCCTGGGAGGCGCGGCGAGGGGCTCGCGAGCTGCGGGAACTTGGCGCAGGAGCCCCTTCCTCTCCCAGCGTGCACGGGGAAAGTGGGCATGCACATTGTGTCCGCGCCAGGAGTTTGGGGGACAGAGGTGCAGGGGCGGCAGGGAACTGGGGCAAGTGCAGTCGAGGCCTAGGTTGGAGCGTCTCGCGCGGGCGGCAGGCGGGCTAGCGTAGAGTCGCCTCGCCCCGCGCACCCCGGCGCTGCTGGCACACCTCAGACCTGTCATCCGCCTCGCCCGCCCCCGCACGCCCGCGCTGCTGTGGCCAGCCTGGCCTCGCCGGTGCAGTCATCCGCGGTACCTGTGCGCAACGCTGGAACTCAGGGTTTGCCTGGGCTCTGCATATGGCCGGCTTGGTGGAGCTGGTCACATCCTCCTCTCAAGTCGCACATGCAGGAGCGTGTGCTCCGGGTTGCACCTCTGAGGGCCCGCACCCAGGCCTCTGGGTAAAGGCTGTGGGAAGCAGGGGAACCTGGTGTGTCCTGAGGCTTTCAAGCTTCCATCCCACAGCAGGTAGACCTGGAGGAGGTACCTGCCACCCAAAGTGTAGGCCACGGTTTTCCCAGCCTAGCCTCCAGTGAGAGCAGCTGGAAAGATGAAAGGGGAAGTTCCGTGCCCCATTTAAAACTTTGTTGGTCACAACTTCGGTGGCTTCTTCCTGTTTCCACCATCCCACGTGGGCCCTGTGTGCTAGCCATGGAACCTCGCTTAGGGGGTAGCAGGAAGGGGGAAGAGCTGGCTGGCCCTGGCTGGCCAGGAGGCCTCTGTGGCACGTGTGTGCGGGGAATCCCTGTTGGCAGCTGTGGTTGGGGGAGCAGAGGTCTGGCTCACCCCAACAGGGGGAGCCTGGCCTGGAGGTCTGGGCTGTCCTTGTCCCCTGTAGCATCAGGATTGAGACTGGAGGCCTGGTGGGGGTGGAAGGAGAACTGAAGCTCTGAGGAGAAGCCAGTCTTCCCCAGGGATCCTTGGCTGAGGGGAGACACCACTTGTCTTGCTGCAGAGCCTCCCAGGGAAAGTGTGGCACATGCCCCTTTAGGATCAGAGAGTTGCACCCTTTCCACAGGTGTTACATGATTTCGGGACCAAGAGGAGAGGAGAAACCTTCTCAGGTGGACAGTTTATGAGTCCTCTTTTTCCTACTACACTGAATAGTGAATAACAGAGGTATAAGCATTCAATTACCTTGATGAACCATCTCATTGCATGGCCCTGGTCCAGTCTCCACTGTAATTGAATTGGCCTCTGGCTGGTTACTCTGGTCTGTGTCACTCCCAGGGGACAAAGGGGTAAAGAACCTGGAGGAAGCCCCCAGGTCATACAGCTTGCTCTGGAACAGGCTACCCACTGCCAGTGTGACTTCTCCAAGTGCTAGTCGAGCCCGTGCTCCCCATAGCTCTGTCAGTCTCTCACCCCACCCCAGGAAATAGTGCCCTGGAGTGCCCACAGGGATGAAACTTAACTTTTAAACAGGGGACTTAAAAATAGCCTCAGTCTTTGACCTTGTGGGCTGCTGCTTTCAATAAATGGGAAAAAAAAAGAAAAGACAACATGCAGTTACTGACTCAGCTGAGAGCCTCCTGTGGCCATAGAACCAAGACCTCTGGGAGAAGACAAGAAGGGGAATGGGCCCAGTCCAGGAATCTGTGGCCTTGATAGCCCCTCTCCTACAGTTGGGTCTCCCAGAAGAAAACCTTACCCATGGTGGGGATGGGGACAGCCTCAAGTGACTGGGAGATTCCTGCTTATCCTTCTAGTTCTATTTCGGATGCCACTTCTGAAGGTCTTAGCCGCCCTCTGAGCACTCATTTGCATCATATGTAGTTATTTGTGCACATGCTGCAGCATGGTGGTCAGAAACATAGACTCAGAGCTGGGCTCTATACAGTATCTCCTTCATAGAGTTGCTGCGGGGGTTCTGTTGATATGCTTAAAATGCTTAAAGCATGTTTCAGTATTACAGTAGCCTCTGCTCTCCTGTAAGCTTTGTGGTGTTCCCTCAATGCCTGGCACCTATAAGAGTTTAGTGCATGTTAGTTGAACAAATGAGTGAAAGATCTCCATCAAAACAATGTGGATTTGGCATGTGTTGGGTCCAGTGAGTCCCTGCTGCTGGGACCTCCTCACACTGCACCATTGGTTGCCAAAGGGTCAGTCCACCATGGGTAATTCTACTGCTGGTGAACCTAGTTCTCTGGCACTGCCCTGTAGCTGGCCTTGGAGTACATGTCCCGGTCATCTTGATCTGAACCCAAGGGGACCTCAGGATGAAAGAGTTGTGGAGCCACCTGCCTGGGAATCTGCTAACCTGGGCATTTCCTTTGGCCAAGGCAAGGCTGGCACCCTTCCTGTGTGTGCAGGCGTGCATCTGTCCAGAAGCAGCCTCACGAGCTGGGTTCTTCCCTGACTCACTGCAGGCTTCAGGAAGTGTAGCCAGTGGTTGCATTCTGTTGGAGGGGTTGCTTCTGCACGGTAGAACTCTGACTCCGAATGAGATTGCGTGCTGGGCTGGGGCTAGGTGGAGTATGCTGAAATCCACAGTTCTTACTAAGGGATTTGCATTTGCATTCGAAGCAACATTCAGGATACCGTGAGACTGTGAGCTCATTTTATGAATCAGAAAGCATTACAGCATAACTTTGGTGTTGGAAACTGCTATTTGGAATCTAGATCACCCTCCCTCCACCCCAGTACACATGGGCCCTCACAGTCACACACTTGGGAGCAATAACAATCAGTGGGGGCATCAATTCGGATTCCAGAGCCATCAAGCAAAACTCATCCACACCCACTTCCTCCCCCACACTCAAAACACCATTCCTGGATGGTGTGTGGACAGTCACCCGGGCAGTGACTGAAGGAAGCCTGGTGGGTACGTGGGAATGAGGCCTGGGCAGGCCCGGGTTCATACTCCAGCTTCTTCACTTGCAGTGTGGCTTTGGGCATTGCTTAACTAACTTCCTGGGCCTCAGTTTCCTCATTCTTAAAATGGGGACAATGATAGCACTTCATAGGCTGTGAAAGTTAAACAAGACTATGTGTGCAAAGTGACTGGCACATATTAGGTACTCAACAGATGGTAGCTGTCATTTTACCAGTTCCCACTAGGTCCAGCTCCTGTTCGCGTTTTGCTCCTACCAGGAAGAGAAAATGAAGAATGAGGGCCTGTGGTAGGAAAGCAGTCTCCCAGGCCATTGGGGCTTATGTAAATGAAGCTCATTTTCTAAGTCCCTAGGCCGTGGGCACAACTGTGTGGTCCACTCCCCCCAGACCAGCTGAGACCCTGGTGCCTGTGTGCCTCTGAGAGGGACTCTGTCTCTGCAGCTGAGGGATCAAGGGCTCAGCTTCCCAGAGATCTGATTGTGCTCTCAGGAACCTACCCACCCAGGCCCCAGGCTGAACTGCTCACGTGGGCGGGAGGAAGGCCGCTCTCTCAGCCAAGAAAAAGTCCCCTTGTTTTTGCTTCACCTGAAGCCTCACAGTGTGACCTTCATAGAGGTTTGGGTGGAGCTAGGGGTGGGAGTTGTTCCTCCAAAGACCACTTTGGCTCTTTCACCAATTATAATTAGGAGCAGGACGACGGGAGCACGAAGATATTATATAAGAAGAAAATTGCCACATGTCAGGAAAGAGCTGAGGTTTTGCAGGGGTGGAGACGGGGGTCTCCCAGAGGGAAGCCATTGCTGGAGGAGGGGCGCTGGGGGCTGGAGGCTTCCCTGGCAGTCGTTCTTTCTCTTGCTCTTCCTGGAATGCAGCCCGGCACTGTGGCCAGCCAGGGAAGGTGCTCCCCGTTCCCTCTGCCTTTCTCCTAGCCGCAGGGAGCTCATCGTGAGAGTGTTTTTTCCAGGCAGTGCTTCTTCCTCCAGGAGTCCCTGGAAGGGGGGGAGCCAGGGCAAGGTTTATCCGTGTTAAAGCTCAGAGAGGGGGAAGTATTCTGGGCTTGCAGCCAGAAGGGGGTTCCCTCCGAGGCCACCCAACTTCTCTGGGGAAGTGAGGTCCAGAAAGGAAAGCAAATGGTGAGGGATTTCGATCCCCAGCTTTTCCCAGTAGTTGGGCAGAGGCCCCAGTGCAGCCTGCTGTTGCCAGAACTTGCCAGGTCTTTGGAGAGAAAGGCCCCTCAGAGCTGAGAAAGGGGCTTAAGTGAGAGTGTATGTGTGCTGGCCCTCCATCCTCCACCTCCTCCTCCCAGCTGCTGGCTGCTCCTGGGACCAGTGCCTGGCTGCCGCTCAGATCCCCCTCCACACCTGACCTTGCTCTGTCTGAAGCCCCAGCTGGCCCCGGGTCAGAGTCCTGGGCTCCTGGGAGTCATCCCAGAGCTGGGAAAGCGTTTGGGACATCTAGTCCAACTCCTTCATTTTCAAATGGGGAAGCTGAGAGGGTGAGTTGCTTGAGGTTCCCGTAGACTGTCTCCACTTTCGCCTTGGGAGGGTGGGAAGAGGGGCTGCCCCTGAGTCCTGCCCCTTGGAAGTTGGGAGGGCTGCTTCCGTGCAGGAAGAGTCCAGAGGAATACTGTCTTGGTGCCTGGGTGTGGCTCAGTCCTCAGCTGGCTCCATAGTTATTTATTTGTCTGTTTGCGTGTGCGAGTGAGTTCTGTGGTTGGGAGGCTGCGTCTGAGTGAAAGCAGAAGTCCCCTCACTATGTCAGCTATGCAGCATGCAGAGTGGGCCTTACAGGGCCAGCCTGGAGAGAAAGAAAGGGGGCAGAGGCCCTTCTGCACAATGGCTGTTGGTGCACATTCAGTCCCTGTCTCGGTGCTTGCACACTTGCATGTAAACAGCCCTTCCACGTTGCTAGCAGCTGCTTTTCCTTGCTGGCTTTAGGCAGAAGTGCCAAAAATAACCAGGCAGGCACTTCCACTTGTGGGACATTCACTGTGGTGGCCTCTGAGCAGGCTTGCTTGCTTTCTGCAGGCCCCAGTGTCTGCTGAGTCCCTGCTCCTGCTTCCTGTGGCCACCCTTCCCCAGCCTCCCTCAGGCCATGGTGCCCTCCCTTTTATTGCTCTTCTTAGAATGAGCCCAAGAGGGTGGCTCATCCTTGTGGGCCTGGAAGCTCTGCCAGGTATTCTCAAGGAAATACTCGACCTACTGTGTCCCTACAGGCCCTGCTGGCACAGCTAAGCCCAGAGGAGGCCTGTGCTGGGTGCCCTCCGGACTTGCTTGCCAGAACTCTCTGTCCTGGGTCCCTAGGCCAGAGGCCCTGTGTGCCTGCAGAGCCTGACACTGTTGCTAAGACTCTGAGTCTCCTTGCCCTGCTCCTGCCCAGCCAGCCCTGCTCTCAGGCAGCTGTGGAACTGGAAGAGTCAGGCCATTCATTTCCTCCAAGGTGTTAAAGACTGATAATGATGATGGAGCCACCCTTGCCGGCAAGGGGGAAAGGAAATCCCATCTACTGAGCATGCTTACTTTGTGCCAGGCACTTCATCTATGTATGACCTCATTGAATCCCGTAATAACTGTAAGAGGAAGATGTTGTACCCATGCACCGATGAGGAGCCTGAGGCTCGCAGAGTGGTGAGTGGAGAAGCTGGCACACATTCTGTCTGGCCCTTTTCACCAGGCTGCTTGCACCCTTCTCTGGCTGTTCGGGTGCAGAGGGAACGATGCTTGAACCCTTAGAATGAAGTGCTGATGGTAGAACACCATTAGTCTGGCTGATAGGGGAGATATTTGGGGCTGGGAAGGGTGGGGAAGACCCCACCTTTAGCCTCCCTTTCTAGATGCTTCACAGAGCAGCCAGAAGCCCATCCTTGAGCCCCGAGGCCCTGCTGTGGAAGGCTTAGCTGTGGACCCGGGGATTGCTGCACCAGTCCCGCATGCACGGGAGGAGTGGAAAGGCTTAATTTGGGCCTCCCAGGGACCCTCCAAGTGTCTCCTCCTCCTCAAATGCATCCCAGCCTCTGAACAGCTCCGGGACCACAGGCTGGGCCTTGGTGGGTTCCTGGGTCTCCCTTCCTGGCTGCTGGGTCTCACCCCCGGGGCCCATCACTCCAGCTGGCTTGGCCCAGGTCCCAGAGAGCCTAGCTGGTGTGTACTTGGGGCTTGGGCTGGATGCTCTGCCGGTGCCCTGTGCACTGTGCCAAAGGCCTCTGGGTGTATTTCAGGAACAATAAAGAATAAATCAACAGGAGAAAAGGCCCTGCAGCAGCTGCTCAGAGACTGGAGAAATGCAAGGAATGTGTGAGCATTTGGCAAAAGTCCTGCATCTTGACCGGGGCCTGAGAAAGGGCGTGGCGCCCTCTCTGAACCCACTCTTCAGCCCTTCAGGAGGCCCCAGGCAGCCATGCCGAGACCTCTCTCTGCTGGTGGCAAGTTTCTGTGCTGCTTGCTCCCTAGCAGGTATTGGGGAGCCATATTGCCCCCATTCTTCACTCTCACCCCACAGTGGCAGGCACTGGCCCTGCCTCCCTTCTTCTGGTCACCAAGTGGGTCTTGGCCTTTTCCAGTGCTGGCCAGACAAGTAGCCTTGACACACACACCAGACCCTCTGCTCCACCTCCCTGCTGGGGAGGAGATGAGCCCGACAAATGTCAAGGACCTGGTAATGCCAGATCTGAGGGGTGTTCGGTGTTAGAACGCTACCTGGGAGGCCTGACCACTGCTCTCCCCAAGTAGTCAGCCATGTGTCCTTAGGCAAGTCACTTTACCTTTCAGGGCTTCAGTCTTAGCCACAAAATAGAGATTTAGACCAGTGATCGCAGGATGTGTGATGAACAGCTTTTATTTAGGAAGTCATAATAAATTCTTGGGAGAAGAAGTCCTCTGAGAGCCCCAGGTGGAGAGATGAGTGGCTATGGCCCGGAGCTGATGCCCAGTGTCCTGAGTGGGGGACACTGGCACTAATAGGAACCCATGCATGTTGTTGAGCTGACCCAGACTTCAGGGTGCCAGGAGAAGGGACAGAAGGCTGGCCCCATGGGGTTTCGGGGCATCTGACAAGTAGGGGAGAGTCAAGGCTTTATTTTTAAAAAGCTGTCGGCCAACCGTGGGCGTGGGGTTGGAGGGTGTGGGAGGGGTGTGGCTTCCTCTTGGATAGAAGATGTTGAGCCTTCCACAGGTTGGGCTCATGGTGGTAATCACCTGTAGCCTCTTCATCTTCAAAACGACTCACCTGGCCGGGCGGGGTGGCTCATGCCTGTAACCTAGCACTCTGGGAGGCTGAGGCAGGCAGATCATTTGAGCTTAGGAGTTCGAGACGAGCCTGAGTAAGAGTGAGAGCCCCGTCTCTACTAAAAAAAAAAAAGAAAGAAATTAGCTGGACAACTAAAAATATATAGAAAAAAATTAGCCAGGCATGGTGGCACGCATGCCTGTAGTCCCAGCTACTTGGGAGGTTGAGGCAGAAGGATCGCTTGAGCCCAGGAGTTTGAGGTTGCTTTGAGCTAGGCTGAAGCCATGGCACTCACTCTAGCCCGGGCAACAGAGTGAGACTGTGTCTCAAACAAAACAAAGCAAAACAAAAAAACTACTCACCTGCCAGGCCTCTCCCACCCACCCTACCCGACCAGCCACACTTCCAGAGCATCACGGTGGCTTTCAGGCCAGCTGAAAGCTGCTCTCCAGGGAAAAGCCCAGAGGTTGCTGCTGTCCTAGACAGCCTGGTGTGACATCCAAGCAGGAGGCTAAGCCTGAAACTCTAGGGGAGGAGGTTTATAGCGAGAGCTCTGGAGACAGGCAGGCCTGGGTCTTGCCTCTGTACTGCTGTGACTTTAGGCAGGTGATTTGACCCCTCAGATCTTTTTAGGTTCTTTGCTGAGAAAGGGGCAGAGTAATGATAACTACCTTGATGTGAGGATTAAACAGGATAATGTGTGTAGAGTGCTTAGCACTGTGCCTGGCACACAGTAGCACCCTCAAGAAATGTTAGATGTATTGATGAAGCCTTCTTTGAGTGATGTTGGGACTAACCTTGGCTCCAGGCTTTGTGCAGTGTCTTGCCAAGTGGCGCAGGGCCTGCCTAAATGAAGGGATTAGAGTCCTTAATTTTGGGGCCCTGCTGTGTGTCCTCAGACAAGTTTCCATCCTTCTCTGGACTGCTTTGTGGAAGGAGGATTTGTACTGGGTGGACACTGACGTCCCTTGGTATTGGGAATCTGTTCAGCTTTCCAGCTGGGCCCTGCTTTGCCAGTTGGCTCTGAAGAGAGGCCGAGCCCCCTTTCTCCATGTGGTGTGGAGGCTTTCATTGCAGAGCTTCCAACTCACCCTGCAGCTCCCCACACCTCAACACCCCGGGGGCTCTCCTGGCTCCCAGGAACTTTTACAGATGCCCCCAATCTGGGGCGGGGGGGGGGAGCTGTTTTGGCTGACCGTGGCTGGGGTTATTTTTTAAGAGGAGTGTTATATACCGTGCTCTGCTTGGAAATGTCCCCAGGAAGAACAGCAGCCCTCCAGTGTAGCATTCCTTCTGAGGCCCGAGAGTGTAGATTTGGGATTTTTCTGGGAGGGTGGTGGAAAGAGCAAGGTAAGAACTTTGAAGACAGAAACGATAAAGATTTGAATCTTGCTTCTGCCACTTTAATAGCAGAGCTTCAGTTTCCCTCTGTAGAAAGGGGGCAATAACAGGAGTCCATGGGAGGTTTGTAAGCATGGATTTTAGGATCCGTAAAGTGTTTGGCTGGGAAGGGCTCTATAAAAGGATCTGTCTTTTGGATATTTTGTAGACTGGCCATGGAAGTGGAAGTTTTGCCTGTGGCCAATGTCCCAAGGAACAGCAAGGCCACACAACAGGCGGATGGAGGCCTCAAAGGCCTCTCCATTCCCCAGCTGTTTCAATTCTGGGATCAAGCTTGAGGTCAGGTTCAGTGTGTGTCTGGTATAGGGTATGGGAGAGGGACATTTTCCGAATGCTACCCAGGCATTTGGAAAAGTCTGGCTAAGGAGGAAGGGACCTTTCTGAGCTAGGAGAGTTTGGCAAGTTATGTCTAACCTTTGTTTCCTGTAAATTTTCCAAATTTCCTTCTGTTATTGGTTTTTGATTGGAGAACATACTTTGTATTATTTTGATATTTTTAATTTATTGAGACTTGTTTTATGACCTATTTTCTGCTCTATTGTGGAGAATGTTCTAGGTGCTCTTGGGAAGAGCATGTATTCTGCTGTTGTTGGATGGAGTGTTCTATAGATATCTTGTAGTTCTCATTGGTTTATAATATTCAACCTTCTATTTCCTTGTCTATCTTGTTTAGTTGTACTGTTCATTATGGAAAGTAGACTGACTATTGAAGTCTTTAACCACTGATGTTGAATTATGTCTTCCTCTCTTTTTTTTTTTTTTTTTTTATAACAATGCTATGACTGTGCTAGTCCCCTCTTTAATTCTGACAGTTTTTGCTTCATGTATTTTGGGGGTCTGTGTCTATAACCGTTAGTCTCTTGATGGACACTTTTATCATTGTAAAATGTTCTTCTTTGTCTCTTGTAACCATTTTTGTCTTTTTTTTTTTTTGAGAGAGAGAGTCTCACTCTGTTGCCTGGGCTAGAGTGCCATGGAGTCAGCCTAGCTCACAGCAACCTCAAACTCCTGGGCTCAAGCAATCCTTCTGCCTCAGCCTCCGGAGTAGCTGGGAGTACAGGCATGTGCCACCATGCCTAGCTAATTTTTTTCTATGTATTTTTAGCTGGCCAATTAATTTATTTCTATTTTTAGTAGAGATGGGCGTCTCACTCTTGCTCAGGCTGGTTTCGAACTCCTGACCTTCAGTGATCCTCCCACCTGGGCCTCCCAGAGTGCTAGGAATATAGGCGTGAGCCACCTCGCCCAGCCCCATTTTTGTCTTAAAGGCTATTTTGTCTGATATTAGTATGCATTCCAGCTCTCTTTTTGGGTACTGTTTGCAATATCCAAAAGAGATGGTATTAATATCTCTTTTTCCATCCTTCCAACCTATTTGTGTCCTTTTTTTTAGACACGGGTTCCCGCTTTTGTCCAGGCTGGTCTTGAACTCCTGAGCTCAAGTGATGCTCCCACCTTGGCCTCCCAAAGCTATTTGTGTCCTTGCATGTAAAGTGTGTCTCTTGTAAACACCATGTAATTGGATCGTGTTTTTTTTTTTTTTAAATCCATTCTTCTAGCATTTGCCTTTTAATTAGCATGTTTAATACATTTACGTTTAAAGTAATTATTGATAAGTTAGGATTTGTGTCTGCCATTTTGCTAATTGATTTATCTTATATCTTTTTGTTTTTCTGTTCTTCTATTACTGCCTTCTTTTGTGTTAAATAGATTTTTGACATAGATATATCAGGAATAGATACTATTCCTGGCCTGTAAAATGAGACAAAGAAGAGTAAGGGTTAAATGAGATGCTGCCTGCAATGTACTTAGCACAGTGCCTGGCAGATAGCAAACATGGGCACTGGGCCTCAGGCGTGGAAAGAGCCACAGTCAGCCCTATGGCTAGCTGTGAGCAAAGTTCCCCCAGGGCTCTGTGGGACCCCTCATAGCTCCTGAACACAGCATTCTGGCAGGTAGTTCCTTTGGGGAGTAGGGAGTGGTGGGTCCTAGGAAACTTTACCATGCCAGGCCCTGACCCTCTAGCCTTTCCCCTGCCCCAGTGCCTGGACACTGCCTGGGCTGCTTATGAAACATCTCGGATTCCCCATTCTGCACCTCCCCTCCTCAGCCAGGCCCATGAACCATCTCTCAGGGTGAGTTTTACTGCACACATAGAAGTTTGAGAACCACTGCTCGAGGACGCTGACACAGAAGGGCAGCAGAGTGTGACACAGAGAGACCCGGTGTGGAGTTGGAGGCTTGAATTTGAATCCCGGCTCATCACTCATGAGCTGTGTGACCTGGGACAAGTTGCTTTTCAGAGCCAACCTTTCCTCATTTCTCTGTTGGGAATAAGTGGTTACACAAGTCAGCAATACCTCCCCCCCCACTGACACTGGGCATGCAAGTAGTACTGGTAGTGACTGCTTCGCGTGTCACTTGCTCTTTACAAAAGTACTCCTTTGGTTCCTGTATGCAGGTCTCATTCCACCCTAGGCTCTTAAGTTCCTCAAAGGTGGGAACCAGAGAGTGGTGGCTCCTGCACCAGACACCTGGTTACCTGACAAGCAGTCCACTGCCCTCTCCATTGGTGCAGAAACAGAAGGGAACTGAAGGAGCATTATGGGATAGTGGTATAATAGCGTGAAGATTCAGAAGGGTTGACAACAGTATGTGCTGGAGGGCTGCCTGGGGGAGGTAGACCTTGAAGCAAGGCACTTTGTCAGAGTGGAGGCAGGGCTTTCAGGCAGCACGGACAGCTTCAGGGAAGGCTGAAAGTCAGGGAGGTCCCCTGGGCTCTCCCGTTCCCAATGCTAACTCTAGCTATTGCATGGGCCACCTCTCGCTGTAATTAGCATGTTTCTCTGTCTTCCTCCCTCTGGCCTGGGAATGCTCTGAGGATTGAGGGGCCGGAACTGTGTCTTGTCTCCTGTGTCTCCCAGAGCCTGGCTTGAGGGCTGGATGAAAGGGCAGTAGGGCTGCAGGACTGCAGCGGCGTGGGGTGGGGGAGTAGGCTGTGTCTAGGGAGGCTCCTGTGAGGGGCCTCCTCTGTACCTTGGCCCAGTGCAGAGTCTGACACGGGGGCATTCTCAAGCTCAGCCTCCAGAGAGCCCTGCCCCAGGCTGCCTGGAAGGGGCTGAAGGAGCTGGAGCAGCCTCTGGTGGTGCCAGCCCCCTAGGGCATAGAGAGGGTTGTGAGGAGACAGGCCAGGGGCCACAGCGGTCCCCCATGAGGCCTTTGCCACACGCTCAGTCACTTGAGGACCTGGCAGCTGGGGCATTTGCTGCATCTCCTGTGGAGAGAGCCTAAACCTGCCAGCTGGGATTCCCAAGTCCTTTGGAGGGGGTTTTCCAGGGCTGCCTATGATGCTTTGTGGCCCTTGCTAGGAGGGAGACAGCCAGTCCTCCTAGTGTAGGCAGAAGCTGGCCTGGAGGCTTACTCCTTTCCTGGCTTGCCCATGACTCCGCGTTTCCTGTCTTTTAGTAGCTTTCCCCCTGCAAAACAGTCCTGGCTCTGCTGGCTTCCCAGGTGTTTGTGGGGCAGTGGGGGCGGGGATAGGGTAGGTGGCTGGATAGAGCCCTGAGAGTGCCTCATAAGCCCCGAAAGGATTCTCCTCGCATACATTTCCCTTTAAAAGCATCTCAATGTTGGCATTTTTACGTCTAAGTGCAACCTGCAGGCAGCTTGAACCCTGGCCAAGCTTCTGAGCCTGACCAGCCTGATGGCTGAGACCCTTGGGACTCATGTGTCCCTGGCCTGTTGGCCTGGGTGCTGCGTTTCAGAGCGGAAGTTCAGTCCAGAGAAGTGATGATCCAGGGCCTCTCTGGACTGGGAGTGAGAGGATCCTCGGGCTTCCTGCCTGCTCCCTGGGGAGATGACACTTGTGGGAGGCAGGTCCACCTCTTTTGCCTCCTTCCTTATTGGTTTGCAAATCCTTTGAGAACAGGGCCCATGTGTCCAGTAGCATGGAGAATGGGGGGCCCTCTGGCCTGCTTGTGAACTCCCAGTTGGTGGGGGGACATATAGCATTGCAGACAGCTGTTTTGTGTCCAGAGAGATTTGTCTAAGGCTTGGGCAACTCTAACTAGCCCAAGATGGCAGTTCCAGGCCACTTACTCAGTCTGGCTATAGCTGGAGACCGCAGAGTATCTGAGAGAGAGCTTTTCAGGATGTGAGCCCAGACTGTGGGGCCAGCTGGGCCATGCTGGGCTACTCTAGGGAGGGCCCTCATTATGGCCCCCTGGCATCCTGGCCAGACCTCGGTGACTTGAAGTCCAGCCATGTAAGAGCATGAGGTGAGCAGACCCATAGGCTTGTGTCCCTGGCCATGGTCTGGACAGGGGTGGGAAGCCTTAGGGAAGGAAAAGTGGGCTGGGGGCAGGAGTGGGGCTGGCACTTTCCCAGTTGGCCTGCATGTAGTGTGGGTTAGCGAGTTGCAAGTTGCAGTAAAGGGGCAGGGGGCTTGCAGGCCAGCAGTTAGAGAAGGACTTGTGTTCAGCTTAGCTGGAGAGGGCCTGGGGCTAGGGGGCGGGTGGGGTGGGGTCATGAGGCTGGGTCTGTTCACTTCATCTCAGCATCTCAGGGAGCTCTGACATGCATCAGGGAGAGAGACTGGAAGTCAGGACCAGGCAGGAGCCCGGGTTGGCAGCGCTGGCTGTGAGCAGTGCTTCTGCCCAGGCATGGCTCTGACTCACCTTGGGCTCAGTCTTGAATGAGTATCTCAAGAAGCAAATGCAAACCAAGTGCCAAGGTACAGCAGTCTGCAGACTCTGCCCCATGGAGCCTGTTGTCTGCTGGGGAGGAGGAAACAGGCACTTGGGATTTAGTGTGCTGAGCACAGTGTTGGGGGCTTAGGAGGTGTTAAGGGCTCATAGTGCAGTTCCTCTCTCAGCCTTGGGGTCAGGGAAGGTTTCCTGGAGGAAGCAGTGTCTGAGACCTGAAGGATGAGTGGGACTTGGCCCGATGAAAAGAGCAGAATGTCTCCTAGGCAGAGGTACCGCCTGATCAAAGACCCGTAGGCAAAGTGGGAACAGCATGTTGGAGGCCCCGACTATACGCTGAAGCATGCAGTGCCAAGAGGTGGCAGGAGCCAAAGTCTGCAGGGACTTGTGGGCAGGGTAGGGAGTTTAGACTTTGTCCTAAGACAGCCTCTCTGGTGTCCAGAGAACTGACCTGCCTGGAGATGCCACGTTTGGGTCTGTCTTGCTCTTGGAGTGGAGACGCATGTACTCTGGCTCCCCCTCTTCCTTGTGCTGAACTTGTGGGGCCTGGGGTGCCCCAGGTTGTGAAAGCAGGAAATTGGAGCATTAGCCTCTGAGGGCAGAGGTGTCCTCCAGTTGGCTGTCACCCCACTGAATGCCCCAAATGGGCTGGTGAGTGGCCCTGGCCCCTCAGTGGCCATGGGCTGGCCTCCTTGCTGTGGTGAGGCCTCACTGGACTCTCCTGGGGTCGGCCAGCCAATGTTGCACATGTGGCTGGGCTGCTGATGGCACTCGAGGAGCAGTGTGTGTTCAAACTGATGTCCCTGGAGAGCTGGTGTCACTGTCAGCACTGAACACCCAAAGGCCTTTCTAGCACCTTCCCCTCATGTGACTGCAAAACACATATGTGGGTTCAGTACTGTTTTCCTTTCTTGGTGCACACTGTTCTCTTCTGTAGAGAGAAAGTGCTTTCACCATAGTGCTTCCTGAAAGCCCCAGAGGTCCCAGGCCTTGGTATTGATTCTTGTCTTCAGTCCAGGGTCACCCATGGGTCTGGGCAAGGATGGGTCGCAGCCTGGAGGAAGGGAAGAATGAATAAAGCGTGACAATCAAACAGACAAACAGAGCAGGTTGCCGTGTTTGGGGCCCGTGGCGACTGTGGGTTTCCTTTCGCAGTGTTCCTGCATCTGTTGTCAGAGGCCCTGCAGCTGGTCCCCGGGGTGAGCTGCCTGCAGGAGTTCCTCATTACACACTCTCTTCCTTGCAGCCTTGGGTACTTGGCGCATAGGTCAGCATCCTTCAGGGCAGGTGGCTTCCTTCCTCTCCCTCATTGTGAAGAAGGGCAGTCTACTTCCACCTGAGAGACAGGGGAGTGGGGGTGGGGCAGAAGAAAGAGGAGGAAGTGGCTCAGTCCTGCCCCGAATTGCAGGCTGGGAGGTGCCAGTGGGGTCTCAGAGCTGGCAGCCCCGAGCAGCAAGGAGGACTGAGCCCCGCGTGGAGTTGCAGGGAGCTGAAGAGGCCAGGCTCAGAGGCTGGGGCCAAGGTGTCCAGTGCAGGAGGAACTATATCAGGCTCCCTGCAGGTGGACCGCACACACCTACTGGCACCTCGGTGGTGAGACCCTTTCCCTGCCCTCGCTTCCTGTAGGATCAAGGGACTCAGCTGTATTTGTGGAGAACGGGAGAGGGTTACCTGCCAGAGGTTCAGGTGGGAGTAAGGGGCTTCCCAGTGCCATGAGAAAGAATATCTGTGTGTCTAGAAAATCCTTGCTCTGTTGTGGTGAGTAGTGTGCTGTGGAAGGGAGGTGTGTGCAGAGGGACCTGGAGTCTTAGTGGCATGTCTTGGGGATAAGGAATAAGAGCTTGATCTTAGAGTCCAAAAGACCTGGGTTCAAGTTCTGGCTCTGTGACATAATGACTGCGTGACCACAGGCAAGTCACTTAGCCCCTGTGAGCCTCATCTGGCTCACCTGTAAAATGCAGGTTAAAATAGCAATGCCAGCCTTAGAAGGCTATTGTGAGAATTTAAAAGGTGCAGAGCACTTAGGACCTGCCTGGCATCGATGTATTATTATTATTGCTGCCTCTACTGCTACTTAGTGCCCTGCTGCCTGGGTGTGTCCTCTCCCCCTGCCTCCCAGGTATCTTCCACTCTTCTTCCCATCCCCTAGACATGATCTTTCTTTGGTGGTCCCAGGTCTAAGTGTCCATGACCATGGCATTCCTTAGCTCTTCAGTGGATTTGATAGGGAGCTCTCTGCAGCAGGAAGCTTCTTGGGTGATTCAGCCTTCCCCAAAACCAAGTCCCTTGATTTCTTTTAAGCAAGTCCCTGTCCAAGGTTCAGGAACCTAGTGGTGTCCTGAATGATGGCCCTCCCTGCGTGCAAGGCACAGGTGGGAAGCAGACCAGCTGGGCCCAGCTCCTCCAGGCCTGAGTGTACAGCTGCGGGTAAGCCCCTATGAGACCTGCATCTGGGCCCTGGCCCCTTCGCTGGGCAGACGCAGCCCTGGCCTGGAGCCCCCATTCACAGACTCCACCCTGTCTCCTCCAAAGCCTGGCGGGAGGCACTGAGCAGCCACCCCCTGCCAGCCCCTCCCAGACACTCCTTAGGCCCCACACTGGCACATGCACTCAGGCTTGCCTGCCACGTGGGCCTTCTCTTGCTCTAGGCCCCAAGCCTGTGCCCTGGCTCGTGAGGCGACAGGGCTGTGATGGGGAAGGCAGGAGTGCGTGTGAGCGCCCGTGGGGGGTGCTCACAGCTCCCTGGAGACATGTGGGCCTGCCAGGCTGGCATATTCTCCCCTCCTCTGTCTTCTGCAGACAGGCACTGCTAGTTGGTGCTGGGCGGGATGTTTTCCCGAGAGGCGGAGCCGGACAGTCCCACCCTGCAGCTTCATGGGGGTGCCCAGGGTGGTTTTCAGTCTGGGGGCTGGCTTTTGGGTTTCTGCTGTGAATTAGGTTGGGTGTCAGGGAAAGAGCATTTAAAAGCAAGAGAAAGGAGTTTGTTCAAGAGGTTGTTTCTCTGTCCCTCTGCTGTCCCCTCTGTCCAAATCCTCCCCCTTCTGCTAGGGGCCAGGGTAACGTGGATGCCCCCTCCTGGTCTCTGTCCTCTCCCTCTCCCACCTTCCATCTATGAAGACCGGGTGCATGTGGAGGGTCTCTCACTCCCTCCAGGGCCTGGGTGCTGAGGAAGGAAATGAAGGAGGAAGTGACTCCCCTTCTGGGTGCTGGGTGAAAGTGAAAGATAGGGAGGGGCCTCGCGTGAGTCACGCCAGGCGGGCGGACAGGAGGCAGGCAGGCTCCCAGCCGGGGCTGGGAGCTGCGGAAGCGTGCACAGCAGCGATAGCGCCACAGCTCCGGGAGGGGCATTCCTGGTGCTGGGGGCGCTGCTTGGAGTGGCCAGGGCTTTGTGCCCGCCCAGCCCCTGCCCTGCTCTGCTCCTGACAGTTTCCTGGGAGCTGATGGGCTGCTAACCATGAGCTGGAGCATCTAGGGCCTGAGATTTTTTCTCCAGGGCTGTCTGAGTGGCCTTTCCCTCCTCTCCCCTCCTGGTCTGACTGACCCAGGACCAGAATCTTACTGGGGTAAGAAGTGGGCCATGAAGCTACCTCCTCCCGACCAACTTCCCCAGGAGGACAAAAAAACACAAAGCAAGTGAAACCTTTGTAAAGAAAGAAAAAGTCTAGAAACATACATGCAAGTAGTTATGTAAGTTGTAAAATGCATGCCTGGGTTCTCTCTGTTCTGTAGCTACCTTTTTCAAAAAAATCAAGTTAGGGCTGGGCGCAGTGGCTCACAACCTGTAATCCTAGCATTCTGGGAGGCCCAGGCAGGGAAGATCACTTGAGGTCAGGAATTTAAGACCATCTTGAGCAAGAGCGAGATCCCATCTCTATAAAAAATAGAAAAATTAGCTGGGCGTCGTGGTGTCCACCTGTAGTCCCAGCTACTTGGGAGACTGAGGCAGGAGGATCCCTTGAGCCCAGGACTTTGAGGTTGCAGTTGGCTATGATGACACCACTGCACTCTAGCCTGGCAAGAGTGAGGCAGTCCCTGCCCCCCCCCACACCCTCTCTGCCCCCAAAATCTGCAAACAAAAACAGAAAAACTGAGCACTTTAGTCTTGACGTTATCGTGGAGAAATCTTCTGGACCTAAGTTCTAGCAATCTGCACCCTTGAATGTCTTGAGTTATACTATTCTTTGCAGGCTGCTGACCAGCTCCAGGGCTGGGTCCTGCCTCTAGCCTGCCAGGGCTGCAGAACAGGTTCTGTGCTAGTTTGGGGAAGACTCTAGCAGCAGAGCCCCACCCAGCAGCTCTTCCCAGGGGAGGGCTAGGACTGCACATGCCCTTCTGGGGCCTCACCTGCATGTCTCAGTGTTAAGGACGGTGAGCCCAGCCCTGGGCCCTGGCCTCTGCAAGGGCCTGAGGGGGCTCCTGCCCCTGGGGCTGCACAGGAGGGGTGACTGTGTTGGGAATGACCCCTGTCCTGTCCACTTCCTGTGTCTAAGATGTGTTTGGAGTGTTGGAGGAGGTGTGGGCTGGATAAAGATCCTTCTGGGTCTGGCAGGGGGGCTACTGTGTAGACAGATGTGCAAGGAGGATCAGGCCTGGCCGTCCCGGGGGCTGGAGCCTGGGTTAATGTGGCTTTTGTCACCCCTTTCTCAGCTTTGCCAGAGGGGGCTGAGTTGGATGTCAGCCCCACTTGCCCCCTTAGCATGTGCCTTTGTGTAGTGCACAAATTATACAACCAGATGCAGCAGTCCTGGAGCCTAACCAGGAGGGTGAGGTGATGGGGCAAGAGTAAAGTCACAGAATACTCAAGAGATGCTATGGATTCTGCTGCTTTCCTGGCAGGTCCCCCAAAGGTCTCTGCTCCTGCCCCACCAGTGCTGCACTGTGACCCTGGGCTCATCCCTGTGACAGGAGGTGGTGGGAATGAGGGCCTCAGAGGCCTATTTCTCACCCTTGTGCCAACACCCAGGGCATCCTGGCAGGCTGTGGCTGACACTATCACTGCTCTTCCCTGCACAGGCTCCAGGACCCTGTGGAGCATCATGAACTGGGAAGCGTAGACAAGCTCAAGAACCTCTTCCGAAGAGGAAGGAAGAGCCAGCAGCTCTTTCTCCCTGTGCCTGACCCTGTTATCCAGCATCTTCCTCTGCCCCTGCTCTGCCCTCACTGGCTTGTAGACAAGGACTGGCCTTCCGACAGGATCTTTCTCCAGGGGATGGGCAACTGGTGAAGTAGGTCTCACTGCCAGGGCTCAGCTGGGCACACCATGAACTTCCAAGCCCAGCCCAAGGCTCAAAACAAGCGGAAGCGTTGCACCTTTGGGGACCAGGAACCGGCTCCCAAGGAGCAGCCCCCTCCCCTGCAGGCCCCACAGCAGTCCATCAGAGTGAAGGAGGAGCAGTACGGTGGGCACGAGGGCCTGGCAGGGGCAGCCTCCACCTCCCAGCCCGTGGAACTGCCCCCTCCCAGCAGCCTGGCCCTGCTGAACTCTGTGGTATATGGGCCTGAGCGGACCACAGCAGCCATGTTGTCCCAGCAGGTGGGCTCAGTGAAGTGGCCCAACTCTGTGATGGCTCCAGGGCGGGGCCCTGAGCGGGGAGGAGGTGGGGGTGTCAGTGACAGCAGTTGGCAACAGCAGCCGGGCCAGCCTCCACCTCATTCAACCTGGAACTGCCACAGCCTATCCCTCTACAGTGGACCGAAGGGGAGCCCTCATCCTGGTGTGGGGGTCTCTACCTACTATAACCACCCTGAGGCACTGAAGCGGGAGAAAGGAGGGGGCCCACAGCTGGACCGATATGGAAACGCGGTGCGGCCAATGATGCCACAGAAGGTGCAGCTGGAAGTAGGGCAGCCCCAGGCACCCCTGAATTCTTTCCATGCAGCCAAGAAACCCCCAAACCAGACGCTGCCCTTGCAACCGTTCCAGCTGGCGTTCGGCCCCCAGGTGAACCGGCAGGTCTTCCGGCAGGGCCCACCGCCCCCAAACCCCGTGGCCGCCTTCCCCCCACAGAAGACGCAGCAGCAGCAGCAGCAACAGCAGCAGCAGCAGCAGCAGCAGCAGCAGCAGCAGCAGCAGCAGCAGCAGCAGCAGCAGGCAGCCCTGCCTCAGATGCCGCTCTTTGAGAACTTCTACCCCATGCAGCAGCCCTCTCAGCAGCCCCAGGACTTTGGCCTGCAGCCAGCTGGGCCACTGGGACAGTCCCACCTGCCCCACCACAGCATGGCGCCCTATCCCTTCCCTCCCAACCCAGATATGAACCCAGAACTGCGCAAGGCCCTCCTGCAGGAGTCGGCCCCGCAGCCTGCGCTACCTCAGGTCCAGATCCCCTTCCCTCGCCGCTCCCGCCGCCTCTCTAAGGAGGGGATCCTGCCTCCCACTGCCCTGGATGGGGCTGGCACCCAGCCTGGGCAGGAGCCCACCGGCAATCTGTTCCTACATCACTGGCCCCTGCAGCAGCCGCCACCTGGCTCCCTGGCACAACCCCATCCTGAAGCTCTGGGATTCCCGCTGGAGCTGAGGGAGTCGCAGCTGCTGTCTGATGGGGAGAGACTGGCACCCAATGGTCGGGAGCGGGAGGTTCCCACCATGGGCAGCGAGGAGGGCATGAGGGCAGTGGGCACAGGGGACTATGGGCAGGTGCTACGGGGTGGGGTGATCCAGAGCACGCGACGGAGGCGCCGGGCGTCCCAGGAGGCCAATTTGATGACCCTGGCCCAAAAGGCGGCGGAGCTGGCCTTACTGCAGAATGCAAAGGTGAGAGTGGTGCAGGGTGGAGGCCAGGCCTGGCAGGGGGCGTCGGGCTCATATGGAAGAGGCTGCAGGACTTTACCGTAGCCAGAGCTGCCTGTGGGGAAATAGTACCAAGACCACCCTCCACCTTGCCACAGGGTTCTTGCTTACTTTTCTTTGCAGAGATATTTTTTGAATATTTAGATACGATTTCATGTGCCACCCACGGTGCAGGTCAAACGAAACGTATCTGTAAGCCACTTGTGGCCTGAGATGGCCACCTGGAGGATGACAGGACCTGGCAGAAGGGAGGTTATGGAGAGTTTTGGGGAATGTGGTAGGAGAAAAGGTGGTCAGGAAAAGGCCAGGTTGTCACACCTTCGGGAGCCACTGTGGGTGTTTGAGTCCCTGGATTAAATGAGAGTGTGTGTGTGGGGGGGTCTTCCCTTTGATACGTCAGCAAATCAGGACTTATCTTCTAAACCTCCCTTCAATTTCTTCCCATCTCCCTCTTTTCCAGGATGCCAGCGGCTCTGAGGAAAAGCGGAAAAGTGTACTAGCCTCAACTACCAAATGTGGGGTGGAGTTTTCTGAGCCTTCCTTAGCCGCCAAGCGAGCTCGAGAAGACAGCGGGATGGGACCTCTCATCATCCCAGTGTCTGTGCCTGTGCGGTCTGTGGACCCAACTGAGGCAGCCCAAGCTGGAGGTGTTGATGAGGACGGGAAGGGTCCTGAACAGAACCCCACTGAGCATAAGCCATCAGTCATTGTCACCCGCAGGCGGTCGACCCGCATTCCCGGCACAGATATTCCAGCACAGGTATGAGAGTTTGCCCATCCAGAAACCTCTAGTACCTGAGTGCTCCTGGGCCTAGGACCCTATGGGAAAAAGGAGAACATGGCAGTGTAAAAGGGTTTGAAGGAACCCATGGAGATGCTATTTTCATTTTCCAAAACAAACTTCTGGACAAATGTACATATGGGGGACAGTGGGACAGTTTTATACTTGAAATTGAGACTGTCTTGGAAAATCTAGGATGTGTAAATCACCATTTCAGGTCAGCCAATTTTGATTGGGTCCCTAATATGGTTCGGGCCCTATTCTAGGTACTGGGAGGTGGGGATGTTTGCTTGCACTCTCAACTGTTGGGATGTGTATCTTGAAATCTCACACTAAGATTGAGGGTTTTGTCTACTTTTTCTTTTAGTTCTGTCATTATTTGATTTATACACTTGGATGCAATATTATTAGGTGCATACGTATTTAAAACTGGATTAGATACTTTACTGTTATGAAATTTCTTTTTATTTTAAGTTTTGTATCTTAAATATTCTTTTCGCCTTTTGATATTTAGCTTTCTTTGGTTAAAGTTTGCAGGGCATATCTTTTTCCATCCTTTTACTGCCAGCTTTTCTGTATCCTTCTATTTAAGGTGTATCTTTCAAGCAGCATATAGTTGGGGTTTGTTATTGTCCAGTTGTTTAATTAGAGCATTGATACAGTTTATATCTTTCTATTTATTTACTAACAAAATTTATATATATTTATAGTATACAACATGATGTTGTATACTAGTTCTCTGAGGAGTGCTGCTAGAGATTAAAACATTCATCCTTGGCTTATTGAAATCTAATATAAGCTAGCTTCCTGGACAATCCAAAGTTCTTACAATACTTTATTTTCTACCAATCCTTAACTTGTGGCATTAACAAGTATTTTCATTCTGTGTATATTTTAACGTCAACAGGACATTATAACGTTATTTTGTTCAGTTGTTATTCATTTTAAATTTACCCCGAAAGTTACCATTTTTGTTGCTTTCATTTCTTCTCATGTCTTTAAGCTTCCATCTTGGATCATTTATATACATGTTGCTTGAAGAACATCCCTTAGTATTTCCTCTAGTGTGAGCCTGTTAGCGATTAATTTTATTAGTCTTTGATTATCTAAAAATGTTTTTGTTTCATCTTAATTTTTGAAGGATTAAAGGATTATCTACTTTGTTGAGTAGAGATTCTAGGTTGGGAGTTATTTTCTTTTGGCATGTTAAAGATATTATTCCACTGTCTTCAGGCATCCATTGCTCTTACAGTTGAGAAACCACTATAAGCTATATTGTAGTTCCTTTTAATGTAAAGTCCCTTTTTATCTTGTTGCTTTCATGATTAGGGGTTTTGTTTGTTTGTTTTTGAGACAGAGTCTTACTCTGTTGCCCAGGCTTTCAGCCTAGTTTTTTGTTTTTTTAAACAGTCTCACTCTGTCGCCCTGGCTAGAATGTGGTGGTATCATCATAGCTCACTACAACCACAATCTCCTGGGCTCAGGTGATCCTCCTGCCTCAGCCTCCTGAGTAGCTGAGATTACAGGCACTCACCATGGGGCCCTGCTCATTTTTTTTCTATTTTTAGTAGAGATGGGATCTCACTCTTGCTCAGGCTGGTCTCAAACTCCTGTGAGCTCAAGCAATCTTTCCACCTTGGCCTCCCAGAAATTTTGTTTTTGTTGTCTTTGATTTTCAACAGTTGTGTTATACTTGAATAATGTTTTTCTTTGTATAATATTTATCCTGTTTAGAGTTTTGGTGCTTTTTGAATATTTTTTCTGCTCCATTTTTCTTTCCTCTTCTAGGACTCCATGACACATTTGTTAGACCTTTCCACCATATCTATATATCTGTCATGCATTTTCCTATATTTTCCATTTTTTTTCAATCTGACCTATCTTTTCATTTCACTAATTCTCTCTTGGGTTGTGCCGAATATGTTGTTAAACCCATTCATTATGTTCTTTTTTTTTTTTAAGACGGGGTCACTCTCTGTCACCCTGGTTAGAGTGCCGTGGCATCAGCCTAGCTCACAGCAACCTCAAACTCCTGGGCTCAAGCGGTCCTCCTGCCTCAGCATTCCAAGTAGCTGGGACTATAGGCACTACCATGCCCAGCTAATTTTTCTATTTTTAGTAGAGACAGGGTCTTGCTCTTGCTCAGGCTGATCTTGAACTCCTGACCTCAAGCAATCCTCCCACCTCAGCCTCCCAGAGTGCTAGGATTACAGGCGTGAGCCACTGTGCCCAGCCCCTTTTAAGTTCTTATTTTATTCATTGAGTTCTTATTTTTAGTTATTTTATTTTTCAATTACCAACTTTCTATGTGGTTCATTTTTAGAATTCCTAGTTCTTAGATGAAATTCTCAACCTTGCCTTTTATTTTATTGCATAAATTAAGTATAGTTTTCTTAAAGTCTGTGTCTGATAACTCTGTTATTGTGTTCTATTACCCATTATGTCTATTCTATTACATGTTTCTATTACCCATTATGTCTTGTTTTCACATCACATTTTGTTTTCTTGTGTATCTGGTTAATTTTTATGGAATGTCCGACAGTATATATGAAAAATATAGGTAATTATATCTTTATTATTTTATTTAATAAAAATACCTTTATTTGAGGTCATTAAAGACCCTGGGTGATGTTCTCTTCCAGAGAGGATTTGTCTTTGCTTCTGTAGCAAAGGGCACTGGCAAGCCTGAATCACTTTAGTTTAATCAGAGGTTAAGATGAGATGCTTTGAGGCTGGGCTTTATTCCATGTAAGGACTAGCCTACTTCTGATTCACTTTTATTCTGACATGTAGCTTTTTGGAGTCCCAATCCACTGCCTGGAAGTTTACCAACCTTTCCTTCCTTAACCAGCCCTGATCTTCAGTTTTTATTGTGTAAGCTCCTTGAATTTCCTAATAGCTCTACTCAGTTTCTCAGCCTCTCAGTCGCCTCTTCCAGTAATGGCATCCACCTCTAGGGAAAATACAGCTCCAAATGCTAGGCTCATCTCTTTGGTTTTCTTTTTTTCTCCTGGATCTTGGCTCTTTAATTCTTTGCCAACCTGTTTGCTCTCTGATACCTTTAGAAATGTGCTTTTTACATTGAGTCCAGATTTTCTAGTTACTCTGGGCTGGAGAGTTGGCCTACATGTCTACCCTCTGTAACAGGAAGGGGTGCTACAAGATTATCATGGGCATCACGGTCCCTGCTCTCTGGGGTCTTGTTTTCTGGTTGGGGGAAAGCTTTGGTAGAGGCCAGAGGCCTGGGAAGCTTGTTCTGAGAGTGGGCAAGAAGAGCCTGAGCAACTACACAGCTCAACACTCCTATTTCATAGATGAGGTAGATGAGGAACTAAGTCCAGAAAAAACAAGAGACTGACCCAGCCTTACGGCCAAGTAATGGCAGAGCTGTGAATGCTTGCCTGTGAGTGCTTTCGCTATACTACGCTTTTGGGGGGAAGTGTGTTTTTTGTTATTTGTTTATTTAGTTCATTATTTATTTTTCTTTGTATTGCAGACATTTTCAATCATATGTTAAAGTAGAGAGAGTGGTATAATGAATCCCAACGTTTAGCCATCACCCAGCTTTCACAGTTATCAAAATACAGCCAATCTTGTTTCGCCTATATCGCTACTTCTCCCTGCCACTGGATTATTTTGAAGCACACCCCAAACATTGTATTTTTCCATCCATAAATACTTCAGTTTGTATCTGAAATATTAAATACATAGACTTTGTAATTTTTTAAAATATAATCTCAATACCATTACCACACCTAAAAAATTAACACGAAAAATACTGTCAAATATTCAAACTAGTTTAAATCCCTTGTTAAAATCATCACAGCTAGCTGAGTTTATGTTGGATTTCTTATCTAGTAAGTTTGGGACATCTTTGGCTCCACTGTATTTTTTCTGTGCAATCATATTGTTCCCCTAAGGGTGGAAGAATGAACAATTTCATCTCATCCTAATCTGTAGAAGGGTAAAGAGGGCACAAATGGGTGAAGCACATGGCCACGGCCTCAGAGAGTCGGGCTGTCTGCTGGAAGGTGTTATGGGAGCTAGAGCCGTGAGGAGAGAGAGCCCATTGTCCCCAGGGCCACTCAGTCAACATGGCCAGCCTTACCTGTTGTACTGAGTACCCACCCTGTAGGGCCACTCTCTGCCTTTTGAGAGTATAGGGATGGAGCAAGGGAAAGCCTCTGTTCCCTTATAGCCATGCTTTCTATTCTGTATGGAGGACCATGAGGCTTACCAAGCAGGGAGAAGTGGGAGCTGGGAGGGCTAACTTTTGATGACAGCATGAGTGGGCTAGTCTGTCTTTACAGGACCGATACTATGAGAAAAGAAGTTCTGCAAGGACAGGGACTGTCTGTTTCATTGTCCCATGTCTGTGGGTCCCATGCCCAACTCAGGTCTTGGCACATAGTAGGGGCTTCCATCTACTGCAGAGCGTGGAGTTTAAGTAGTGGTTAACAGCCCAGTATTTACTGATTAATTGCTAAGTACCAGGTAATGTTCTCAATAATGTCCATGTATTAATTTATGTCATCCTCATAGCTACCTCATTAAGTAGGCACTTATTATTCCTGTGTTAAAAATGAAGATGCACTGAGAGATTGAGTCATTTTGAGTGGCAATAAGTGCAGTAGATCCCAACCCGAACAGTCCAGCTCCAAAGCCAGGTCCCTTAACCACTGCTTTCCGGCCCTGTCGCATAATTTACAGCATGGTGGGGAACTGTGCCCTGGTGGCCAAATCCAGAGCTGAGAGTGGTTTTACAGTTTTACAGGATTATTTAAAAAAAGAAAAAGTGAAAGAAGATGAATATGTAACAGAGACTTTGTGGGCATGTGGCCCACAAAGCTGAAAATATTTACTCTCCGGCCCTTTACTGTAAAAGTTTGCTAACCCTTCCCCAGAAGAGACGATAAGAAGGGCTTTTGGAGCTGCTCCCTTTTTCAGGCTTACCTTGGTGGGAGTGGTGGGCAGACTGAGTTCCAAAGATGAGACTGGCAAGCTGTGGTCAAGACTTCAGTTTCCCCGGGACAGAGTTGGCTGAGCCTCTTTGTTCTCTTTCCTCTCCAGGCTGAGGACATGAATGTCAGGTTGGAAGGGGAGCCTTCTGTGCGGAAACCAAAGCAGCGGCCGAGGCCTGAGCCTCTGATCATCCCCACCAAGGCCGGCACTTTCATCGCCCCACCCGTCTACTCCAACATCACCCCATACCAGAGCCACCTTCGATCTCCTGTCCGCCTGGCAGATCACCCCTCCGAGCGGAGCTTTGAACTGCCCCCCTACACGCCACCCCCCATCCTCAGTCCCGTGCGGGAAGGCTCTGGCCTCTACTTCAATGCCATCATATCGACTAGCAGCATCCCGGCCCCCCCTCCCATCACGCCGAAGAGTGCCCATCGCACCCTGCTCCGGTCTAGTGAGTGACCCCCTCCGCAGCCATGGGGGTGGGGATGGGGCACTGGGCAGGTGGCGGCTCAGCTTACGAATTGGGCAGGAACCCTGCAGGAGAAGGGGCTCCATGGAGAAGGAAGTTGTCCTGGTTCTAGAAGAGGGGGTGGGTCAGCCCTACTGCTTGGATTCAAATTTCAGTCCCACCATTTATGATTACACCCACCTGAGCAAGTCCTTTAAATTCACGGGGCCTCAGTTTCTTTAGTATTAAGATGGGGATATCAGCAGTACTTGGTTGATGATGAAATTGCCAATATTCAACTATTTTGGATCCACAAGTAGCAGCTTCCTGTGGCTCACCCTAATCGCCACCTCTTAGGATCAGAGGCATCAGCACACGTGAAGCCCCTCACATCATGTTTGCCCTTAATCCTGTGTGGCAGATCTGGTCTCCTGCGTCTCTGAGACAGCCACTTAGGCTGAGAGCAGACAGTCTGGAAATACTGGGCTGGCCTTGCGTGGTGTATTGCTGAAATGTGTTGCCTCCTCCACAAAAGGATCCCATTTCCTCTGAAAAATGGGATAATCCTGTCCCTTACGGTGGTGGAGAGGATTAAGTGGGGGTAGCTCCTGGGTGCCCTCACCCAATTAACCTCTGACCCTGACCTCACCCATGGTGTGGCTCTCTGGTGCCCCCTGGTGTCTGTGGTGAGAAATGGTTTGCTCTAGGCTGGCTGGCCTCTGGCCCTCCTGCTTCCCTCTTGCGGGGAGACTTTTCTCCCTGGCTGGGCTGAGCAGGAAGAAGTCACTGTAGAGACTAGACTGGCAGCAAGGAAGAGGTCAGTCTGTCCATGAGTATTTACCGAGCACCTGGGTGTAAAGCGTTGAACTGTATCCTGTGAGGGTTCCAAGAATGTATGGGACACCATGGTCTGTTCTAAAGAGAGTACAGGGCCATCAGGGAGTTGACATGAAAGCCTGGGAGTCAGAAAAACACAGAGGCTCCCAGCAGCGTGGGATCTGCAGCCAGCGAGTGCAGCTGACACGCAGCCCAAGCCTGCAGAGGCTGCTAGCCGGGGATGGCGAGGAAAGCAATCATGAGGGGGTGGGGCTGGAGCGGAGGTTGAACTGCGCAGAGAGCAAGCCAGGCAGGCAGAGGAAATGACTGGTGCAAAGGCTGCGTGTGGGGCTGTGCGGGCAGAGTGAGGGGCTGTGAGGGAAGCAGTGTGCTAGGACCCAGGTCCGGGCACGGGGGTGAGGGGAGGTATAGATGGAAGGGAGAACCGCCTGGAACCATGAACGGAGGATTTCAGGGTTTATCCACGTTCCAAAAGGGAGTGCCTTGATCATGTGAGGCCTTAAGAAGATTAGCCTGGGGGAAACTGAGGCAGAAAATCCAGACAGGAAGTGAGAAGATAATTATAAAACAGTGGGGACCGGGTGTGGTGGCTTGTGCCTATAATCTGAGCACTTTGGAAGAACAAGGCGGGAGGATTGCTTGAGGCCAGGAATTAGAGACCAGCCTGAGCAAGAGCGAGACCCTGTTTCTACAAAAATTGGAAAAATCAGCCGGCCATTGTGGCATGTGCCTGTAGTCCCAGCTACTTGGGAGGCTGAGGCAGGAAAATCGCTTGAGCCCAGGAGTTCAAGGTTGCAGTGTGCTATGACGATACCACTGCAGTGGGCAACAGAGACTCTGTCTCAAAAAAATAAAATAAGAAAACCAGTGGGATCCTTCACCACTTCCCCAGTGTGCCCAAAGTTTCAGCCTCTTTACTAGGAAACCATAGTTTTATGTTACAGTTACTTCTGTAGTGTAGGAGCTTCTAGGGACAGGGACGTGGTTTTAGTAGTAGTAGTAATAATAATAACAGTTAATATTTATTGAGTGCCGGTCTCTGTGAATTATTTCATTCAGTCCTCACCTTAACCCTAGGAAATAGGTAGTAACAGCCCCTTTTTGTAGGTGTGAAAACTGAGACACCCAAACATTTAGTGAAGGGCCTGAGTCATGACAGTTAACAGGCTGCAGAGCCAGGACTCAGGGCACCTGAGTTCCAAGTGTGAGTCACCATTGTGACTCTTGCACTATAGGACAGCCACCTAGCATTGGGGGCACTTTGCTGGAAGGAGGGTGCCGTTTACTAACCTGCTCTTTGTCCCACAGACAGCGCCGAAGTCACCCCGCCCGTCTTGTCTGTGATGGGGGAGGCCACTCCAGTGAGCATCGAGCCGTAAGTACAGCCCTGCCTCTCGCCAATGGCGTAAGGGTGGCCACGTTGGTTCAGCGTATGCACGCGGGCCTTGGGAACAAGATGAGGGTCCTGCCGAGTCCTCTCTGGGCTTCTGCGCTCGGCCCTAGGCTTTGCTGTCCCCACCCTGCTTCTGTGTGAAAGTTGCAGGGAATGGAAAGAACCAGCTCAGCTTGGATTTCTCTCTAGGAGAGTTGGGAGAGTGGTCCAAGAGACTTTCCCCATCTGTAAACCTAGAGCAGCTTCTCCCCCTTCCAATCTCTGCTGCTTGCCTTTCTGGTGGTATGAGGGGCCAGGCTGTCCTCACAGTCCCCCAGAAGCCAGATACCCTATACCCAGCTGAGGCCTTGCCTCTGCCAGCTACCCCTCATCTTCTCATCTCTGGGGAGACAGACTCTCCATCCCCACAGGGAGCGGCCTCACTCCTAGCCTTTCCACCCCTACAGACGTATCAACGTGGGCTCCCGGTTCCAAGCAGAAATCCCCTTGATGAGGGACCGCGCCCTGGCAGCTGCAGACCCCCACAAGGCAGACTTGGTGTGGCAGCCATGGGAGGACCTAGAGAGTAGCCGCGAAAAGCAGAGACAAGGTGAGGAGGGACCTGGGAACCAGCAAGCGAGGCAGCCTGGTGGGTGGATGTGCACGCCAGCCCAGCCCAGCCCAGCCCTGAACGGGGTTTTCTCTCCTCCCTCCTTCTGCTCCCATGAATCCAGTGGAAGACCTGCTGACAGCTGCCTGTTCCAGCATTTTCCCTGGAGCTGGCACCAACCAGGAGCTGGCCCTGCACTGCCTGCACGAGTCCAGGGGAGACATCCTGGTGAGATGGCACCCCTGGTGGAGGGAGGGTCTCCCAGGGAAGTTGGCTTGGACCCATGTCTGCTGCCCAGGAGCTAGGCCTCTGGCATGCAGATTGGAGGCCAAGAGGAGGGTCTGACCAAGGAGGAGGTTGTGGAGGCCCTGTGCCCTGAGCATCCCCACCTGCCATGACCTTGCCATCCTGCCAGACCTTTTGTCCCTCAGCAGTTAAAGGGGCAAGAGTAAGTGCCTATCCTACTTAGAGGCCTGTAGAGGTCCTCTGGCCTTTGCCAGGGCCTGGGATGCTCAGTCCACCACTGAGACCCCTGCAGACCCTCACCTTCCCTCACTTGCTTTGTAGGAAACGCTGAATAAGCTGCTACTGAAGAAGCCCCTGCGGCCCCACAACCACCCACTGGCAACTTATCACTACACAGGTGGGTCTAGTTGGGGTGGGCATGGGGCCTGGAGCCTCAGAAGGTCTCCAGCATCATTGGGGCCCTGCTTGATGCCGAGTCACAGCCCTGGGTTGGAGGGCGGGAGGTGGGAGGCAGATAAGCCAAGAGCCAGAGGGAGGGAACTGGCACTAAAGCTGGGGTAGTGCTCCAGGGGCTTCCTGTACCCTGGAGGGGAATGGAGAAGGGGGTAGACAGGTGGGAGCCCATCAAGGCAAAAAAGTCCAGATCACAGGTGCAAGGACAGGAAGCCAGGCCTGTGCCATCCAAATTGGCATCAGGTACCTGGAACTTAGATGGCCCCTGGAGTGCACATCCCGTTCTGGGCACTGTATTTCAAGGGGGACATCGACCAAGTTGCATAATCCTAGCAGCCACTGTTCTTGATCCTCGTTAGTGCTACATTTCATCTGCACCAGGCAGAGGACCAAGGGTTTCACATGCGTTATTTCATTTAGTCTTCACCACAGCTAGTGAGCTAGGTTCTATTATTAGTGCCCATTTCACAAACAAGGGGAGCGAGGCTCTGAGTGACATGGCCACTGAGTGGCAGAAGCAGGACGTGCAGCTGGCTCTGATGCTGCAGAGACTGTGGGTGGGTGGCCTCACACTTCCTGCTAGTCAGGATTGCCCAGTGTTCATGGTCCTCCTCACCTCACTGCTCCCTCTTTGCCCGGTAGGCTCCGACCAGTGGAAGATGGCTGAGAGGAAGCTGTTCAACAAGGGCATTGCCATCTACAAGAAGGATTTCTTCTTGGTCCAGAAGCTGGTGAGCAATGCTCTGTTTTGGGGGCAAGCGAGCAGCAGGAGCTGCCTGAGTGACCCTGGGGCTCCCAGTGTCCAAGCACTCTTAAAAAGCAGTCAGGGCAGGCACAGTGGCCTGCGCCTATAGTCCCAGCTACCCAGGAGGCTAAGGCAGGAGGATCCCTTGAGCCCAGGAGTTTTAAGTCCAGCTTGGGCAACATAGCAAGACCCCTACTCCTTAAGAAAAAAAAGAAAAAAGTATCAGGTCAATGCCACTAAGTAGGCTCAGGGGTGATTTTTTTAAACAAAACAAGAAGGGGGAAAGATTTGGGCTTTTTTCCCTATTGGTTCTAAGCACCCTTCTCCAACGTTAGTGTGGTGTGGCCATGCTCTGGGGTCTCAACCCAGAAGGAGGCCTAAATGAGCATCAGTCCCTGTGGCATCAGACTTAAAATCTGCGAGAGAACTAGATGGGAAGAAGGGCACCCTAGGGTGAGAGGAACTGGGATCCAGTATGTACCTGTGTAGCAGACCTAGGGAACCTCTGTGCACTTCCTGTCTGGCCCAAGGCTTCCTTCCAGGAACTCAGCTGACCAAGCCTAGGTTCCCTAGATTTATCTTGTCTCTCTCCTTATTCTTTTGGAAGAATAGAGTGCTTTGCTAATCCAAGGAATTGCATTTTTCCAGCCCTGTCTCACAAATCTGGGGGCCGGGGGGATGGGGAGGGTGAGTTGTGTGGAAGGCAGAGGAAAAAACACTTCTAAGAATTGGCTCTTCCTAGGATTGTAGATTGTGTTGGGAATGGCCCTAGGGACTAGATTAAGTGCTGATGAATTCTATGAGCGCCCTGTTGTGAGGACAGTCTTTTGCTGTGTTTTGTTAATACTTTGTTCCCTGATTGGGCAATATTGCTGGGAAGTACATGGCCAAGTACATGCTCATGAAATTCACTGAGGCACCTCTAATGCCTAATGAAAAGTGCAGACCATTAGTCAGTGAAATGGTCAGAGAGAATTGACACTAAAAGTATAAACAATCTAATTAATAAATATGTGACTTGGTCATTCCTGCGAGAGGAATCATGTCTGTCCTCAGGCAGAGAGAACCTGCACTGACCCCTGGGCCCTATGGACAGGAGCTCCCAGCCCAGCAGTGGTTGAGCAGTCTGAGAGCTTGTGGGGGTGGGGTGACAGGGGGTGGTGTCAGAGAAAACAGCCTCTGTGTAGGAAAGTAGTCCAAAAACTAAACCCATAGATTTATGAAATGAGATGGCTAGAATTTTAGAGCTTGAGAGCCCCTGGAGATCTAGTCTTAATTTATCCCACTTATTTACACATGAACAACTGAAATTAGAAAGGTGAGTGACTTGCCTAAGGCCACATAGCCATTTGGTAGCAGAGTTAGGAGCAAGACTTGGGCCTTTTGCTTCCTTTGCAGGTTTTCCAGGGCTTTCTTGTTAGTTTTCCTTGAGTTCCTCCCCTACATAGGACACAGTAACATTTCTCTGTCCTCACTTGTCAGGAGAGGAGTGAAAGTGTTTGCCTGGATTGATGAGGCAGACAATATTACCTATATTGCCAGGTTGGGGCTGGTGTTGAATGTGAATGGTGCCCAGACATTTTCCCCTTAACCTTTTAGTTTGAAAAATTTCAAACTTAGAGAAAAATTGAAAGAACAGTATAATGAACAATCATTTACCCCTCACTTAGATTTACCAAGTGTTAATGTTTGCCACATTTGCTTTTTCTTTCTTTCTCTGTCTGTATCTAAACATCTACATACATACACACTATTTTTCTTTCTCTGTTTCATCTAATCATTAAAAGTAAATTATAGGCCTGGCACAGTGGCTCACGCCTGTAATCCTAACACTCTGGGAGGCCGAAGCAGGTGGATCGCTCAAGGTCAGGAGTTCGAGACCAGCATGAGTAAGAGCGAGACCCCGTCTCTACTGAAAATAGAAAGAAATTAATTGGCCAACTAAAAATATATAGAAAAAATTAGCTGGGCATGGTGGTGCATGCCTGTAGTCCCAGCTAGTTGGGAGGCTGAGGCTGAAGGATTGCTTGAGCCCAGGAGTTTGAGGTTGCTGTGAGCTGGACTGACGCCAGCGCACTCTAGCCCGGACAACAGAGTGAGACTCTGTCTCAAAAAAAAAAAAAGTAAGTTATAGACATCCTGTCATGACTCAAAAGATTTCAGCATCTATCTCCTAAAAACAAGTACATTCTACAAAACCACTGTACCATTAAACCCACCTATGAAATTTGATACAATAATATTAATATGTAATCCATATTCACATCTTCCCAGTCGTTCCAGTATTGTCCTTCATAGCTTATTGTATTTATTTATTCATTTATTTTAAATAGTATGGAAGCATTGATCAGTAGTTTGTCACGGAACAGGTATTAGAGAAATGCTTATATTTACTGGGTTGACTGGCTTTAGTTTTTGGCCGGAAGTTAAGGGGGATATGCAAGAACGGGAAAGGCTGGATTATCTCCAGGAAGGCGAGCCAACCCAGGGTGTTCTGACCTCAGTTTTGGCTTTAAACCAGATCCAGACCAAGACCGTGGCCCAGTGCGTGGAGTTCTACTACACCTACAAGAAGCAGGTGAAAATCGGCCGCAACGGGACTCTAACCTTTGGGGATGTGGATACAAGTGACGAGAAGTCAGCCCAGGAAGAGGTTGAAGTGGATATTAAGGTGACTCCTTACCCAACCTCAGCTCCCTAGAACCTGGGCTGGGCCTAGGGTCAGTGCCAGCTGGGAGCCTAAGGCCACACTCTCCAGGAGTCTGTGGAGAGCAGGTAGAGGAATGCAATGTCCCTGACAGCCCCAAGGAGCTAATGTCCTAGCCCTTTGGGTTCCCCTCTCTATACTACCAATGACATAGTAATAATACATCGTGTTCAGGCAGAACACTGGAGAATTTTGCACAGGATTTGTGCCAGCATCAACTTGTCTCCTCATAGCAGACCTCTAACACTGTTTCCTAAACTTCAGTTATTCTTATATCACCTCTATGATTTCTGTTATGTCTGCATCCTACCATTACTGCTTTTGTTGTATTCATATACCACCTGTGCTGTTACTTAATATTTTTCTTTAAATCAACTCATTTTTTACTCAATTAGAAAGGAAGCTTTATATCATAATCATAACTAGAAAACTAGTATTGTTTGCCATAAATAGAAGGTACTGGTAAAATAAATATATATATGAAAACCAAACAGTGTTATTAAACTCTAGCCAGATACTGTGTTACCTGCCAAGGCTCTAAGACTGAAGCCTGACCTCTCTGTTAAAGAGATTATCAAGTCTAGAGAAGTATAAGACACATTAACACCAACCAGAGACTTTGTCCTTGATATAATCAGGATCAAAAGAGAATTGAAAAGTGAATGTTATTTAGTTCTGTGTCAATGTATCTACCTAACATCATCTCAGGGTTACAAGTGCACACTTGGTGACACGCCTACTCTAAACAGGGAGTGTGATTTGATGCTAATTTCGTAGATGGGAAAGTGGTGGAGATACAGAAAGCATTACAAAGATAGTTTGGAATTGGAGCTCTAGTCTCACCAAGCCGCTTGGCATACTCCCTTCCTGCCCCTGGCTCTATCTCAAATGCTCTGTCTAACCCTGTGGGTTCCCAAGGCTCATGACTCTCCTTCTGTGCCCAGGCATACTAGCCATGGGAGGACTGTGACTGGGGACATAGTCCTAGTACAGAAGGCTGTGCTGGGCTAGGCCAGGCAAGCAGGACCAGCAAGGGGCTAGGGAATCCCTGGCCAGGTCAGAATCGGTGTACTATGGCAGTGTGACTGAGCTCTAGGCTCACTGACCTTGCTCTTGTCCCCTGTAGACTTCCCAGAAGTTCCCAAGGGTGCCTCCTCCCAGAAGAGAACCCCTAAGTGAAGAGAGGCTGGAGCCCAAGAGGGAAGTGAAAGAGCCCAGGAAGGAGGGGGAGGAGGAAGAGCCAGAGATCCAGGAGAAGGGGGAACAGGAAGAGGGGCGAGAGCGCAGCCGGCGGGCAGCAGCTGTCAAAGCCACGCAGACACTACAGGCCAATGAGTCGGTAAGTGTGACCTCCATTCTCTGAGCCCAGGGCCAGGAGGAGGGAGGAGCTGGGCCTAGGGGTGTGGGAGGAGGGCAGAGCAGGAATGCAATGATACCCAACATCTTATAATAGCAGGTAGTATATGGAGTACTTTGTGCTGTTAACTCATTTAATCCACAATTATTATTTCCATTTTACAGATGAGGAAATTGAGGCCCAAGATAACACAGCTAGTAGGCAGCCTGACTCCAGAGTCTGCTATTGATTTTTATACTATACTGCTTCTGTATCTGAAATTCAGAGAAAAAAGGCTTTGTGAAAACCTAGTAGATATGTGGGACACTGGGGAGAGGGCTCCCCTTGAGAGAGCTGCGTCCCTGACAAGAATGTCTGAGACTGAGCTGAGACCATGGGAGTAACAATAATGGCTCTCAGGCATAATCTCTATAGAATACTTTCATTTCCATTAGCTCATTAATTCCTCACAATAATCCCATAAACCCCCATTTTGTGGATGGGGAAATGGGTTCAGAGATGCTAAGTGTCATTGGACTTCTAGTGCAATGCTCTGTCCACCTACCAGAGGCAAAGAAGCAAGGCTACAGCAATAGCTGCTCTTGCCAGAGAGAGGCCCCACAAAAAGGGGGAGGGAGGGGAGGGGGTGTGTTGAGGAGCTACTGCCAGAGTCTTTTTTATTTATTTTTTTTTTTTTCAGAGTCTTTTTTAAAAAAATGTGTTGTACACTTAGGCTTGCAGACCCCCTATCTGTAAACACACAGCTGTCTGCTTCCTCTGCACCAAGAGCTGTGCTATGTATGCGTTCCACCAACTTCTACTGGCTTCTGTGCTCACTTTCCTGAGAGGCGGCCCAGAGCACACACTTATCATTTCTAATGGCCATCCGGGCCCCCACCCGCGCTGACTCCTGCTCTTCACCTCAGTTTAGCGTCACCCATGCCATGTTGTCCTGAGCTAGCTACCCACATATCTGTCCCTTCAACTAGACTGCGAGCTTTCTGAGGTCAGGGGTGCCTGTCAACCCTGTATCCCCAGCATCCAGCACATCACAGGGGCCTGATGGACTACGCATAGACCAAATGACAGAAAACTGAACACGTGCTTCATTAATTTAGAAGCCAAGGTCCACTGTCGTGTGCATCAAGGAGTCCCATAGCAGTCCCACAGAATTACTGTAGCAGCAACTTTGTAAACGGGAGAGCTGACCAAAGACGAGATGGGCGATGGGCTTCCGAGGAGGCAGGCAGTGCCCTGGCTCTGGAAGGACACAAGCGGATGGTGTTTGACCTTTAAGGGCCCCTCGTTCCCATAATTCCCTTCCCTAAATCACTCAACTCTCCTTGTATGTCTCCAGGCCAATGACATCCTCATCCTCCGGAGCCATGAGTCCAACGCCCCCGGGTCTGCCGGCGGCCAAGCCTCGGAGAAGCCAAGGGAGGGGGCAGGAAAGTCACGAAGGGCACTACCTTTTTCGGAAAAGAAGAAAAAACCGGAGACATTTAATAAGACCCAAAATCAGGAGAACACTTTCCCTTGTAAAAAATGCGGCAGGTAAGACGGCCAGCCGGGGTCCTCACGGCGACCTAGTTGGGTGGCGGGGCAAGGGTGGGGGAGGGGAAAGGCTTGGCCCCGTTCGCCTGTCTTATGATTGGCTCAGCGGGTTTCTAGGGCTGTGGCGTCATCGAGGGGAACAGGGGCGCGCGCGCATGCATGCGCACTCTCCCTCACTCTTGCGCTTGCACGCGAGCCCCTGACAGTTCCCAGAGGGCTGGGGCTGGGCCTGCTCTGAGCGCGCTCCCTCCTGGCTGCAGGGTGTTTTTCAAGGTGAAGAGCCGCAGTGCCCACATGAAGAGCCACGCGGAGCAGGAGAAGAAGGCGGCGGCGCTGAGACAGAGGGAGAAGGAGGCCGCTGCCGCCGCAGCCGCCGCGGTCGCCTCGCACCAGCAGGCCCTGCGGGAGGAGAGCGGCGCGGGCGACAAGGGCTGAGTGCGGGGGGGCCCTCTCTCTGGGTCCCGGGCCCCTGTACCGCTGCCCGCAAACACCCTGGAACCTCAGGAGGGAGTGAGGAGAGAATCACATGGACCTTTCTCTGCAAAACAAATTAAGACAGTGAAATAAACGGCTCTTTTATTTATAAAGGCCCCAGGAGCAGTGTTAAGGGCTGCAGGATCCAGTTCTCTTTGTCCTCATGCTTTCCCGGAACATGAGAGTCCCGGTCCCCTCTGGAGGGGCCCCACCGCCGCCGCCGCCTCTCACACTCCGATCTCTGCTGCTGTGCTGCCCAGGGCAGGCTCTTCGCTCCTCTTTGCCTCCCCTCCTCCTCTCGCTCTCCAGGAAGCCGCCACGGTGAGCCAAGCACAAGCTCACCCTCCTTACAATGTTATTCTTCCTCCCCAGAGGACCTCAAAGGCTGCACAGGCCCTGCCCCAAACCCCAGAAACAAGGACTCCCTTTTAAGGAGTGTAGTGGCCATCTCTGAGAGCCTGACACTTGTGCTATGCCTGTACTACAGTGTCCAGGCCTGTCTTAGCTGCTCCAGTGACCTGTCCTCAGAGTGGCTATGTTTTCCCTGGGAGGGAGGCCTAGACAGGTACTATCCCTTTGCTGCTTGCCAGCAGCCCTGCTGAGGCTAGAAAGTTTTCTCAAATGTTTGGGGAGGGAGCCATTGTTTTTGGCCAAAGCTCTCAGCCCACTTCAGGGAAGAGAAACGTACAGAGGCTGGAAGCTGCAAGGCTAGGCCTGACAGAGCTTTTGACATGCCTGGCTCTTCCTGCCTCCCACTTTTTTGCCAAATACCTTTGAGTCCTGGAGGCTGCTAAGGGAGCTTAGCCTCGAGCAGGTACTGGAGAGACCTAGCCTGCTCTTCCTTGGTGCCAGCTCCCTGTTTGCCTCTGCCCTGCCGTCAGCAGCTGCCATCTCACTCTACCACACCCCATCCAATGTTGATGTCCACAGCCCAGCCCCCAGTTCTGTACGCTGGAGATTTCTGGATCCTTCCCTAGGAGAGGGAGGTCTCCTAACTAGATTGGACAGGAGCCTTCATTCCTTGACTTATGTCATTTGGGAGCTATTTATTTATTCTTAATATTTAATTTCGAACATCCTCTCAGGGACCAGGGGCCTCCTGCTTTCCAGAGGCCCAAGTGCATTTATCCCAAAACAAGGCACCTTCTTGACATCCCTATCCCCACCCCCAGTTCCCAAGGCCCTAAGGTCCCTCAACTCGTTGCTCTGGAAGCTCTTGCCGATAGGAATGGTAGTAGCACTGAAAGGGGGTGGGAAGGTAGAGGGTGTCACCAAAGCCACATAAAGACTAGCAGGAGCAAGGGAGATCAAAGGCATTGGTTGCTGCTGCCCCTTCTCTGCTGTACTTTAAAATTGCCTGAGGGATTGGCAAGAGGCCAGAATTCTAGTTTTGTTTATCAGGCCTGGAGTCTGGCTTGAAGAAGCCATATTTGGCATGGAGTCACTAAAATGAAAGGGACAGAGGTTCTGGAGGCCCCCTCACTTGCCAGTCCCATAGGGGGACTGAGTTATTTTTCTGCTATTACTCAACTTTAATTGTGCAAAAGAAATTCTAAGTGGATGCATATATGACAGGTCAGTATGTTAGGAAGGAGCCCAAAACTATTTATTCTGCTCTCCTTATATGGTAGCCTAAAGGCATCATGCCAGTAACTGGGAGTGGAGAAGGAGTTTTGTTTTGAAACTATGCACAATTAGGTCGGCATCCATTTATACATTAATATGGTTCTACAGGATCCCAGCTATGGAAGTGACAAAATTATTCTCCCCCCAGACTCCTGGATAACTACCTAGATCTGCAATTTCCCAGTCCTCCATAGGCTTTTGCAAGCTCAGTGCCCCAAAACTTCAAAAATCTGGTGTACCCTTTAACAGCAGGAGGGTAACAAATTTAGGCTCTCTTCTAAGTTACTTTATATGAGTGCCTTTGCAGCTTAGCCCCAAAGTGCTACTTATGTTTCCCAAGGTTTTTCCTACTTAAACCATATTTAGTTTCAGGCCCCTTTATGGACATGTGATAACAGAAACCTCCTTCATTCATATGAGACCCTTCTATTCAGTGGTAACATCCAGTACTTGGAAATCTTTTTTAGTAAGAAAATGAGCCAACTCTTCTAAGCTCACAAAGATCAGACAAGGTGAATAACTGGTGAAAATCAGGATGTTACCTGTCTGTAATCCCACCAGACACCATATTTAGGTAGGGTTCATGCTCCAGGATTCATTTATATGTAGAATGCAATGTGAAAATTAAAATGTTTAGAGGGCAGATGCAATTGTGGCAAGTGACCTGCCAATAAAGTAGGTGCAGCTATAGAAGCTGGCATAGGTATATCCTTAATGGTGCTTTCTCCCTGTGAACACATTAGGCTTATCTTTTGTTGTTTTTTCCTTCTCTTCAGAGCTCTTTGCTTTAAGAAGCTAAATGATAAACACCTCCAACTTTATAAAGTCTTCTGCATACCATCTCACCATATCTATCTCCTGGCCTCTATCCGCATTCACCTAAGGGTGTGCAACTGACCTAGTGCCTGTGTTCCAGACCACTTCTGAGGTCTCTACCCATCCAAGGAGACAGTGCCATCATTACTGTCCTCCATGCCTTTGGCAGCCCCCTTACAACTAAGATACACGCCGCCCCTTCCGCCGCCCCACCTCCACCCCTGGCACAGAGATCTTTTGCTGCTTATGTCTAAAGGGATTGCCTATATTTAACTGCCTCAGTGATCTAACCTCTTTCTTCTCATGTGCCAGATGTTAAGATGAAGGAGGAATACAATACATACTCAAGCCTCAGCTGTTTAAATATGTTTTCACTGGGGCTCACTTTTCTGGGATGGTATTTATTATCAGACTGGCAAGCCTAACTCCTTAGGTTTACAGGAAGTATGCATATTATAAAACAATTGTGTCCTCCCCACATCTTGCTGTGTTAATATTTGCCTCTAACAATTTGCAGCTGTTTCACTTTTTCCTTACTCGTCTCAAGTTGAAGGCCTTGGAGGGGACAGAGCACAGGAACAGCCTTGACAGTCTGTAATTAGTGTACAAATATTTTAATAGCATATAAATAAGTATATTCCTTTTATTTTGAAACAAAAATGATCAGACACTGCCTTTTGTGAGTTTGCTGCCTGTGGCACCCTTTTTTAAAAAGACTGTTACATATTAAAATAGTGTACATATATATAAATATTACCTCTTTTGCTGTACAGTTGTGATAGACCAGACTGAAGATTTTATTTTTTGTGTGCTTTTTATAAGAAAAAATTAATACACTAAAGAGAATCTTGCTGATGTGATTGTAATGTACCTATGTAACTTATTTACTTTTGAATGTTCTGTATCTTTAAACCTTTTATTAAATAAGGTTTTAAAAATTCAGACTTGAATGCTGTGTTCTTTTGTGGGGATTTTATCCATCTGGAACTGTCATAAGTAGGCCTTGTTTTGCTTGTAGGAGATTACTGGACATTTTTGAACCATAAGAATTCTGTTTTACCAGCCCATTGTCAGTGACGCCAGCCAGGACAGGGGAAATATCCCGCTAGAGTTTGCCTGACTACAAAGATGATTGAGGCTGGGCAAGGTGGTTTACACCTGTAATCCTAGCACTCTGGGGGGCGGGGGGATTGCTCGAGGTCAGGAGTTCAAAACCAGCCTGAGCAAGAGCGAGATCCCGTCTCTACTATAAATAGAAAGAAATTAATTGGCCAACTAATATATATAGAAAAAATTAGCCGGGCATGGTGGTGCATGCCTGTAGTCCCAGCTACTGGGGAGGCTGAGGCAGCAGGATTGCTTGAGCCCAGGAGTTTGAGGTTGGCTGACACCACGGCACTCACTGTAGCCTGGGCAACAAAGCGAGACTCTGTCTCAAAAAACAAAAAAAAAGAAAAATGATTGAGTTGAGTTGACACAAATTTTTTAAGCTTTTTATAAAATTTAAGACAAAAAGTCTAAATTCAGTATTTCACACAAATACACAAATGGCATACTCTGACATTTTAGCTTCCTTGGGATGAAATATGGAGGGTGGGTTGAGGTGGAACAGGGAAGCTGGGGTGCTGAAGAGAATATTTTCTTGTGGCCTAGATTCATTGAATGAGCACTCAAGTCCACCGTGATGGGTGCATTTTCAACAATGTCTTAAATCCACTTCAGAATTAGATTATTTTTAAACACAGTGTTTGGCAGTATTTGTCCATTGTAAAAAACTGGAAAATAAGAAAAAGGGAATGCGCCAAGAGAGAAACGAGTGCCCGAGCCCCTCGCTGGCACCATGGCAACCGCTCGACCCCCGCGGGCCGCCGGAGCGCGCGGACCTCCAGTCGTCCGGGACACCGTTGCCATGGCTACCCGAGCACTACTGTGCCACGAGGGCGGGGCGGACGCCGCCGGCGGGCCGGCCCCGCCCGCCACTGCGGCAGTAACCCGGCTGCTGGATGCGGGAGGCACAAGCTGGCGTCAGTGCTGCCCGAGCTGCTGCAGTCCGCTGTGGCCCTTGCGCACGCCCGCCCTCACCTCCGCCGCGCCCGGCCTTGCCGTCTTTCCTGCGCCTCTGCTGCCTCCGCCCTTGGTCTTGGCCGTCCTCGCCGACCAGAGAAGCCCCAGAGCTCGCTAAGAAGCCGCTTGTGGGCTGGCCTGACTGCAGCCACTGCGACCTCGGGACAGTCTCTCCCTCCGGGACGGCACGGTCCTGTCAGACCTCCGCTCCTCGACCTCCTGAAGGCTGATCTCCGGTCGCGAACGCCTGACCGACCCCACCAGCGGCAGCGAATGCCCAGCGCCCGGGCTGCCTGAGGAGGCGGCCACGCCCCGCGACCACACCCCGGCGGCTCTCCAGCCTGACGGCGCCTGCCTTCTCCACCCGCCCGCTCTCGCCTTCCTGAGGCTTCGCGACGCTCTGTCTGCAGGCGGCGGACCCCTAGCCTAGACGCAAGATGGCGTCGCCCGCGTGACTGAGCATCAGGAGGCTCGGCTCCCAGGACACGCCGACGAACTGATTGGGGCGGCAGGGTGCAGGGCGAGAGCAGGACTCTGGTGCCATTTGTCCCCTGGGTTTGCGTGAAGCCTTCCTCGGGCCTACTTGGCAGGAGTGTTGGTATTGTTCTAAGTCCTAGAGCACGGTGAGCCTTCGTCTAATCCGTGTTTGTAGAATTGGCGCCCTTGATAGTTGGGAAAATGGCGATGACACTGTTGGAAGACTGGTGCAGGGGGATGGATGTGAACTCCCAGAGAGCTCTGCTGGTCTGGGGGATCCCAGTGAACTGTGACGAGGCTGAAATCGAAGAGACCCTCCGGGCTGCAATGCCCCAGGTGCCCTATCGAGTACTTGGGAGAATGTTCTGGAGGGAAGAGAATGCGAAAGCAGCCTTGTTAGAGCTTACTGGCGCTGTGGATTACGCCGCGATCCCCAGGGAGATGCCAGGCAAAGGAGGGTTCTGGAAAGTGGTCTTTAAGCCCCCAACTTCCGATGCTGAATTTTTAGAAAGGTTGCACCTCTTCCTAGCTAGAGAGGGGTGGACCGTGCAAGATGTTGCCCGTGTCCTTGGGTTTCAGAACCCTACTCCGGCCCCAGGCCCAGAGATGCCAGCAGAGATGCTAAACTATATTTTGGATAATGTTATTCAGCCTCTTGTTGAATCCATATGGTACAAGAAGCTGACGCTGTTCTCAGGGAGGGACATCCCGGGTCCTGGGGAGGAAACCTTTGATCCCTGGCTGGAGCACACTAATGAGGTCATCGAGGAGTGGCAGGTGTCTGATGTGGAAAAGAGGCGGCGGTTGATGGAGAGTCTTAGAGGCCCCGCTGCTGATGTTATTCGCATCCTCAAGACCAACAACCCTGGGATAACCACTGCCGAATGCCTGAAGGCCCTTGAGCAGGTGTTTGGGAGTGTGGAGAGCTCTAGGGATGCGCAGGTCAGATTTCTGAATACTTATCAGAACCCGGGTGAAAGGTTATCTGCCTATGTCATTCGCCTGGAGCCTCTCTTGCAGAAGGTGGTGGAGAAGGGGGCCATTGATAAAGATAACGTGAACCAGGCGCGCTTGGAGCAGGTCATTGCCGGGGCCAACCACAGCGGGGCCATCCGAAGGCAGCTGTGGCTGACTGGAGCTGCGGAAGGGCCGGCCCCAAACCTCTTCCAGTTGTTGGTGCAGATCCGGGAAGAGGAAGCCAAGGAGGAGGAGGAGGAGGCTGAGGCGGCCCTCCTGCAGTTAGGCCTGGAGGGGCGCTTCTGAGTTCCTGAATGGAAGCTTGAGTTCAGACCTAGATCACTGCTGCTTCCTGGTCCCAGGGGAGTCTTATGGGTGTGTCTCCGAGTGGTAAAGACTTAGCCTGTTCCACCTTTTTGTTTGTCTTTTTTGGGGGTTGGGGGGTGGGGATAGTCAGGCCTGCGTATTCATGTAACATTTGTAATATTGTGCAAGGGAGCACCATGAGCTGCTACAATACAGGTGTGGGTCATGTTGGCGAAGATGCCAGGTAAAGGTTTGGACACAAGTGCTCAGGGCAAGCTGCCATCATAGCATCATCATCAGTTGTGGAAAAACACCTGAACCAGTGACACTTCCCGTGGAGATAATTAAATGTGAAATTGCATGTTCAGATGTTTAATGCAGGGCCTGGCTCATAGGAAGTCTTTGGCAAAAATGTGAATTGTTATATTGCTACTAATATTGTGGATAGTTTGTGTTTACTGTAAATTGTTCCAGATTTATATTAATGTAAAGAAATGTGAATTTATTAGCTATTACTCAACTTTACAATGCAAATTTCTCATCTTTAAACATGTGGATCAGTTTAATTGAAAAGTATTCTGAGACTACATAATGGGGTGTTAGAAAAATACTGCAGTTATGAAGCTGTGTAAATCAATTTTTCACTATATAAGATACAGATAATAAATTGCATGGGGAGGTTGCTATGACCCATTTACAGTAATCTATTTCCCCGTTTCAAATCTTTGTTATGGAATAGTTCTTCATACTAAGTGTTCTAAATTTGAAGTTATCAAATAGAAGTATATGAATAAAAGTATTTTAAAAATTCTATTTTGTTTTTCTGACATGTATAAAACTTTTCAGTGTAATTAAGCTCTAATCCTTTTTTCTTATGCAGATTTCCCATGTCATTTAAAAAATCAAACTTCAATTTTATTTTTAAGCTTTATATCATACTATGTGAATTTAAATCGCATACCTTTTAATATATTCAAGTTTTACATGTTTTCATCAAGGCAAATGTCAGGTTAAATAGACATATATTTACTTCTATATACATACAGATACAATGTTAACTTACTACAAAATTTTAGAAAATCCTGAAATGGGGTTCAGGAGGTTATCTGGCAATGCTTTTTGTTCCTTTTTAAGTCACTTTTCAGCTAAAATTTTTTGTTTCACTGAAAGATCATAACTCATCATTACACCAGTGTAAAATGAATGTTTTACAGTGGCCATTTTATAGCAAGAAAATATATAAAGGGAAATGTGGCTTTAAAATATGTTTATTTTGCTGCAGAGATTCAGTGACTAAAGATATCCATCTTTTGAGAGCCTTAGTAAATCCGTAAGTGATTACATGAACGTTAAGTGCTCAGTGGGCTTTTCCCTAGTAAGGTTTTTAAATTATAGCTGACTCATATATAGTCATATACAGAATTTATAAAGGCTAATACTGGTATGTTTTTCTGTAAACTCATGTCTTCACTTCCCATGTCTGTACCTCCCTCTCCTCAAACATACATCTCCAAGTACTTGCCCCCCTCCTCCACAACATATGCCTGTCTTCACTTTCACTCACAAACAAATGCTATGTCCCTATCCGCTACCCACCAGATTCACAGCTTTCCCCTCCATTCCCACCAGTGTCAGGTACACAGATACCCCACCTCTCACACTCATATCTACACAGTCACTCTCACCTCTCCCTCCATACTCCATACACTTCATCCTCCCATTACACATATACACCATACTATGCCAGTCTCCCACCGAATTTCTTCCCACATAAACACACACACTCCCACTACCACCAAACACCAAACCAGCCACCATATGTACACATTCCCATTCCACAAACATATATACACACACACTTTAAGGTTTTTTTTTTTCTAATATGTTATGGCCATCCTTCTATAGTCTGTACATAGAGATAGATGTACCTTCTTTTTATAGCTGCAGAGTTGATTGCCTCCTAGGAGGAAAGTCATCACTTAGGATTCAGACTTTTACATGTAATTATATATAATTGTATATAAATTTAATGTAATACATATATATGACATAAAACAATGCCATGATCCTAGATGTCCATCCTTTGTTATAGGAAACAATGAAGAAAAAAGCTATTTATGATCTGAATTAAGGCTTCTTTATAGGTTCAAGTTAAAATTTATCTGCTTTTTTAGGGAGGACAGCAGCAAGAAAAGTATCCTTCATAATCAACTAGGGAATAAGAAGTAGAAACTGTACTACAGTCCTATTCTGTGACCAAAATTACATTTTGAAAATTACATTCTGAAAGCTCAGAATATGTGCTGGCAAAATGTGTAATATTACTGCTATTGCTGGGTTGTTCCTGTTTCTCAATTCAAGGGCCTATCGGCTAACCTTTACTTTGTACACTTACGGAAGTAAGGCAAGGACTAGGTAGGAATGGTCAAGTGCAGTGTGACTTGCCGTGTGACTTGCCATCCCTGTAAGCGCTCTTTCCAGGAGCCTAATAATTTAAAATCGTGCCCAGAGAACTTTGAGGAAGATTTACAAACCTGGGAGAGATTATCATTGGTAGTAAACTACTAAAAAAAAACTTAGCAAAAAGAAATTAGTCTTTCTCTCTCTCTCTCTCTCTCTTGTGCATGTGATATACACAAGCTGCCTGAAGTATATTACTCAAAGGCTGACTTTCTTTGGAATTGAATATCATTGGAAGTTTACATAGTTGCTCTATATTAGCTAAGACTAATAATCATATCACCAAAAAATACAAATCTTTTTTTATAAAGAACACAATTTATTACCATTTTAAAACAAATCTCACAAAATAACATTCAGAAACTCAACATTTCTAAATAATTTAACACACAATAAGATTAGTCATAAAGTCATGCTACAAAATTCCTGTATATAAAAGATTATTACCAAAGTATTAATAGATGTTAAAATGTTCTTCATAATGGAGTTGGTTTTATTAATAAAAGCCAAGGATTCTGAATGATGCTCGTGATCGTAACTGCCGACTTGGGAGAAGTATCTGACTATCTGTGTATTCTCTTCAGCTTCCAACTCCCGTCTTTTCATGGGATGATCCCTCTAGGCAATAGCACCTCAGAGGCAGGTACCCTACTGATCAAAGAAGCAAAGAGCTTCCCGTCTATAAAATGTTAGCCACAACCTAATTTAGCTGACACTTAATTTTAAAATCTAGATGTGGGAAAGATAACTCACAAAGTTTCTGAGTAGGATGAACTACTTGATACATCCCCCAGAGGGATGATCTTGGATTTAGCAGACATAGAAGATGACCCTAGTAGGGAAAAAGGAAAATCCTGACTCTGATTATGCCAACAGACAGCAACTGCTAATGTGGGCTTAGAATGAGTAAGGGTGAGGTCTGATTCCCTAACATCCATGTGCAGGCTAGGTATTTACCCATTTGCCCTTTGGAAGTACTTTCCACCAACATCCAGTTCATAATATTAAAGTGCAAATTTACTAAAAAATAGTTTACTCTCCCCTAACCCCTTTAAATTTGCTAGATTATCATTTGGTTTGCTGGTTCCCTTTGAACCTGCCCAATATGGGAAATTAACTAGAATCCAGTTATGACTTGCCTAAATATTGAGTGAAAAGTTTTACCTATTTATCTTAGGTCAGAGAAAGGTAAGATTTACTCTAGTTTTTCCTTTTAGTTTTTCTTCCTTTACAATCACTAATTTATAAAAAGGCAGGAATAGAGATCTAGATATGGTATTTCTAAAAGTTCAGTTATTTTTAAATATAACACTTCATTTTAAAAATTTCACCTATTTTATGGTTTTACAAAAAGAAATGATACATGCTAGAGCAAAATAAAGGAATACAGCCAAGTTTGCTATGTCAGAAGAAGCACCAACTCTGCTAAACTGAACCTTGTTTTTATATTTCGTTATTTACAAACACATTAAACAGCCCAAATAAAGAAAATGTGTGCCAAAGGAATGAACTTCTGGTAAAGTATAACGTGTTTTAGCATTCTTCTCCCTTTACCAACACTTACAATGTATAAGGTCTTAGTGAACTGATGGTCTGACTGTAGTCAGAGACACTAGCTAATCATGATGAATGCTTTGACAATTCCCCCAAATGCTTTTAAGTCAATGATTAACTCCAACCTTTGTGAGCCTTACTCTTTTCCATTTAGCCCTAAGAAAAAATCAGGTACAAGATGCCAACTCTATTTATACATCACCAATTCTGAGAATTCATTCCTCATTCCTCCTTATTCTGCTTTAGACCACTAGTAAAGGGTGTCAGAAGAACTTATTCAAGTTGAAATTTCTTTCCACACAGGAGCCATATTTAAGTGCCTTGTATCACCTCTATATGTAGAATGGATACAGTAACCATACCAAATTATTGACCAGTTACTATGAGCAGACATTCTTCTATCACACCCCAAATTCATGTTGACACCAGCTAACTTTCCTATATGATTATCATATTTTATACAATATTTTTCTGTATTTAATCACTTCCACAGTCTGCAAAATCTGTGCATTATAGACAATGAATAACAAAGAATGATGATCTATTTTCTAAAGTACACTCAAAATATTAAATTTTAGAGACAAAATAAAATCTGTCATAAAGTTGGATTCTGTTGATAGTAACAGAGAGGTAGGTTAATAATTACTATCCTAAAATAAGCAAGAATGTTAAGAAATAAAAGTTGAGACCCTGCTGAAAAAAGGTAAGTTGAACCTTTCAGCCCTGAGTTTCTAACATTATTTGAAAATTGTGAAAATGAGCATTACAAAAAACGGGAAACACCAGTGGCCATTCCGTTGCATCCATGATTATTAAATACATCACCTTCTGACATACAACAACTCAAGTGGCACATGGCTACAGAGTGAAAACAAATGGACTCTGGACAAAAGGAATGTTCGTGTAAAAAGCACTGGTTCTTAACCAGGGGAGGATTATTTGTTCCCATCCTCCTGCCCCAGGGGACAGATGGCAATGTCTGGAGATATCTTTTGTTGTCATAACTGGGGAGGAAGTTCTACTGAAATTTAGTGGGTAGAAGCCAGGCATGCTGCGAAATATCCTATAGTACACAGGATAGCCCCTCACAATAGTGAATTATCCAGCCAGAAATGTTAATGGTACCAAGGCTGGAACCTCTGAGTTAAAGGAACAAGTTCCTATTAACAGAGAACACAAAAACTTTTCATAGGCCTGGCTAGATAATACAGCCATAAGCTTAGAGTTAGGAAACACAGAAAAGTTAAATTCCTTGGTAGACTAGAATCAAATTTGCTGTGAAAAATTAAAATACTAGACTGATTCCTGACCTCTACCATCATTTACAAGAATAGAAGAAATTTAAATGATCCACTAAAATGGCTTAATTCTTTAAACCAGAGAATCCATTCCAAGTAGGTCAAATATCTAATCCAACAGTCATAAACAAAGGCATTTAATATCAACTCAATTTATGGCAATAAAGGATAGTTCAAGGCAAGATTTCAGAGGATATCTCCCCTTTTTCAAACACCCTACCTTCCATTTTCTAATGTATGGATTCTGGCTTTAGTTCCATGAAAGAGATGCATGGAAGTCATTCAAATATTTGTTGAATGGTACTGAATATGAATTTTGTGTAAAATGGACACAGAAAAGTATCTTAAATTTCTCTGAGATCTACTAGTAATTAAAAGAATTTAAGAAACAAGGAGAAAAAGTGAAAATTCGTTTCTATATTATAGAATACAGAAAAACAAACACCAAAGCTGTAAGCCATTTTACAAATAAATTCAATATGAAGTCATCCATTACTTATTATACTCACTTCCAGGTACCTTTTAGAAAACATACCCATACATAACAATATCACTTCAAGCTCGCCTACTGGATGAAGTACACAATATAAGTAAGGATGATCATCTTCCCTCTTAGGTTATGAGCCTTAAACATTACCATGGAGAATGAAGATTCCTTGACTATGGAAAAGAAATGCCCAAAGGCTTTGAATGTATACACCAAAGTAAAGGTTTCTTCCTATCAGATTGAAAGGAAGAGAAAAGGAAGCTAAAAAAGTATTAGATTAAATTTGCCTCTTATCTGTATTTAGAGTTGATTGTCAAAGCAGTGGTCCCTTTTGATCAGAGTGACTCAGAAAAATCAAGTCATTTCTACTTAATTGATAGCTGAAAACTCCTAAAACCCAGGACTACTTTTATAAAAATGATTATCCCGTCTTTCACTGTCATTTTATGCAAGTAAAATCACACAAGTAGGTGGAAAACCCAGAATCAATAGTCTCTGGCTGAGGGACTTTAGGCACAATTGGCAGAGGGCCCCTGACTTATTTTCTGCAATTATTAGTGATTCAGCCATGGCTTCCTATGGACTTCATCTGGTTACTGACTACAATGCCTTGCATTCTCCATGATAAATTCTACTCTCTGCATCTAACTACTGTTTTGCAAATTTGAGGTTAAATCACCTCCAATGCTTCATGTAGGAGGCAATCCTCAAACATTGCCTTTTGCCTGGGATCCCATAATGAAATATCTCTTCTCTCTTCCCTCCATAATCACTTACATAATACATTTTAAGAGCTGTTTAACTTAGAACTTCTCAAAAAATATATTTTGAAATACTAAGATTCATTTATTGAAAAGTACCAAATTCAATCCTTAAGTCTATACCCTTATAACAATAACAATCACTTTTTCCAGCAATGAGGGTCACCAGACCAAATCAAATCATTAGGGTAAATTTTGATATATATCAATGATCAACATTTAGGCTAGGAATTCAAATATAACAACTGCTTTTAACATATAAGGAACTATAAGCCAAAAAGTATGCTTAAAGCCAGGTCCACATAAATCATATGGCCACATTATTGGTCAAGGGAATGATCACAGGAGTCATTTTAACCATTGACTTGGATCACAGAATGACTGATTGTACACAACGACTCAGTGGCCATGCATGTAAACACAACCTAAATTCCAGCTGGCACTAAATATGTGAATATTTTTGGAAAAACAAATAAGTAAATATAATATGAGCTAGAAGGCCTCCAAGATATTAATTTTTCCATTTTCACCATAGCTTTTCCAACTGGACTTTGGAGTCTTGGTTTGAGGACTGCTGTATTTCTAAAAGGAACTCTTCCCATTACCATGCTGCCTTCTCAACCAAAGGCATGCTATACTTGTGCTTCTGAGTTGTAAGGAGATGGACCTTCAGGAGAGATGTTCTACACATTCAAAAGTATATCTTTTAAACTGCCTAATCTAAAAAAGCTAAACAAATTGAATAAAGAACATTTGTTCCTTTGTTGTTAAAAGTGAAGGTGGCAACACTATATAACTGGGACTGAAGACAAAAATAGAAAATTCATAGTTTCTAAAAAGAGTACTAGAATGTATAAAGTTGGTATTACCAGTTTTAGGGAGAAAAATGCTAAGTAGATTAAGAAAAGAAAAGATGGGAATGAGAGATTTGTTTTAAGAACCTTTTGCCCCACACAGAATCTTTAAAATAGACAATTATATAAAACTTATCTATTGTTCTTATGACATTTAAATAAGTTAACACAAAGTGGAAAATGTGGAGTTAGTTGTCTTCTTCCTCATCCTCTTTAATTACTGGAGTACCTAAAATGAAAAAGAAAATTATTACTGGTCATTCTCAACAGATTGTTAAAAGTTAGATGAAAATATTTTCCTGTTAACCTGAGCAGCTCTGAGATACTGTGAAGTGTGCCATAATAAAAATAATTTTATAAAATAATATCTTTAATCTCAAATTCTCTAAAAAGCCTCTCAGGAAAATTCTCAAATGGATTAATATATAAATACTTATGAATATTCAGCTTCCCAAATGCAGAGTTACAAATGAAAATGCCTACAAATGCCAGGCAGAAAATTAAAGTAAGCCCTCTATACACCTTAAACTTTTTTTTTTTTTTGTAGAGATGGGGTCTTGCTATGTCATTCAGGCTGGTCTTGAACTCCTTCCTAGCCTCAAGTGATCCTCCTGCCTTGGCCTCCCAAAGTGCTGGCATTACAGGTATGAGGTACCACATTTGGCCCAAAAAATTTCTAAGTACAAAGAAATATTTTTCATTTTTCACAATAAAATACATAATCCCAGTATAGTTAAAATTTGAATTTTTATGTGAACTCCTCCAATTGTTAAACATTGGGGATAAATTGAAAAAAAGAAAAAAAATCACTGCAGGGAAAACAAAACACATCTATAGGCCCTCACTGGGCCAAGAGCCACCTGTTTCTGAGTTCTAGCATTTGAAGCCACAATCTGACTCCAGGCTAGTCATCTCTGCACATCATTGCTTCAGGGGCAGTATGGAAAGCAGAAATAGACTGTAAGATTGGCTGGCTTTTGTCTTTGAAAACCTAAGAAGACCACTGAGAAGATGTAGTTTGTGAGGAGACAGAATGATGTGGAGGAGGGGGATGATGATTCTTCCTAGACTGGAAAGATATTTCCCTGGGGAGGTCTGGGAGTTCTAGAACAGTAAGAATCTTGGCCCTGCTTCCTGATAGCAACACTGGGAGAAGATAAAACTCAGAGAGGAATGACTGTTTTATCTAGGGAGATACTCCTATAGCCACCAAGAATCTCATTCTCAAAAAGCACTTCCATAATCCAAGCATAGCATAGATGCGGCAGGGAGCAGGCAGGGAGCAGGCAGGATCAGGCCTAAATGGGCCTTAGGACTGGGGACAATCTCAGTGGTAACCTTTCGGGGCAGTTGGCCAATGACCGGAAGAACTCTCATCACGAGTTGCCCAAGAATAGTGGCATAATCCCAGGGGAAACCTTAAGAATGATAGACTAAATTTCTTAACAACCTAGCTAAATTGAATTGGGGAAGTGGGGTTTAAAGTCAAAATGACACTGATTTATATTGAAATATTTCTTATACATATGAGTTTTGGGATTGATATTAAAATTTTCTAAATGATTATAATAATGAAAATAATAATATATTTCTGAATACTTACATTGTGCTAAGCACAATGTTTAACATAAATTATCTCAATGCATTCAAAGTTTCACATAGATTATTTCATTTAATCATAACACTAAGATATATGCTCTAAAATGATTATTCATGGTACTATTATCATCTCTAGTTTTTAAATTACAGACAAACAAGATTTGGTGAGATTAATTAATTAGCATAATGTCACAAATGCTATTAAGTGGTAGAGCTGGGACTTCACCTAGTCAGGGATATCTACTGACACTGACACCAGTTTTAGATATTGGGAAACTATAATTGGGAGTGGGAGGAGAGAAAATGAGAGAGAACACCACAGTTTTGATCCAACTGTAAAAAAGTAACTACTTATCATTTATTTCTAATTATTCTGCAAAATAATACCTTTATGACTTGAGAAAAAGCTTAGCTTTCTCTCTCTCTCTCTCTCTCTCTCTCTCTCTCTCTTTCTTTCTTTCTTTTGAGACAGAGTCTCACTCTGTTGCCCGGGCTAGAGTGCCATGGCATCAGCCTAGCTCACAGCAACCTCAAACTCCTGGGCTCAAGTGATCCTCCTGCCTCAGCCTCCTGAGTAGCTGGGACTACAGGCATGCACCACCATGCCTGGCTAATTTTTGTTATATTTCATTTTAGTTGTCCAGCTAATTTCTTTCTATTTTTTTAGTAGAGATGGGGTCTTGTTCTTGTTCAGGCTGGTCTCAAACTCCTGAGCTCAAACAATCCTCCTACCTCGGCCTCCCAGAGTGCTAGGATTACAGGGATGAACCACCGTGCCTGGTCCCAGCTTTCTTTCTTTTTAACTAGCTTAAATGAGCTAGCAGTTTGTTTTTCTTTAACATAAAACTCCAAGTAGATAGTAGATAGTTATTGAACTTTGTTATCAGGAACTCATGATCCTTCTCTTACTGTTTGCATCTCTGGCCTCTTTGTGATAGAGGGCAGAGTGAGAAAAGAAAGAGGCTCAGTACCAAACTTGAGTAACTCCAGCTTTAATTCAACCTATCAGCAGGAAATTTATGTCAAGAAAGAATATACAATTTTTTGTTGTTTTTTTGGTTTTTTTTGAGACAGGGTGTCACTATGTTGCCCAGGCTGGTATCCAACTCCTGGGCTCAAGGCATCCTCCTGCCTCAGCCTTCTGAGTAGTTGGGACTATAGGCGGCACCACTACACTGAACTTTAAGAATATACAATCTTTAACTAAAAGGGCATTGTGTAGTTATTTGTTATATTTATCCCCTCAATAAGATTATAATTTTCTCAGTGACAGACACTATTTCAATAATCACTTTTTATCCTCAGTGGAATGCCAAGCAACTATAATAAATAGTTCCTTAATAAGTATTTATTGATTAGATTAATGAATGAAAGAACAGGTTTGGAAATTATTGCTGTTACACATTGGGCAGTGCTTCAGTAGACATGCCAACATGCTAGATGGCAAGCAATCCCCACATATACATAAATATATATACATTTTTTTTTAAGAGATGGGGTCTCACCATGTTGTCTAGGCTGGACCCAAACTCCTGGGCCCAAGTGATCCTCACACCTCAGTATCCCAAGTAGCTGAGACTATAGGCATACACCCCTGTGACTGGCACCACATATATTTATAAGGCCGAGCTTTCTTATAAGCTTTTGGTCTAAGGATGGTCTTGTAACAGTCTAAATGTCCTAGGAGTTTTTCATCCTACCCTGGCCCAAACCTGGATCATTAAATTTTATATGGACAGAAATGGCCTTGAAGATTAGAAATAACCTACTATTTTCGTAAGTTTTTCTCCTTTTCATGATTCCATGCCACACATTTAACTTTTATACATAAATAACATTTCCAAGCCAGCTCAGAGTCACTCACCATCCAGCTTTTTCAGTTTGGGCACTCTCTTGGTTGCCTCTTCAATCCAGTTGTTCTCAGCAGAATGTTTCTCTTCCAAGGGATTGCCTACAAACACCAGGTCTTCCAGGCATGGCAGTTCTGCCAGCTTCACAAATTCAGCTACAAGTACAAAGAATATTTTCCATATTAAAACAGCAAGTTTTGGCCGGGCGCAGCGGCTCTGACTGTAATCCTAACACCCTGGGAGGCCGAGGCAGGCGATTGCTTAAGGTCAGGAGTTCGAAACCAGCCTGAGCAAGAGCGAGATCCCGTCTCTACTATAAATAGAAAGAAATTAATTGGCCAATTAATATATAGAGAAACAATCAGCCGGGCATGGTGGCGTATGCCTGTAGTCCCAGCTATTTGGGAGGCTGAGGCAAGAGGATTGCTTGAGCCCAGGAGTTTGAGGTTGCCGTGAGCTAGGCTGACGCCACGGCACTCAGTCTAGCCTGGGCAACAAAGCGAGACTCTATCTCAAAACAAACAAAAAAAACAAAAAAATAAAAATAAATTTAAAAATAAAACAGAAAGTTTTACTGTTACTATTTTTGGGATTAAATTCCAACATGACTAACCCTCAGTTTGTGACTAGTCAGGACAATTAGTTATTTAAGATTTTGAAGGAAGTTAAGAAAGTTATATCATATGAAGTTATTATCAGAAGACATTATGGGAATGGAGGAAAAAAGAAGACATACTACTTCTACCTTTAATGCTAGCCTAAGGATGGGATAAGAAGAGGAGATGAGGTTTAGAGTCAAAAAGAACAAATTGGCCTGCCATGGTGGCTCATGCATGTAATCCCAGCACTTTGGGAAGCTGAGGTGGGAGGATTGCTTCAGGCCAGGAGTTTGAGACTAACCTGGGCAACATAGCAATACCCCATTTCTACAAAAAAATAAAAAAAATTAGGTGGGCATGGTAGCATGCCTCTGTAGTCCCAGCTACTCAGGGGGCTGAGGCAGGAGGATCCCTTGAGCCCAGGAGTTGGAGGCTCTGCAGTGAGCTATGTTCGGGCCACTGCATACTCTAGCCTGGGCAACCAAGTGAGACTCTGTCTCAGAAATAAAAAGAACAAATCAATCTCCAGTGACAGGTCTTATCTATGCTGTGCTGCGGCAGCCAAACTGCCTTTTTCTCTACCTATGCCTCCATCTTTGAATTCTTAAAGCAACTCATTAAAATCTCTATTACAGAATTTATCACATAGTTTTATAATTATTAGCTATAAACTAATTTTCCCAACCAAGCTGTGAACTCCTTGAGGGCAGGGATAGTACCCTATTCAACTATATCTCAAAAGTCTAGCATAATTCATGGCATATAAATGAATGAATAACATACAATAAAAAAGCAAAGCAATATAGATACCAAATGTCATTACCCATGAATTATTAAATTTAAACAGATTCCTTCAGCCTTTGTATAATAACTTAAATTTTTTTCGTGATTAATAAGACTAGGATCTATCCAATTATATTCATTCTAAGTAGATATTTAAATATAAATTTTAAGCATTTAAAATTCAGGAACTCTTATAGCTATTTCTTTCAGAGCTTAGAAATAAATGTTTCCATTTTCTCTCTGTGCTTAGAAATATAGGTTCCCATTTACATCTTTTTCCCCTATTCGGCTATTTTCTATGAACAGGAGGTAGAAGGTTAGCAAAGAGCCATTCTCAGCTTACCCCATTCTTTGACTAGATTATTAGACATGTAGAGAATCTTCAATTTCCTCATTACATGAATCCCTTTCAATTTCTCAATAAAATTGTAGGAGATCCACAGTTCTTCTAACGTGTCCCCTACTGCTTCCTGAAAAAGAAAGACATTTGATTTACATGCTCATTTTTAATCTTTTCCTTTTTATCTCTTTGTTTATAAACATATAAACAATAGCTTTCAAAGAAAACTAAGACCCTCCTGTCTACCTGTAGGAGAGCTGATAGCTGTGTGGGAGGGTTTTATTTCTCATTAAGAGAGCCAAGCAGAACATTCTCTTCCTCTCTTCATATTGATACAAACTCTTCATTCTCTGACTGCTCCACTTAGCAAAAACTCACAAAACATACCGTGTTTCCCCGAAAATAAGGCCTATCCATAAAATAAGCCCTAGCAGGATTTCTAAGCATTTGCGCAATTTAAGCCCTACCCTAAAAATAAGACCTAGTGATGAGCGTGGCTACGCAGCATACCTGCACAACCCATGAAGAAGATGAGCAGCCCTTCTCATCTGCCCTATTGTGACAGCTACTATCCCAGAGGTGACTGGAAAGGTTCAGGCAGCCCCACCAACAAGGTGGGCTCCCCCTGTCAGGTTCCGGCCATCCTGTGCATGCTGTAAGCTGAGGCTTTGAGGGGAAAATAACACATCCCCTGAAAATAAGCCATAGGGTGTCTTCTTGAGGAAAAATAAATATAAGATCCTATCTTATTTTTGGGGAAACATGGTAATATTTTACTAAGAACAGCTACCGAAGTCACCTGGAGGGGGAATAATTGCACTATTTTATCGCTTTTATTAAATGTACAATTTTTAAATTATATTCCTATAGATTATATTACTTGGTTCTTACAACATTTAAAGTTGACAGGGAAGATTATTTTATTTCTATTATAGAGAGATTAAGGGCTTTTTATTCTTTTTATTTTTTTTTCTTTATTTTCTCTTCAACGCGTAGTAAGATTAAGGGCTTTTTAAATGAATACACTGGTATTAAATAATAGAGCTAGGTCTATTTAGTTTACGGTTTTCCCCAAAATTTATTTTGAAAATTTTCAAACATAAAAAGGTTAAAAGAATTTTATATTAAACATCCATATATATCTACTATCCAGAGACTTCCATTAATATTTTGCTATACTGTCTTGTTATGTATCGGTCTGTCCATCTAGCCCACATCCATCCTTTTATCTTACTTTTCTGATGTATAATATTCAGTTTTAATCTTTCCAAAATAGTATTAAGGTTTATATGATACTGCCTCTTAAATGCTAAATATAATCAATAGTTGCACAAAGACTTTTCTTTGTTTCATAACATAAGAAAAACACAATGATCTTTTTCTTTCAAAAAATAAAACAAAAAAAGGCAGGATTAATTAGATGCTCCATAACTTAAGGACCTAGAAGGCCACATTAAGGCCTTTAAATATCATTTTAAAGTCATTCTTTGATGCTAAGAAAGATCCAATTGAAATATGGAAAAATGTAGTAGAATACCCATACTTTCAGCAATATGCTCAAAAAATGTTTTCTTGCTTTTTAACCACTTACTGATGCAAATCTACATTCTCCTACCTAACCCAAATCAAGACACCCTTATGGTCACAAATGACAGATGCCCATTTAGAGGATCAACTGAAACTGTGGACCTCCATGCTGCAACAAAATATTCAAATGCTTTCCAACAAAAAGTAGACACAACAAAAGCATTAAAAGGTTAATCAACTTTAAAATTAACAAATAGTTTTTACTTTTTGAAATTATTAAGTACACAGTAGTTAGATCTTTACAAAATAATATATATTTTTAAGTTTATCTAATTGAAGTTTCTTGAATTCATCATTATTGGATTACAGCTAAATTAATTCTGCCTTCCAACATGAAAAGGCTCCCCCACCCCTGCTCTGTGCTGTTTGTACAACAACAAAATCACCTAATGTCACTTCTTAGAATGTATCCCTTTGGTTAAGCAACGTATGATGATATTTCAAAACAGCTAGAAGAGAAGATTTTTAATATTCTTACCAAAATAAATAATAAATGTTTGAGGTGCTAGATATGCAAATTATCTTGATTTGATCATCACACAAGTGTATAGTGTATATATACCAAAATATCACGTTGTACCCCATAAATATGTACAATTATTAGGTGTCAGTTTAAAAAAAATTACCCAGCAATACATCTTTGTATAAGAAATGCACACAGCCTTGTAGGAATTAAAACTATAAAATTTCTACTGAAGGTTATAAAAAAATCTGAATACATCTTTCTGTAAGGGAAGATTCATTATTATAAAGATATAAATTCTCTCCAAAGCAATCTATAAATTTAAATGCAATCTACTAAGGCTTCCAATGGGAATTTATTTTCATGAACTTGATAAAATGATTCTCAAGTTTCTCTGAAAACTAAATACCCAAGAAAAGCTGTAAACATTCTGAAAAAGGAGAGAGGACTTATCCTAACAGATATTAAAATATATACTAAAGCTAAAGAAAATTAAAGCAGCATGATATTGAAGCTGGAATATACAGAAAGAGCAACAAACAGAAAGAAATTGACTATCCAGGAACCTACCCATGTGTACACAGGAGTATAGCAGGTGGCATTTCCAAACAGTGAGAAAAGGAGACTTTTCAATAAATGGCTAAGTATTTAGAGAAAAAAAATAAGGTTTCACACTTTCCTCATGACACATGTAAAAATAAACTCTAGATAAATTAAAATTAAAAATTTTAAACTTTAAAAAAATTTATATTAAAAAAGAAAATATAAGATTTTTTACATCTATAAGTAGAGTTAGGACCTTTTGTGTAAAATACAAAACACAGTAGTCATAAAGATTTGACTACTGGCCAGGCATGGTGGCTCATGTCTGTAATCCTAGCACTCTGGGAGACCAAGGCAGGTGGATTATTTGAGCTCAGGAGTTCGAGATCAGCCTGAGCAAGAGCGAGACCTCGTCTCTATTAAAAAAAATAGAAATAAATTAATTGGACAGCTAAAAATATATAGAAAAAATTAGCCGGGCATTGTGGCGCTTGCCTATAGTCACAGCCACTCAGGAGGCTGAGGCAGGAGGATCGCTTGAGCCCAGGAGTTTGAGGTTGCTGTGAGCTAGGCTGAAGCCATAGCACTCTAGCCCAGGCAACAAAGTGAGACTCTTGTCTCAAAAAAAAAATTGACTACTAAAAATTTTTAAAACTCAGTCAGGTGCCTTGGCTCACACCTATAATCCTAGCACTTTGGGAGGCCAAGGAGGGAGAATGACTTGAGTGGCAGGAGTTTGAGACCAACCTGAGCAACACAGTCAGACCTCGTCTCTACAAAAAAAAAAAGGCAGGTGTGGTGGTGAGTACCTGTAGTCCCAGCTACTTGGAAGGCTAAGGTGGGAAGATCGCTTAAGCCTAGGAGTTCAAGGTTACAGTGAGCTATGATGGCACCACTACACTCCAGCCTGGGCGACAAAGCCAAAAAAAACCACAAAAAAAACCCCAAAACTCCATTTTTAAAACTCCACGTGATGACCATGAATAAAGTAAAAAGCCAAGTGGACCCAGTAATCAGTATCTAGGTTTGACTATTGCCCTTCCTCCTGCCCTTCTCCCCTCCTCGATTAACTTCTTATCTTTTTTTTGTTGTGTATCCAATTATCTGTCAATGGACACTTGGGTTGCTTCTACCTCTTAACTATTGTGAATAATACAGCTATGAACATTGGTGTACAAATATTTTTTGTTTGTATTTTTTTGGGAGAAACAATTTTAAAATGGAAAGGATAACATAAACGAGATTTTAAAAAGTCAACCAGTCAAACAAGTACAAAAAGAAAAGTCTCTTTCTCACTCCATACCCCTAGCTCCTTTCCCCAGAAGTAACAGCTATCACCAGAATTTGTACATATAAATATCCACTTTGCTTTTTTCCCCACTTAATATCTCTTGCAAATTATTCCATTTCAGCACATACAGGTCAATTCTACCTGACCATTTTCCCTCGATGCATATTATTTATTTATTTAGCTAGTCCACTACTGATAGACACTTACATTGTTAAAATCTTTTGTACAAACTATGTTCCAATGAACATACTTGCTCCACAATCTTTGTCCACCTATGCGAGTATGAAAAATTCCTAGATATAGAATAGTTGGGACAAAGTAAATATACTTTGAAGATTGTGACAGTTGTTGACAAACTGCCTGTCTCAGCAACAGTGTTTAAGAATGCCTTTTCACTATTCTTGAGCACTTTCTGAGTCTCAGTTTCTTTACCTTATAACTGGTCATCTCTGGCCACTGACCTTTCTCTTCCTTGACCGTGCCAAATACATTCCTACCTGAGAACCTTTGCACTTGCTGTTCCCACTGTCTTAAAAACTCTATTACCATGGATTTCCACTAAGCTGGCTCCATTTTAAGCTTTACATCTCAGCTCAGATATCACCTCCTAAAAGGTGACCCAACCATCCTGTATCTACAGCAGCCCTCTAGGCAATAACTCTCACCATTTTTTCCTCTTACTCATTACTGTCTGAAATTCTTATTTGTTCTCTCTCTCTCTCTGGCTCTTTCACCCTACTGACCGTGCCAGTTTTGCTAATCGGCATCTATAATAGCACCTGATATGTAAAGGATGCACTCTATAAATATTTGAGTGACTCAATATATTTTATTACTAATTATATAACTATTACTTGAGTTAAAAATTTTTATTTATTTATTTTTTTTATTCTTTATTTTTCATCTCCTAAAGTTCATTAAGATGGCGCAGAGTTAAAATTTTAATTCTAAAAGTAATACATATTCATTGTAAAAAACAAATAAAGCAATTTATAAATATATGACATATACTGTGAAAGTCTTTCCTCTCTCTACCTACCCCCAGCTCTATAAGGTAATAAAAATTTTGTTTGTTTTGTGTACTTTAAAAATTTTTTTGTGCACATACAAATAAATAGATAGCTGTGTGTGTGTATATATGTTAAATTATTTGTACTGATAGTACACAAGGTATTATTTTTTCTGTAATTTAGATTTTTCATTCAACAATATATCAAGAATATCCTTCTATGTCAATACATGCAGATTTAATACATTTTTAAAAACTGAAGTCACATCCTCTAATAAAAAATCTCCAATGGCTTTGCAAACCACTTGGAATAAAATCTAAAATCTTATTATGGCCTATAGGCTGTATATGGCCTGGTTCCTGGCTCCTTCTCCAACACTGAGGACCACACTCCCTCCTTCACTGAACTCCTCTTGTTCTTATTCAAGGACACTAAGCAGCTCCTGGTTCAGGACATTTTCACTTACTGTCCCCTGAGCCTGGAGCACTTGACCCCTGTAGCCTACATCCTCATTTCTACAGAGAAGAGTTCCAATCACTCTATATTCTCTTACTATGCTTCATTTATCTTCCTTGCATTCATCACCACCTGATGTATTATACAATTATTTTTAGTATCACTCCCTCCACTATAATGTAAGCTCTATGACAGCAAGGACTTCTTAAAAATATTCTTCTGTAACTCTAGTGCCCAGAATAGTGCCTGGCTTAAAGTAGGCATTCAAGAAATATGTTGAGGCTGAGCCTATTAGTGGCTCAGCCGATTAGTGGCTCATGCCTGTAATCCTAGCACTTTGGGAGGCCGAGGCGGGAGGATTGCTTGAGCTCAGGAGTTAGAGACCAGCCTGAGCAAGAGCTAGACCCCATCTCTACTATAAATAGAAAGAAATTAGCCAAACAACTAAAAATAAAAAAAATTAGCTGGGCGCAGTGGCACGTGCCTGTAGTCCCAGCTACTCAGGAGGCTTAGGCAGGAGGATCGCCTGAGCCCAGAAAATTGAGGTTGCTGTGAGCTAGGCTAACACCACGGCACTCTAGCCCAGGCAACAGAGTGAGACTCTGTCTCAAAAATAAATAAATAAATAAATAAATAAATAATATGTTGAATGAATGACATTTAAAACTGATTCTTACATATTAACTGAAAAAGGAGATGCAAAACAATATGTATGGTATGATTTAATTATCTACATACCCATTGAAGAATGGAAAAAAGGCAAAAAAGATACAAATAAAAATGTTAGCAGTGTTTAAATTGTCAGTGGTTTACAGGCACTTTTAATAGTTGCTTTTCTACTTTGTAAAGTTTCTGCAATAGACAAGCATTATTATTATTTTTTTTTTTTTGAGAGAGAGTCTCGCTTTGTTGCCCAGGCTAGAGTGAGTGCCGTGGCGTCAGCCTAGCTCACAGCAACCTCAAACTCCTGGCTCAAGCAATCCTCCTGCCTCAGCCTTCCAAGTAGCTGGGACTACAAGCATTCGCCACCATGCCCAGCTAATTTTTTGTATATATATTAGTTGGCCAATTAATTTCTTTCTATTTATAGTAGAGACGGGTTTCGCTCTTGCTCAGGCTGGTTTTGAACTCCTGACCTCGAGCAATCCGCCCGCCTCGGCCTCCCAGAGAGCTAGGATTACAGGCGTGAGCCACCGCCTGGCCTGATTATTTTTATACTAAGAAAAAAAGTGTGTGCTTTTCTTAAGTAATAAATAACAACCTACCAGTCCATTTAAGTTCTTTATGTTGTTTCTTCCTAAAGACAGTATCCTCAAGTTTTCTGTATGGAAAAAAAACAAACATTTTTTTGTTTATGAGAATCATATTACAAAATCATTGTAAATCTAGAAGCTTTAATAAATTTTCTATAATATCGTGATATAATGAGTAAGAAAAGCTATGTTAAAAAAAATGGGTAATTAAGTAAGAAATAACATTGACCTATCATCTAAGGTAAATACTACAACTATAATTTCACATTATGCCAATATTAAGTTAAAAAATGGTTAGCTATCTGGAATTCATGACCTTAAATTGCTGGCTAGTAAAAATATTACAGGGATAAAATAAGAGTAAAGAAGATTTTAAGTTTGGGAGCATACATATTTCAAATCTCTTATGAGAACTCAGACTAGAAAATAGAAACATATATTTATGTATAGTCCACGTTACTCTACAAGGGATCAGAAATGAAATAAAATAAATTTAGTATTTAAAAAGTCTTTTGCTTTCAATCTTTTAAATAATTAGACTGTGATTTGGTTAAAAACATAAAATGCCTGTTTGTATTTTTTAAAAAGATGTTTCTATTTGTATATCTATAGGCTATTTCTGGAGGAGAAAAACAAAAGCAGAAAAGGTTGCCTTTGGGAACGATTTGGGAGTCTATGGTCAGAAGACTTATTTTTCTTTGTATTAATAACTTCTTTTGGACCATTTGAATAAAACCATGTGCATATATTATTTTTCCAAATTAAGGACAGATTAATTCTGTTCTAAGAAACTACTGTGATTGCTTTGCATTATTTATACATTTAGTTTTCACAATTTAAGCTTCTATAACTCCCTTATATGGTAGTCACTAGCCACATGTGACTATTTAATTTAAATTAATTAAAATTAAATACAACAGGCAAGGTGTGATGGCTCATTCCTATAATCCCAGCACTTTGGGAGGCCAAGGCTTGAGGATTGCTTGAGACCAGGAGTTTGAGACCTACTGAGGCAACACAGAGAAATATTGTCTCTACAAAAAAAAAATTTAGCTGGGCATGGTAGTACAAGCCTATAGTCCCAGCTCCACAGGAGACTAAGGCGGAGACCAGGAGTTCAAGGTCACAGTGAGCTATAAACCTGCTACTGCATTCCAGCCTGGACAAGGGAATGAGACCTTGTCTCTTAACCACTTCAGTATGAGTGTTGACTTATAGTCGATAGCCACAGATGAATGCACACAGCTGACTTTAGCCAACAGCCGTGATACGAAAGCACATAGCCGAGCTTCGACTTTAGCGTTAATAATAAAACTTCTACAACAGTACTCTGAATCAAGGCAATACAATCCTTGTACTGAATCAGAAAATCTCATGCATTTTAGAGAAAGACATTTTCCAGCACCTTACAATAGTGATAAAACAAAAAGGAAAAATCCATTAAGAAGATGTATTGTATGCTCAAAAAATAATAAAAGGCGTAGTACTAGATACTATTGTAAACAATGTAATGTTGGCCTATGTGTAGCCCCATGCATCAAAATTTATCATACCAAAGAATATAATTTATCATAATATTAAAAAATTTGCCTTATTTCTTTATGATATGAATAAAACTATAATTTTGAATTGACTTTTCTAATTTTTCATTTATCAAAATAAAATTGTGAACATTTAAAAATAATGTAATGAAAACATATATGTTACCTATTCTTATTTACATTACAAGTAAAGCTGCCTGTAAAGTAAAACAAGCTTTCAGTGCTTTAAAGCTTTCCTCATCACACAAGAGCAAAATGGATTCATCATCAATGCACAGCACAAACTATCGTGCGGACTATGACTGCTGACTGTCTGGCACATGAACCACATTTCGAGTGCTTGATAGCTATATGTGACTAGCAGCAACTGTGCTGAGACAGTGCAGATTTCTGTTGGATGGCGCTATTCTATAACATCCACAATTCAATCTAAAAACATAAATCCAATTAACTGAGTTCTAATCCCAACACTCTAGGGAAGCAACCAAACCTCTTTGAATCTCAGTTTTGCCAAGGGTAAAATGGGAAAATATAATTTCTATCTTATAAGAATATAAAGATTAAATAGTTATCTAAACCATTCAGTAAAATGCCTAATCCACGGTAAGTACACAATAAATGGTGTGTGTGTGTATGTGCATCAGGCATATATAACTTTGGTTTTAATTAATTTAATAGATTACTTTAAATTCTCTTATGAGAAATACGTTATGGGGTGAATTTTGCCCTGTCCCCAATTCATATCTTGAAGTCCTAACCCTCAGTATCCAAGAATGTTACTGAATTTGGAGATGGGGCCTTGAAAGAGGTAATTAGATAAATCATATGGGTGGGCCCTAATCCAATATGACTGGTATCCTTACAACAAGAGGCAATTAGGACACAGACAGACACAGAAGGAAAGACAGAGGGACAATACAGACATCTACAAGCCAAGGAGAGACTTTAGAAGAAGTCAACCCTGCTGACACCTGGATCTTGGACTTTCAGCCTTCAAAACTGTGAGAAAATAAATTTCTGTTGTTTAAGCACCCCTGTCTGTGGGTCTTTGTTATAGCAACCCTAGCAAACTAACATATCCCATATAACTATAAATTTATGAAAATTAAATCTTTAAGAAAACCGTGTAACCTCAAACCTCTAGGCTTGAGTGATTGTCCTGCTTTAGCCTCCCAAGTAGCGAGGACTACAGGCATGTGCCACCACACCAGGCTATTTATTTATTTAGAAGAGACAGAGTCTCTCTATGTTGCCAAGGGTGGCCTCGAACTCCTGGCCTCAAGCGATCCTCCTGCCTAGGCCACCCAAAGTGCTGGGATTATAGGCCTGAGGCCACAGTGGGGCTGGCCAAAAAAAAAATCACATAATTAGTTATTCTTGAAAGCTTATTGGTATGGAAAAATTACCATTTTCCTTTTTCCTATTTCATGTAGAATAAGAAGCTTATTCAAAAATTTATTGACTCAACACATACTTATTGAGCACTTACTATATGCCAGGAATAGCACTAAGCACTTGTAACATTACAGTAAATAGTACAGATAAAAATTGCTGCTATCATGGAGCTAATATTTGGCAGATAATAAAAGAAAGTAAATAAGTATATTAGATAATGACACATGTGAAGGAGAAAAGAAATAAGCAGGTAAAAAGAATAAAATGTCAGGGGGTTGGGAGTAGTTGACTTTTTAGATAGAAGATGACTTCTAAATAAAGACCCAAAGGAAGTGAGGGAGTTAGCCATGCAGACATCTGGAGGAAAAACACTTACAGGCAGAGAGAAGTTCAAATACAAAGGCTTTAAGGCAGGACCACATAAGAAGAGTTCATAAAACACAAGAGGCTAAGTGAGAGAATGAAGGAAGAGTAATAGGACATGAAATTAGAGAAATAATAGGCCTTATAGAGGATGTGAAAGAGCAGAGTCAAGAAATGACCAAGGGGTTTGGTCTGAGCAACTGGAAAATTGAACTTGTTGCTACCTGAGATAAAGAAACACATAAGGAGTTGGTTTAACTGGTGCTAGGGGAAGATATCAGGACTCAGTTTTGGACATGTAAAGTATGAGTTATCTATTAGACAACCAGTGGAAATACCAGGGAACTAAATGTATGAATCTGTAGTTCAGAGGAGACATCTGGGCTAGACATTTAAAGTTGGGAGCCATCAGCATATAGATGATAAAGCCATGACTCTGGATGAGATAATCTAGGTAGTAAGTGAATGCAGCAAAGAGAAGAGATGCAAGAACTGAGTCCTGGGGCACTCTAATATTTAAAAGTCAGGGATATGAAACTGGGAAAAAGTGGCCAGAAAGATAGAGGAAACCAGGAGGAGAGAGTATCCTAAAGCCAAATATTAAAAGTGCTTCATAGAGGGAAGAGAAATCATCCATGTCAAAATGTGCTGACTGATCAACTAAAATGAAGGCTGAGAAATAACCTGAGAAATCAGAGATAACAAATATATGCAACTCATTCAAAGATAATATCTAACTTGATACATAAAACTCCTTTTTTGAAAATGCACATGAATAATGAATGGCTAAAAAGATCTTTTTGCTGTATAGGGAAATAAATTATGATATCAAAGTTATAGATTAAGTGTTCTAACACAACACAATTCCATATTTTCTTTTTTTTTTCTTTTTTTAAGCAGGAAAACACACTCAAACAATTCCATATTTTCTATGTTTTATATGCTATGTAAGTAGGGCACCACTAGAAGGAAAGCACTGTTGTTTTCTTCATACAAGGTCCTGATGAAAATAAACTGTTTATTTGTAAGCAGAAAGAGTGAAGTATAATTTTTCACTGAAGATAAATAGTAAAAAATTTAATTTCTAATTATTAATATTCATATTATGCAGCTTTTTAGACATGGTTTGACATAGGCATATCACACAGTTTTCCAGTCACAGTTTTAGTACAATAAATATAAACTGCCATTAGAGTAATTCTGCCTGATAAACCATCTGCTAAATAGGAATACCTATTTATTTCAGATCCTTTCATCATAGCATAATAGGTAAGACTACAGTATTCATGAAAGGAGAGGCATAGGAGGCAAGCTAGAGTCACAAATTCAATCCTCATATGGATCAGTTAGCTTCTTTTTGCTTCATAGTCACAGATAAAATGTATTCCCTAGCCACAGACTGCAGCTGTACTATTTGTTACAAGCAGAATTAAAATGAGGTAAGTTAAGAATAGCCAATGCTGGCCGGGCGTGGTGGCTCACGCCTGTAATCCTAGCACTCTAGGAGGCCCAGACCAACGGATTGCTTGAGGTCAGGAGTTCAAAACCAGCCTGAGCAAGAGCGAGACCCCGCCTCTAACTATAAATAGAAAGAAATCAACTGGCCAACTAATATATAGAGAAAAAATCAGCTGGGCATGGTGGTGCATGCCAGTATTCCCAGCTACTCGGGAAGCTGAGGCAGGAGGATTGCTTGAGCCCAGGAGTTTGAGGTTGCTGTGAGCTAGGCTGACGCCATGACACTCACTCTAGCCTGGGCAACAAAGTGAGACTGTGTCTCAAAAAAAAAAAAAAAGAAGAATAGCCAATGCCTATACTCTCTCATTCTCATTACAAGTCTATAGCAAATATGAATAATTGATCAACTTTTCCAATAAGTTTTTAGAACTCTTCTTCATACAATTTTCCTCACTAAAAATTAACTGATCAAAGTTAGAATGTGAGACAAAACCCACTGCCAGCCCTATGTACGAGGTCATCTATTTTCACTATTAGCATAGTCATGTTTTTTATAAAAAGAAAAGCATGTAATCTGTCATGATGTTACCAATATAGTCACATACATGCAAATTAGTTCAATTACAAAGAAACTGAGGCACAGAATAAAATGAAATATCATAAATTATTTAATGAGTCAGTAAAAAACTAGAATAAATTGTGTCACCTTATGCCCAGGTCCAATAGTTAACACTTCCTCTCTAGCACTGCATAAATACCAAATGCCAACTTTGAGTAAGGTACTAGGGATGGGTGGACTGGAATAAAAGATACAAAGATTAATAACATGTGATGCTATTCCTCAAGGAATTTGCTATCTAAAGTGCAGAACATAATCTCAACTAATTGTAATAATGGTTAATATTTATTGAACATTTCATAAGCACCAGGCAAAATTCTAAGTACTCACTTAATCTTCACATAACTTCAAGTAACACATAACTTGAGATAGGTAATTATTATTATAATCCAAGGTAGACTGTTATAAATATTCCCAAAGGAGTAATTAATTATGACAATGGAGATTAGAGACGCCTTTAGGGAAGTGGTGATGATCCTAATCTTCATTCCTGGTAGGATTTTCTTGTTAGAGGAAGGGAATGTTCTCAATGCAAATGAACAAAATCATAATAAAAGAATGGTATGTCTGGGCATAAATAGGGTGCTTGTAGATGACTTTGAATACAACATCAAGACATTTGGTCTTTACTTGGCAAAGAGGCTCCATTAAAAGGTCACTGATCTAGGGGAATGATATTAAAATAATATTTTTAGAAAGAAAATTCTGGTTATCAGTGATGAAGATCAACTAAAAAGCAGACAGACAGGAGAAAAGGAGATCAGTTAGGAGGCTAACACAAAAGTTGTAAGGCAGTGTTTTTCAACCTATGGATCATGATCCATTAACAAGTTGTGAAATTAACTTAGTGTGTTGTGATTAAAAAAATAAATCAAATGTTAAAAATATACACTGGAATCTATGCTGTAAGGGTAAATATTGTTTTGCAAACTTTATTCCAGTTTATATGTGTATGTGTTTATTTGCTATATGTATTCATATGAATGTATAATGAGCTCCAATGTATTTCTTACTGTGGAGAGTAGTTGAAAATGTTTGATAAACATGATCTAAAGGGTAGATGATGAAACATGTAGTTCCTGGAAACAGAAAAGCAACAAATTATTTGAGAGCTCCTTCAAAGAGTAAACACGATTTAGTGATAAACTTGGATGTAGGGCTTGAGGAGAGAATATGGTAAGCTAAATAATGGTTCCCCAAAAGATACATACATTATAATCCCTGGAACCTGTGAATGTTACCTTATGTAGTAAAAATAACTTACAGATGTGACTTAGTTAAGGATCTTGAGACGGGGAGTTTATCCTCACTATCTAGGTATGCCTTAAATGTAATCACATGTATCCTTTTAAGAGAAAGGCAGACAGAGACTTGACACAGACAAAACAGAAGGTAATGTGACCACAGTAGCAGAGACTGGAGTGATGCAGTCACAAGCCAAGGAATGCAGCAGCCACCAGAAGCTGGAAGAAGCAAGGAAAAGATTCTCCCTTCAAGTCTCCAGAGAAAGTGACAATATGCCTTGACTTTGGCCCAGTAAACTGACTTTAGACTTCTGGTCTCCAAAACTGTAAGAGAATAAACATCTGTTGTTTTAATTCACCAAGTTACAGCAGCCATAGGAAACTTAATACAGAGAGTCAGAGGCCGTCGCAACTGCACAGGTGGCAATGTCATTAACAAGGATAAGGAGCACAGGAAAAACAGAGATAGTGAAGAATTAAATTTTAAATATAACAAATTCAAAATACACACAAGACAAATCTGAACAAAGAAATATATGATAAAAAATCTGATATGCTAATTGGGTGTAGTGGCTCATGCTTGTAATCCCAACACTTTGGGAGGCTGAGGTGGGAGGATCTCTTGAAGCCAGGAGTTTAAGATCAGCCTAGGCAACATAGTGAGACCTCGTCTCTACAAAAAATAAGAAAAATTAGCTGAGCTTGGTGGTGCATGCCTGTAGTCCTAGCTACTCAGGAGGCTGGGGCAGGAGGATCACTTGAGCCCATGAGTTCAAGGTTACAGTGAGCTGTAATTGCAACACTGCACTCCAGCCTCGATGACAGAGAAAGACCCTGTCTCTAAAAAACATAAAAACCCTTAAAAAACAGGTGCCAACTTCTTGAATTACATAGTGTCTCTGGAATCTTTATTCCAATAAACAGAAAAATCCAAGAACCAGCGGTTACTGTGGATCACTTACTTAAGCCATTCAGGTTGGCAATTTTTTCAATGCAGTTTGTAGACAGTGAAAGCTTCCTTTAAAAAAACAAAGAAAAATTTGAATTAATATGAAAAACTTAAATGGTATATCAGAAATTATTCCTCAGTACTAATACCCGTGGAAGATAATATTTCCCACTCACTCATGGCATTCCTTCATTTTGAAATCTTTTTCTTTTCTGATTACAAAAGTTAATAGATATTCATCATAGAAAATTAAAGAAAAAAACCTCTTTGAGGGCAATTTGATATTATCCATTCAATTTTTTCCAGCTGTAGTGATTCACACTGTAATCCCAGCTACTTAGGAGGCTGAAGCAGAAGGATCACTGGAGCCCTGGAATTCGAGATCAGCCCTGGGGGATACAGTGAGACTTTGTCTCAAAAAAATTTGTTTTGGCTGATGCCATGGCTCTCTAGCCCAGGCAACAGAGTAAGACTCTGTCTCAAAAAAAAAAAATTTTTTTTAATCCATGTATTTTTTGACCCAGTATTTCACTTCTAGGAATATATCCTACTGAAATACTAATACAAATGCCAAAAGATATATGAAATAAATTATTTTTTGTATTATTATAATAGCAAAAAAATTGAAAAAATCTATAAACACCTGTCAATTGAGGAACAGATAATGAAATACTAAACTGCCACTAAAACAAATAAGACTGGGCTACAGCTACTGACTTGGGAAGATGTCCATGATTCATAGTCAAGTTTAAAAACCATTTAGCAGAACAAATATATTTTATATGATCCTTTGTGTAAAAAAAAGAAAAACAGAACTATATATATGCATTTGTGGAGAGATATTTTTCATGTGCTAAATCATTCAGAAAAGTATACTGAAAAAAAGTCATATGTAATCTTAACTGCCCTACACATACCCCAAGAGGTTCTTACTTTTAATAGTTTGTATATATTTTTCTAGACTTTTTCTATATTTACTTTAATCATATAAAAACAAAATTTTAAAAGGGAACAGAATTACATTTCTTTTTAAGAAATGGGGTCTTGCTATGTTGCCCAGGCTAGACTCCAACTCCTGGCCTCAATCCTCCCACCTCAGCCTCTGGAGTAGGTGGGACTACAGGTGTGCACTAACATGCCCAGCTGAATTACACATTCTTAATCTTCCTTTCTTGATAAAAATGTTTAATATCTTAGTAAATTTAATGCAAAAACATAATAAAAAGCCATGCACAGTGATATGTGCCTGCAGTCCCAGCTACTCCAGAGGCTGAGGATGGAGAATCACTTGAGGCCAGCAGGAATTCGAGTCCAGCCTGGGCAATATAGTGAGGTCCTGTCTCAAAAACAAAATTTTATATATATATATATATATATATATATATATATATACACCCCATATATAAAATAAAAGCTAATTTTATTGAACATTTGTGCCCATTATTCTTCTTAGTACTTTACATATATTAACTATCTTAATCATCACAACAATCTTCTGGGATAAGTATTATTAATATTATCCACATTTTACAAATGAAACCAAGGAACAAAAATGTTATGCAATTTTACATAGCCATAAATTGACAGGGTCAAAATTAAAACCCAGGAAAGTTTTGACTCTCTAGAGTCATCTTACCCTTTATGATAAGACTTACAGGAATTATTCATTTTTTTCCATTTGAAACAGCAAAAGAAATTATTTTACAGTGTAAATTACTAGTCAAATCTATATATTTTCTAGTGATCTCCCACTCTCAAGAACTATCAGTGAAAAATGTAGTACAGTTAAATCTAGGAATATGGTTGAGAAATAATTCATTAATTCTTATTTAGACACCCTGCCCAAAGAGATTGTCAGCAAAAATATGAACAGGTTGACTCTAAATGGTTTCCAAGTTGCTTTGGTATGGGGTATAAAACTTTCTATGGGGTATAAAACAAACTAAAAATTTGTTTGCCTTTGAGATGGCTTTATGATAAAAAAGATATTTGACCACTTTGAAATCATGCTTGAAGCCAAAAAAGCACCTTGTGGTAGATTTTTATGTGACATACTGTGTTCTCATCACAAAGAATAAGTTGCATAAGTAACTAAATATGTTTGCTTTTCCCTTTAATCCCAAAGACAGATATTAGTCTAATGCACAAATTCATAAATATCTGTCTAAGAATCATCCAAGTGGCTTACTCTAAATACAGATTCATAGGTTTCATCAGTAGATACTCTGTTTCTACAAATTTGGGGTGGGGCTGACCTCCTGCATAATGTCCAGGTGGTCAAGGGATCACACTTACACAAACACAGGGTGAAGAGGTCAAAAAGACCTCCAGTGATTCTATAGCATTCTACAGCCCTGACAAGAGACAACTGTAGCCTAAAAACATGGTGACAGACATTATGGTATAATTGCTTCAAATTAGCCACAGAATCCTCCTAAAATATGTGTTAAGTATTGAGAAAATAAATTAAGAGAAATTAACATAGGTCTGATATTTAAAGTCATGGGAAATAGGATTACAAGGATTACAAATTGTCAGCTGATCCCAATTAGAATTTTTTAAAAATGAGAAGGCTCTACAAAAATGATAACACTGGTTCTTACAGTGAGAAGAACCAGTGTTCTTCTCACTGGTTCTTCTTCTTTATGGTTGATGTTAATTCTTTTTCTTTGTGCTTTCTATATTTTCTAGATGTTTTATGATGTAGTTTTATAATTTGAAAGGTTTTTTTAAGGGGTATCTCTTAGGCATCTAATAAGTAAGCACAGTACTGACTTTGGTGTATAATCTTATAAGAGAAAGCAGGTAGATCTCATAACAGAATAATAGTTTATTGTGTTATTTAGCTTCTCACAAAAGACTTGGAAATTTCTATTTTCAAACACATTAAACATATTATAAAAAGTGTACTGAAAAAATATTATACTGTTCAGTATTACTCTATTAAGAATCCTATAAATCAATAATCTTTCATGTTTGGCCTTGCCAAAGGGAAAATTACAGTAAGAAAACAAAAAATAAATAAAGATCACAAAAAACAAACATATTTTTCTAGTTTGAATGTTTAAGAAAAGAAAGGGAAACATAACAGTAATACTACAAGGATAAAAAAAGAGAGCTGCCAACTGCAGTGGCACATGCTTTTAATCCCAGTTACTCTCAAGGCTTAGGCAGGAGGATGGCTTCGGCCCAAGAGTTGGAGTCCAGCCTGGACAACACAGTGAGATCCCTGTCTCTAAAAAAAAAGAAAGAAAAGAAAGAAGAGAACTTACTCGCAATTACCAAGTGTGGATAATGATGCATCCATCTTCTCTATAGGGGGAATCTGGGCATAAAGCTTTATTTCTTTGGCTTCAGATGGCTTCTGACCAGTTTTCTCTTCCTATGAGAAAAATTAATTTGGAAGAAAATGATTGATCCCTGATTCTAATGTGGAACCAAAAGAGGCCAGAATTTCCCAGGCTTTTCACTGTTTATTTCAAAAAATATATTAGAATTTAATAAACTGTTTAATAATTCTTTACCATTCACTTATTGGAAACATTTTCTTACTAACCCTGATCACCAGGCTTCTACATGGCTGAATAAGATAACTGTTAGGTCCCCACCAAATGGAAATGAGAAAAAAACATAACTTTTATGTTTGTAATACTTACCTTGAAGGTTATTAATCCTATCAGTTAAGAAACAAAAACAAAGCACAACAACAAAAACATTCTCCTGGGAAGAATTCCTTGTCCCTAAACAACCTTTTCTTAAATATCAGATTCAGACCTGTAAGATCAACTGTTTTCTTTGTCATCTCATCTTCCTTTTTCTATACATAGTTCAGTTGAAGCTAGAACCTCAAAACACCAAGAATTTTGGGAGACATTCTTTTTATACACATCTGAGGTCAAAGCTAACTGCTCTACTCTAATTTACTACTAAATCCTACCCTAGAATTTAATGTTAGTAGTAAGCACACAATTTAAAATTTAATTATCAGTGTATGCTGCCTAATAATATTAATAGTTTCTAAGCACCTCATTACTTAGAGTTAGTTTTATCTCTCTAACAAAACTGGAAGCTCAGGGACCATTTCCTTTGCTTTCCTATATTTTCTATAACCCAGTACAGTGTAAGACACAAAAGAAGCTCCTTTTAAAAACTTAAATCATGGATAACAAAAAGAAAAAAAAATTTTAAATAAGAGAAAAAATAAAAACTTAAATCAGTAAGATGCAGTGGGCTCATCCCTGTAATCTTAGCACTCTGGGAGGCCAGGAGTTTGAGGTTGCTGTGAGCTAGGCTGATACCATGGCACTCTAACCCAGGCAACAGAGTGAGACTCTGTCTCAAAAAAAGAATTCAAATATTTCACTATTCTATCTATAATACTTTTTTTTGAGTGTAGTTATAAAAAAAAAATACAGAGAGATACCTTATATAATTTTCCCAATTTCCCCCAATGGTTAACTCTCTGTAAAACTATAGTATAATATAACTATTGATACAATCCACTGATTTTATTTACATTTTCCCAAATTTACTTGTACTCATTTGTATGTATGAGTATGTATGTTTGTATGTATGTATTAAGTCCTACACAATTTTATCACCTGTGTAGTAGGTTCATGTATCCATCACCACAGTCAAGATAGCTGAAGAGTTCCAATACCACAAAAATCCCTTGTATTGAATGGTCAGATTTAAATACCTACCCCCAAATTTTTCTTGCATGGTTTCCTAAAAGAAGGGAAAATTCATGTACTCACCCATCTGGCTAGGGCTTCTTTGATTGTTGTTGCCTTTGCCTTTAAAAAAAATAAAAGAAAAAACAAGGCTGTCTTTATTGGCATGATTTGTTTCAATTTTCATGCAATAATTATTAGCCTTAGCTTCTACCATTAAAAGGATTGATTTGAGACTTTATATGCAAAGAGGGTATTTTAATTTCCTGAAATGAGAATGATTTATTTAACTATCTTAGAGAAAATAAGGAAATCAAAGTAATCATTATATAATGCTTCACTCCCACTTGGTTTACAAAAAATATACACCTTTTGAGTGTAGAAGGAGCACGAAGGAGGCCACTGTGGCTGGAGCAGAGCGGATGGAGGGGAGAGAGGAGGAGGGCAGAGAGGTTGGCCTTGAACTTCTGGTCTCAAATGAACCTCCTGCCTCAGCCTCCCAAGCAGCTGGGACTACAGGTATGCACCACCTTGCCCAGCAGTTTTTTATATATTCAAAAATGAAGAGATACATGGACAGTGGAGTGCATGCATCGATGAGTGCATAAACAAAATGTGGTCTACCCTGGGATGGAACATCAGTCAGTGGAAAGAGGAATGAAGCACTGACACAGGCCCCCATGTGGGTGAACCAAGAAGAGAACATCACGCCATGTGAGAGAAGCCTGACGCAGAAGAAAGCACATTGCACGATTCTATTTACACGAAATGACAAAAGCACGGGGCAAATCCACGGAGAGAACACAGATGGGTTCTCTCCCCAGGGGCTGGGGGGAGGGAGGTGGGTTTCTTTTTGGGGTGATGAAAAACCTCTAAAATCAATACTCTGTACATGGGTGAATTGTATGGTATGTGAATTATAGCTCCATCAAGTTGTTATTAAAAAATGGATATGCCTAGACAGAAGATCAAAAATATATATATATACACCTTTCAACACCTGATATTAAAATATATCTTATTGGCTGGGCGAGGTGGCTCATGCCTGAAATCCTAGCACTCTGGGAGGCCAAGGTGGGAAGATTACTTGAGCTCAGGAGTTTGAGACCAGCCTGAGCATGAGTGAGACCCCGTTTCTACTAAAAAAAATAGAAATAAAATTAGCCAAGCAGCTAAAAATAGAAAAAGTTAGCCAAGCATGGTGGTGCACACGTATAGTCCCAGCTACTTAGGAGGCTGAGGCAGGAGGATCAATTGGGCCCAGGAATGTGAGGTTGCCATGAGCTAGGCTGATGCCACAGCACTCTAACCTGGACAACAGAGCTAGACTCTGTCTCAAAAATAAATAAATAAATAATAAAATAAAATAAATCTTATTTCATTGATTCTAAAATCTAACCTTTTTCACATTTTAACATTGAAATTTGAATGCATCTTACAATCAGGAACAATTTACAATTGGTGTGGCCAAATGGCAGTGGTGAAATTTTAGAAAATATTAACCATTTATTTCAAATACACAAATTCCTTTTTATGTTTATAAAGGATGACATAGGATAAAAATCAATATGTTGAAATATATTTAAAAGAACTCTATCAATAAGTACAAAATAAAAATTCTAAATTATAAGAAAGTATTTGTTATAGTTTAATTCCAACTTATTTTTCTTTTCTTAGAACTTAAAATAATGTTGCAACTTATAATTAATAGCATCTTAGAATCAATTGAACATGATATTTAAAACTTTAAAGGTACACAAAGGGGCCGGCACGGTGGCTCACGCCTGTAATCCTAGCACTCTGGGAGGCCGAGGCGGGCAGATTGCTCAAGGTCAGGAGTTCGAAACCAGCCTGAGCAAGAGTGAGACCCTGTCCCTACTATAAAGAGAAAGAAATTAATTGGCCAACTAATATATATATATATATATATATATAAATTAGCCGGGCATGGTGGCACATGCCTGTAGTCCCAGCTACTCAGGAGGCTGAGGCAGGAGGATTGCTTGAGCCCAGGAGTTTGAGGTTGCTATGAGCTAGGCTGATGCCATGGCACTCACTCTAGCCTGAGCAACAAAGCAAGACTCTGTCTTAAAAAAAAGGTACACAAAGGAAGATATTCTTAATGAATTATTGCTGGCCCTCATTTAAAAAAAAGAACCCTAAACAATAACAAAAGGGAAGTTTTCAAGAATGGAAAAACAAGCACCACATATATTCACCAGCAAACTGGTATTAATTGAGTAGCACCTAAGTGGACACATAGGTACTACAGTAATAGGGTATTGGGCAGGGGGGGAGGGGGGTGGGTATATATATATATACATAGTGAGTGAGATATGCACCATCTGGGGGATGGTCATGCTGGAAACTTAGACTTGTGGGGGGAGGGGGGAAAGGGCATTTATTGAAACCTTAAAATCTGTACCCTCATAATATGCCGAAATAAAAAAAGGGAAGTTTTTATTATAACGTGTATATCTTTATGTATAGAAAGTAAAGACATACTAATAAATAACCCAAAATTATGTCTTTTGCAGCAACATGGATGGAACTGAAGGCCATAATCTTATGTGAAAAAACTCAGACAGAGAAAGACAAATACTACATGTTCTAACAAGTGGGAGCTAAATAATGTGTACCCATGGAAGCAGACTGTAGAATGATGGACAATGGAGACTCAGAGGGGTGGGGAGGTAAGAGGGGGAATGTTGATAGTGAGTAAAATGTGCATTGCTCCAGTAATGGATTCATTGAAGGTCCTGACTTCACCATAATACAATATGTGAATGTTGCAGAATTGCACTTGTACCCCATGAATGGATACAAGTAAAAAATTAAAATAAATAAAGTTCCCTTTAAGATTCCAACATATCAAGGATGACCACTATCACTGCTACTGCTTAACATGGTACAGAAGATCTTTATCAATGCTATGATAAAAAGAAATACAAACTGGAATATTAAAAGGAAGAAATAAAACTGTCACTATGTGCAGATGATCATCTATATAGAAAATCCAGTAGAATAAACTGACAAATATTAGAGCAAATGGAGTTCAGCAAGTGAAGACCACCACTGACAAAGTTAGCAGTAAAACTGGAAGATATTTCTAATGTGAAACTGACAAAGGACTAATATCTAGAATATACAAGGAACTCCTAAAGTTCAAAAACAAAAAGAAAAATGGAAGAGTTGGCAAAAATATGAACAGATAATTCACAGAAACTGAAACTCAGATGACTAATAAGAACACAAGAAGTGTTTGAACTCATTGAAAATCAGAAAAACGCAAAGAAAACAATGGGATGCTAAATACATCCTCAGATTGGCAAAAGTTAAAGAGTTGGAGCGCATGTAGAGAAATGGGAAATCTTATGCATTGCTGGAGAAAGTAAAAATTGGTTGAGCCATTCTGGAAAGCAGTCTGACAATGCCTAAGGGAAATTAAGTATGCATAGATGTTATGACAAAACAGTACCACTCCTGGATGTATTTCCCAGAGAAATCTTTGCATGGATCCATAAAAAGGCACTTTCACAATATTGTTTGTGGAGACACAATTGGAAGCAATCTAGCTGTCTCTTGTGGCAATATAAATTGGTACAAGGTCATTGGTTTCCCTACGGATAGTAGGACTCAAAAATTCAAATGCCTAAAGGACCAAGAGGACATCATTAATGGCTAAAGCTGACCACGTAAGGACAGAGCCCATGTAAAGAGGATAATCTCTCAGCTCCAGACAACTATTGGCAAGTGGAACTAAGGGAAAAGAGTTACCCTAATGCCATACTTCTTCAAATATAAAAACTCCATTAATTGTAAGTAACATCTTTATTTTATGTACCATTAAGAAAGAAAAGATGCTACTAAATATATGATACTGTATTTCGGTAATACTAAAACATTAAAAAAAATGTGTCCAATGGTAAAACATGGTACTTCTGATTTTTCCGAGAAGCCAAAAGTGTGGGTTTTAATGTGAAGTATCATCATTTTAAAGACATTGGAAGGTAATTTTTTAAAAATGTAAATATTATGTGGGCCTGTATTTCTGGAGGGCCCTATGTCTACCAGTTTGCAGACTCAGCTAGTTCATCTAATTATAGTCATGCACTGCATAATGACATTTTGGTCAACTACGGACCACATATATGATGGTAGTATCATAAGAGTATACCATATTTTTACTGTACCTTTTCTCTGTTTAGATAAATAAATACCATTGCATTTCAATTGCCTATAGTATTCAGTATAGTAACATGCTGTACAGGTTTGTAGCCTAGGAGCAACAGACAGTACCATGTAACCCAGGTGTGTAGTAAGCTATACCATCTGGGTTTGTGTAAGTACACTCTATGATGTTTGCACAACAAAACTGCCTAATGGCTCTCAGAACGTATCTCCATTGTCATTAAGTGACGTATGACTGTATTGGTTCTGATTCTGTATTTGAAAATTTTCAACAATCCCCATGTTTCAAACTTTCATAATTATTTAGGGCTGAGTCTTTCTTCACCTGAATATAAACCTAGGTTCAAGAACTTTTAGCTTTCCTTGACAGTGATTTTCAGCTAAGTGCCTGTGGAATAAAGTAAGGATAGCAAGGGGGAAAGCCACTTTTAAAAGAATAGTGCTTAATTTTGTGGTTGTGAGGGTGGGTATGACTTCATCATTTCAATCTCCTGGGCTCAATTTTTGCTCATTTGTATAGGATTTGAATCACAAAAAGACAGCTAATTATACTTATTCTTCATAAACATCTCCATCTGGCAGGACAATCATACTTTGCTAAATAGCTTCAGCTGGGTATGTAACCCTTTTTAAACTACTAGTTGGAACTACCAAGTATGTAAGCAAGGGAGTGCACAATTTAAGTAGTTGAGGAGCATCACTAGGTAAAATCATTACTTCATAAAAAACTAACTGGATAGACTGCTGGTAGATATCAAACCTAAGGCAGCAGCATTTCTCAAGGTGTAGTGGGACATCCCCAAATTTTAGAATCACTTGAGGTGTGTTGCTGAAATGCACGTTCTGAACTCCCCAATTATACTTAAACTACATAATCTGCAATTCCAACAAGCCCATACTTATGTATACTGAAATCTGAGAAACAATGCCTTAATATATCCATCAGAGTGGGTTTTACAATGTTACCTAATAACTGCACTTACAGTCATTCAGAGGGCAGCCTGGGTTCATCACAGGTTATGAATGGTGCTGCAATGGGTATTACAAAGACCCCTCTGGTAACAGCCCCTTCCTTCATCTCACCAGGGGAGAAACTTAAAATTACTTACATGTAAAGAGACATCTTTATCCACACTCTCCTTCCCATCACCTTTTCCACTCCAATCCGCTCTTTTTCGGGAATTTCCTGCTCTTCGCCCTCCCTTTTCTCGTGTCAGAGTCCCTCCACCTTAACCCAACCTCCAATCCGCCCCAGGCCGCCCTCGCTCCAGACCACCCCCTGCCAAGGCTTCTCTTTCGCCCCAGGCCTCAGACTCCACGGAGCTGCAGACCGCTGTCGGCTCCCGTCCGCTGTTCGAGGATCCCCAGACCCTCAGCACGCCACAGTCACCCTTTTCCACTCCCAATCTCCTCTCAGCTTTGGCTACGAGGCCCGAAGGGTACTCACCATTCTGGCGGTTGCTACTGTCACTGCTCTGGTTGCTAGGGCCCGCCGGGGTCAGTGCGCGTGCGCACTTCTCGGCGCTCTCCGCGGATACCATCCCCGGCAGCGGTCCTTTCTCTCCGCCCTTAGGGTGGCGCGAGCGGGGCATTGTGGGACGGCGAGGCGGCCGCCGGGGTCCTCCGGTCCCGCTGCGGTTCGCTACGCTGTGGCTGCCGGCTTCGCGGTGGGCTCCAGAGCTTAACTTAGCACGAAATGGTCGCGAGATGTGCCTTTCCCGACCCAGAGCAGTTTCAGCTGGTCTGCGGTGACATGCCTGCGTAAAGTTTAAAACTTTAGTATCGCCTCTCTAACACAAGTTGCCCGTCTCATAAAAGAACGTTTAATTTTATTTGTTATTTTCTAACGGAAATGCATGATTTTATTTTATTTTTAATTTCAGAATATTATGGGGATACAAACAACGTTTTATTTTATTTATTTATTTTTATTTTTTAGATTTTTTTATTTGGCATATTATGGGGTACAGATTTAAGGTTTCAATAATGCCATTTCCCCCTCCCCCAAAAAGTCTGAGTCTCCATCATGACCATCCCCAGATGGTGCACATCTCACTCATTATGTATGTATATCCCGCCCCCCCCCCTCCACCTGCCCAATACCCTATTACTGTAGTACCTATGTGTCACTTAGGTGCTACTCAGTTAATACCAGTTTTCTGGAGAATATATCTGGTGCTTGTTTTACCATTCTTGGGATACTTCACTTAGTAGTATGGGTTCCAGCTCTAACCAGGAAATATAGGTGTGCTATATCACCATTGTTTCTTAGAGCTGAATAGTACCCATGGTATACATATCACATTTTAATATCCATTCTTGATTGATGGGCACTTGGCTGTTTCCACAGCCTTGCAATTATGAATTGTGCTGCTATAACATTCAGGTGCAGGTGTCTTTTTGTAGAGTGTCACTGGATCATTTGGGTAGATGCCCAGCAATGGGATTGCTGGATCAAATGGTAGATTCACTTGTATTGCTTTAAGGTATCTCCATATTGCTTTCCACAGAGGTTGAACTAGTTTGCAGTCCCACCAGCAGTGTAGGAGTGTTCCTCTCTCTCCGCAACCATGCCAGCATTTATTGTTTGGAGATTTTTTGATAAAGGCCATTCTTACTGGGGTTAAGTGATATCTCATTGTGGTTTTGATTTGCATTTCCCTGATGATTAGAGATGTTGAGCATTTCTTCATATGTTTGTTGGCCATTCTTCTGTCTTCTTTAGAAAAATTTGTTCAAGTCCTTTGCCACTTTTTAATGGGGTTATTTGATTTTTTCTTCCTGATTTTCGTGAGTTCTAAGTATATTCTAGTTATCAGTCCCTTATCGGATGCATAGGATGCAAAAATTTTCTCCCATTCTGTAGGTTGTCTGTTTACTTTCATGACTATTTCTTTGGCTGTGCAGAAGCTTTGTAGTTTGATCATGTCCATTTATTTATTTTTGTTGCTGCTGTGATTGCCTTTGGGGACTTCTTCATAAACTCTTTGCCCAGGCCGATGTCTAGGAGAGTGTTTCCAACTTTTTCCTCTAGAGTTCTAATAGTTTCATATCTTAGGTTTAAGTCTGTTATCCAGCGTGAGTTGGTTTTTGTGAGAGGTGAAAGGTGTGGGTCCTGTTTTAGCCTTCTACAGGTGGCTATCCAGTTTTCCCAGCACCATTTATTGAAGAGAGATTCTTTTCCCCAGCGTATGTTTTTGTCTGCTTTGTCAAAGATGAGTGGCTATAAGAGGATGGTTTATATACAGGATTCTCACATCTGTTCACTGGTCAATATTCCTGTTTTTGTGCAAATACCATATTGTTTTAATTACTACAGCTTTGTAGTATAGTTTGATATCTGGCATATTAATGCCTCCCATTTTGTTTTTGTTGCCTAGAATTGCTCTTGATATTCGGGGTCTTCTTTGGTTCCATACGAAGCGTAACATTATTTTTTCTATATCTGTGAAGAATGCTGATGGGATTTTAATAGGTATTGCATTGAATCTGTAGATCAGTTTGGGTAGTATAGACATTTTGATGATATTGAGTCTGCCAATCCACGAGCATGGTATGGATTACAAACAACGTTTTAAATTCCTTTCCCCGACAGATTGCCTTTCTGCTCCTTTTCCTGATAGGGGAGAATAAACTGCTTGTTGTAATTAACGTCGCCATCCGACTGAGGATACCCAGAGCTAAACTCAACCAAATTTTCTTGTATTTCTTTACCCAGAACTGTCCAGGGAGCTAGAGGGGTGGCTGAAAGCTTGATTCCACATTTAAAATACAACAAAATGTTGGTTTTACGTAACTCAGGTGTCTTTTTTCTCCCACCTATCAAATTAGCTAAATATGGTAAAAAAAAAAAAAAATCATAGAGTTGTTAGGAGTATGGAAAAACTGGGACGCACAAATACACTGCCGTTTATAATTGATTCAGCCTTTCTGGAGGGCTGTAGGCAATATGTGTTAAAAGCTTCGAAAACTGTGTGACCCAGCAGTTCCACTTCTAGTACTTCATCCTTTAGAAATAGATACTCTTAACAGAGATGTGGGTTCAATGCTTTAGTAACAAGGAGAAAAATCAACCCAATGTGAACAAAAGAGAACTGGTTAGTAGTATTGAATGTGCAAACAGTGAAATAATACTTTTTGTTGTGGCAATGTGTACAGTCAGCAAGCACCTCAGTCTGCCGCCAGGCCCCAGGGCAAAAGGCCCCCAAGCACCTGGGGGCGGTAGGAAGACGCCTCGCGGGCAACCGGCCTGCAGCGGACGAGGCGCAGCTCTGGGTGGAGAATCAGCGCTGAGCCTGTGCGTAGGCCCCGGCGGCCCTGCCGGCTGCCGCGGCGTGAGGTGGACGGTCACCTCCACCTTGAGGGGGCGTTTTCGTCATGCCCCTGGTCATCTAGCTGAGGCGGGGCTCCTCCGAAGTGGCCGGCGAGAGGCTCCACGCCCGAGAAGTCCCCGCCCACAGCCGGGTCCCCGGCCACGTCCAGCCTCCCTTGGCTGTCCGCCTCGTAGTGTGCGAGCGAGTGGCAGAGGCGGCCTCGGTGGCTGACGGCTGATGCCCGCAGGGTCAGCCATTGCCCCGGGGCCTAAGCCTTCCACTTCAATACCCAGGAACTCGTCGGCCAGCCCAATCCTGGGCGTGACAGTCAGGGTCACGGCCTTTTGGGAGAAAAAGGACGATGTGGGCATTGACGTCCGGGGCTGAAGAGGAACCCCTGAGGCTCGAAGCGCGGCCAGGGCTGCCAGCCACACGCTGACGCGAACGTCGCGTCTTTGACCCCGGCGGACTACTGGGCGGCCCAGGAGGGTCAGAGCTCGCGGGGAGGGCCCGCGAGACAGGGCGTGGCCGCGCGGGGATAGATCGGGCCGGGCCCCGCGTTAGGACCTGGGCTGATCCCTGGGGCTGCAAGAAGGGGCGACTTAGGGCGGCCGAGGCGCGTTCATGCTCTTGTAGGTCCTGTGGTGGGACTGCTTGAAAGAGGCAGGATCTCACGGTGATTTTACACCTGGATGTGTGGAGAAGTTCATGACTTCTGACAGAAAGTGCCAGCCCGTCGCCTTCTCTAAAATCCCTCAGTAGCCACCAGGGGACACTATTCCCTAAGCCTGATTGAAAGAGGCCAAGTGTGCGAGGCTCCTGCCAAATTCCTTTCCTCCCTTAAAACAATCTTTGCCGGGGATTAAGAAAGACAAAGTTAAAGTTTAAACGTTTCAGATGAGACACTGAATTGAACTATAAAATGGTAAGGATTGAGAATAGAAACTAGAGGAAGTCCCCTGACTTGAATGCCCACAAAGCCCTAAGACCAGCCTAGTTGGGACGAAGGAGACGAGGGGACGAGAAAGCACAAATTGTGCTTTTCAGTCAGAAAACTGAACTATAAATGTATGTACTCTGAAGAAAGAAGCTCTGTTGTCCTGTGGCCTGGTACAAGTATTAACAATGTATATTTTTGTATGCAGAAAAAAAGCTTACATTTGTGTGGGGGTTTCTTGTTTTTTTCAAGACATTCTCACTTTGTTGCCCAGGCTAGAGTGAGTGCTGTGGCATCAGCCTAACTCACAGCAACCTCAAACTCCTGGGCCTCCCCTGTAGCTGGGACTACAGGCATGTGCCACCATGTCCGGGTAATTTTATATATATATATATATATATATAAAAATTTTTATTTATTTTTTTTTAGTTGGCCAACTATTTCTATTTTTAGTAGAAATAGGGTCTCGGTCTTGCTCAGGCTGGTCTCAAACTCCTGACCTTGAGCAATCCTCCCGCCTTGGCTTCCCAGAATGCTAGGATTTACAAGCCTGAGCCACCATGCCTGGCTGAAACCCTCCCTTTAAAAGTTCTATATTTCTGCTTTTGACTGGCATTTTAAGATCAGAAGTCTCTATTCTCCTCATTTGATGGCAAATAATAAACTCCTGTTTCCTTTTCCTCAACCACTTGTCCTAGTTCTTCTAATGCTGTCTCGGGGATAAGTGCAGACCTTTCTGTAACACATATATAAATCCTAAATTTGAGGAGGAATCCCATTTTCAAATCTTATTCCACTTACCCATAAATAAAATCATAATTGTCATGTGTCCTATTTCTGGATGTAATGTACTTGTCACTGAAAGCATATGGCCATTGGACCAAGAGTTCTGGTTTAGATCCATCCGGCAACCCTGCTTTCTTTGAAAAGTACTTATTAAAGTCTTTCTATAGCTGCTCTCTTGGTGTTTAAAAAAAAAAAAAAAAAAAGTCTTTCTGTCTTTGGTCCTTTAGCTAAATGTGTGTGTGTGTGTGTGTGTGTGTGTGTGTGTGTATATATATAAAAAGAGAGAGAGAGATATGAGTAACCCTCCAACTTTAGAAAAAGAACTCAAGTAATTTTGACTTCTCCAAATCCATCATTACACTGTCCATGAATAATGATTTTGTGCATATCTACATGTTAGCACTTGAAAAAATATAATGCCTTCCTTAAGGGTTTGTTTTTGTTTTTTTTGAGACAGGGTCTCACTCTGTTGCCTGGGGCTAGAGTGCAATGGCATCATCATAACTCACTGCAACCTCAAACTGATCCTACCTCAGCCTCCCAAGTAGCTGGGACTACAGGCACAAGCCACCATGCCCAGGTAATCTTTCAATTTTTTGTAGAGATGGGATCTTGTTACAACCCAACCACATTCATTGCCCACTGCTCAAGAGGAAGCCAATACACTGAGAAAACAGGGTTTGCAGCAGAGAAAGAGTTTAATATTGCAGCCACCACGAGAGGAGATGGGAAGGATTTCAGAAATTCATCTCCCTGAGAACCTGGGAGAAATGGTTTTTAAAGATAGTTTGGTGGGCAAAGGGTTAGAGAATTGGGTCTGCTGATTGGTGGGAGATGAGCTGATAGGGTTGGGATACAAAAATTATCTTCTCAATTGGGAGGTTTCCTGGGTAGGGGTGATGTCTAGTCATCATCTTCATGCATGGGCTCTGGAGCTACCTTTTTGGCCTCTACTTTTTTCACCCTCTCAGTTACTTTCCTTATAACTTCTTCCTGTGATTTCCCATCCCAAGAGCATTTTTAGAGTAGCAAGTCCACCTGGAAGTGAGTTAAAACAGAGGCTCCCAGAATTCAGATCATAGAAAATTAGACTACATGGTGAATGATTATACTCGATACAGAGTTGTTGGGGTTTTTTGTTTGTTTGTTTGTTTGTTTGTTTTTGAGATAGGGTTTCACTCTGTCACTCAGGCTACAGTACAGTGGCATAATCACAGCTCACTGCAACCTGGAACTTCTGTGATCCTGCTGCCTCAGCCTCCTGAGAAGCTAGGACTACAGGCACACACCACCACACCCAGATAATTTTTTAAATTTTTTGTAGTGACAGGATCTCATTATGTTGTCCATGCTGGTCTCAAATTCCAGGCCTCAAGTGATCCTCCCACCTCAGCTTCCTAAAGCGTTAGAATTAGAGGTATGAGTCACTGCACCTAGCCCTTCAACACAGTTTTAACAATTGTTCAAAGTTAAGTTACCTCTAAGAATCTTTCTTTTCATTAGATAAGATCTCATGGGCATTTGCTTGGATAGACTCAAATTGGTGAGAGATTTTGTATGTGCCTAGAAAAACCATGTGCCCTGAAGTCTCAGAAAAATTTTCTTGTATTCAGGGAAGACCCTCTATCCTGGTCTCTTCTGATTCTAGATAGTGCCCAGTATACTGCTGTGGGTTGAGGCAGATGGGTTCCAGTCCTTCCCAGTAAGAAGATAACATGACCAGATGGTGCTGGAAGGAAGTCTTATTTGTCAAATATAACATGACACCCAAAAATGAAGGCCATGGCCCACAAGGTATAGTCCTCAAAATCTTGGCATCAAGGCATTCCTCCAGGCAGGCAATTACCTTACAGTGACCAGGAATTCAGATGGGGTAAACATGAAGGAAGCATATCGACAGGTATAATGCTCCCACTCTTCAGACTGGGGTTCAAGGAAAAGTCTTGAGTAAATGTTCAGGAATGTGTACTGGCAAGAATAAGGCAGAATCCTTCCCTGAAGGGACTCAAATGGGCCAGTACCCAAGGCTCAGACATGATCAGTTAGGGCCCAAAGGGGATATGGGACTCCACAGCAATATAGAAACTCAGTTCTCAGAAATAGGACACAGGCTGAAGCTAGGCCAGCACTTGAGAATTGGGCAAGCACTTCTTAGATTTTTCTTGCTTAAGGTAAAGACTGGTCCTAAAGATAAGATCAAGGTAAGTTCTGGGGAGAGAAGGTTGGATCCAGCAGTGAAGGCAGGCAGGTTGCAAAGGCTAAGAATCCAGCAGGACCCGACAAGGAAGCTGAGCAGGTTGGTTCCTAGATGCTCTGGAAAACCCAACGCAAGTTGTATGAATATGATTTTTATTAATCGTATCTGGTCTATGGTTGCAATGTTATATTTTGCTGTGACTCACAGATTTTTTACCATTGAGATGTTTATGGAAGAACATTTGAATTTGCTGCCAGGCATCCACCTGTGCCCTTGAGTGAGCCCTTGGCTCACCTCCATAGAATACTATTTTTTTGACCACTGCATGCATAGAGGCTTTAAAAAGAGGAAAATAAGGTGGGTCAATACAATGACCTGTTTCTGGGTAGCAGATTATCTGGGGTCTCTCTTTCCCATGGGCTTGTAATCTTTCAGAGGCTATATGAGCATAGAATTCACTCTTCCAGTTGTGATCATCCATGCCAACAATAAACAAGAAGGGACCCTGGGCCTTTTCCAATGGAATAAGACTTAACTGATTGGGTTCCTCCACAGGATTGTTCCAAATATCCAAAAAAATGAAATGTCCTGACTCAGTGATTTTTAGTTTTCCTAGATCATTGCCAAGATTAGGAATAATCATATCCTTGTAATGCAGAGGAGCGATTGTGTTGGCCACACAGGCATTTATAAGTACAGTGGCTGTGATGCCCTTCAGGAAAGAAGCCATTGAGAGACACAGATCACCTCCTTTGGAGAAGCCAAGAAGCCCAACACTAGGGCCTTTCACCTGATGAGGAGAAAGAGAAAGACACAAACTTAGAATTCATAAATGGAGGACATAAACAGTGATATTACATTCTCCAAGTAGCTTTCTTAAATATCATTTGCTTCTCTTCCTTATATAATAATATACAAAGTTCAAATGTATCTTTTAATAAGCAAATCAATTGATGTCCTAGTACACAATCCATCCCCTAATATTTATGAGTCTATCCCCTAATCAAGAGTATACACAGAGGCTCATATACCCTAACCTAAATATTTAGAAGCTATAAATCAAGTGAAAAAAACTGTTAAATAAATATATTCTTTCTCCTATCTTGATAAATATATCACCATAACAACTTATAAGGTCAGGGTCAAATTTAAAATCTTGGAACCCACTGGAATTCTGTACTGGAACATGGCAAAGGGGAGAGCTAGCCCCTGGACCCCAGCCTACCCTCTTTCTCTGCCATCCCTGGCTCCTTCATGGACCTTAAGGGGTTTTTCACACATGTGTGTGGTCACCCCAGCCTGCATGTTTAAGGCCTAGGTGTATACATGCTGATAGACCCAGAGAAGGGGCTTGGGGCCTGGAAGCTGGATCAGGGCTCTCTGGCAGAGAATTCTGGGGTTACAGATACCAAGGGCATTGGGGGTGGGGAAGAGGACCTTGTAGAACATCTTACTTCTAAACATTAGAATGTTTAAATTTGGATAGTAGCGAAGAGTATATATCATTCCATTTATAATCATACCAAAATGTTCTATAATTTTTTTCTTTTCTTTTTTTTTTTTTGAGACAGAGTCTCGCTTGTTGCCCAGGCTAGAGTGAGTGCCGTGGCGTCAGCCTAGCTCACAGCAACCTCAAACTCCTGGGCTTGAGCGATCCTTCTGCCTCAGCCTCCCGAGTAGCTGGGACTACAGGCATGCGCCACCATGCCCGGCTAATTTTTTATATACATATCAGTTGGCCAATTAATTTCTTTCTATTTTTAGTAGAGACGGGGTCTTGCTCTTGCTCAGGCTGGTTTCAAACTCCTGACCTCGAGCAATCCGCCTGCCTCGGCCTCCCAGAGTGCTAGGATTACAGGCTTGAGCCATCGCGTGCTAGGATTACAGGCTTGAGCCATCACGCCCGGCCTATAATTTTTTTCTTATTATCAGATAAGGACATTCTTCACAAAACCATACCATTATCACACCTGATAAAATTAATGATTACTTAATATCATAAAATATACCATTCCTATGCAAATGTCACCAATTGTCTCTAAAATGTCTCTTTATAGTCACTTTTCCTTCTATACATTTACATTAATCTTCTCAATGAGAAAAATTAAACCTAGAGAGAGCAATTGCCTTATTCAGTATCATAAGGCCACTGTGTGGTAGGTACAGAAGAAAGGTTCTCAAGATTAATAACTTTTTAGTCCAGTGCTCTTTGAATGATGGTAAATGATCACAAAGGGAAGTAAACAGTCAAGTCTTAAGCGATTGGAGACAGAAGGGTGAAAATGGAAATAAGATTCGTAGTCACTTTTGAAGGAGCCTTGGTGTCTCCTGGCCTATTTCTAGTGCCCAGTGTCCTGGTAGGGCTTCTGGATTCAGCAGTGTCCACTCTACCCCCTCTCCTCTGCATCCAGGTGACACTGGAACCTACCTTTGGATGTTGCAGCATAAAGTCCACAGCTTCTTCAAAGTACTCCAGATGCGTTTCATTCAAATATTCAGGGAGGTCTTCAAATCTGAAATAAGCCAGAGCAAGGACAGCAAAACCATGTCCCGCCAGGAGGCTGGCCCTATATTCACAAAGGCCACCACCACTTCCAAACAGGTCGATGATCCCAGGGAAGGGCCCCTTGCCTAGAAAATACCACAAACAACAAGGAGCTTTAGACTCTCAAAAGATATCTCAGCTTTCAGAGTTTGGCAGTCAGCAAAGAAGTTTTTGAAGTTGGGGTTTGGGGATGAAAATGCTGATAGAAGAAGGAGCTTTTATACTTTTCTTAGGGCAAGGGGGAACAAAATGTCTTCTTTTCTTTTTTTTTTTGAGACCAAGTCTTGCTTTGTTGCCCAGGCTAGAGTGAGTGTAGCATCAGCCTAGCTCACAGCAACCTCAAACTCCTGGGCTCAAGCAGTCCTGCTGCCTCAGCCTCCCAAGTAGCTGGGACTACAGGCATGTGCCACCATGCCCCGCTAATTTTTTTCTATATATATATTAGTTGGCCAATTAATTTCTTTATATTTATTTTGAGAGTGCTCTGAGAGTTGTAAAGTGTTCTACATATACAGGAGATTATTAGACTATATCTCCCACCTCCTTAAACACCCTGCTCCAGCCTTAAAGAATGCCATCCCTACTGTGCCATGTTCTCTTTGGCCCCTGAATATTTATATATGCCACTTCCTTTGCCTAGAATACTATTCTTTCTCCCTTCCCACTTTTTGGTTGGTTGACTCCTCAGTCTTCAAGCCTAATTTAGATATCCCTTCCTAAAAGCGTTCCAAGATCCCCCCAAAGCTGAATTGTGTTAGATGGCCTTTTATATATTTCTAATAGCTCGATGGGCCTGTACCTCCCTTATCATAGCACCTGTCACAATGTGTTATAGGTGCAAGGATAACTGTCTGTATCCTCTATTAGACCATAAGTACAGTGAGGCCTGTGTGTGACTTTGTTAGCTACTGCATCCCAATACTTTAGCATAGTCTTCATACATATTTGTTAAATGATCAAACCTTTCCACATTATTTAGAAAAGCCTTTGAGAAAATAATAAATTTTAAATGAGCCACATAGTAGACACTGAAATAGTAGTTAACACAGGATTTACTTGACTGGAATATCAGATACCATGACAGGGTGGTAAGGGTTTCTTTGTTGTTAATGGAAACCTTTAGAAGATCCTTACTGAATCAGTCAGTATGATTTATGGAGCTCCTACTATATCCCTGTGAAAGCTTCTAGGAATATAAAGATATAGATATGTGTAAGACCCAATTGCAGCCCCAGGAATTCACAGTGTCACAGGCAGCCACTAGTAAAGGTTAGGAATTGCTCAAAAGCTATAAAAATTAAAGCAGGCTCTATTTTGGAGAATAATTACAAAATTCAGTTCAGGGATTCTATGCGCTGTGGCAACGCTAGCATTTTTATATAGCAGGGTTTAAGTTAGGAATTTGGTTGGAAGTGGTGGGCCACAGGTCTTGTTTCCAGTCCACCTTTACCTAGCAAGCACTCTGTGTTCACCTAGACTAGGGTTTCTCAATCTCAGCACTACAGACATTTGGAAGAAGAGAATTGTTTGTTCTGGAGGCTGTTCTGCACATTGTGGGATATTTAGCAGCATCTCTGGCCTCTACCTGCTAGATACTAATAGCACCTCCCCCTGCAGGTGTGACCACCAAGAATGTCTCCAGATATTGCCAAATGTTTCCCAGGGAAGGGGCAAAATGTTTATGACTGAGGAGAGAAGACTGTCAGAGAATTTTGGGAGAGTCTGTTTTTTAATGATTATGGGGAACTGCCTCTCTGGAAGTTCGATGTGAAAGGAGGCAAAAAATCACTCTCGCACAAGAGCGTAAGTCTTTGCCTATAATGGTATTCAAAACACAGCCACGTGGCTGGCATATGATGGCTCTCAATGATTGTAAGTTGAATACACTCTTTAGCATACAGCGAAGGAAATGGCAATGCCTCCAGGGAGAGACATAAAACGTAAAAAGGGAAAACTTCCATTGGGAATCTATGACACGAGAGCACAGAACGAGATTTGGGAAGTTCCACAGTTACGTGGTTCCCAGGCCAGGCAAGGGGCCGGCGGGGGTCTCAGGGAATCCACCTGGCTCCAAACAAGCGGGGACTCACCTGGCGGCAGGAATAGCGTGGCGCGCACCCGGCCCGCGCGCACCGGCTCCCGCCGCACCCCGGGCGGCAGGAAGTCGCGCTCGTGCACCGCCCGGCCCAGCAGCCGCCCGGCCTCGGGCCCGTGGCCGTCCAGCACCTCCAGCTCCACGGCGAACGGCGTGCGTATGTCGCGCTTCACCAGCCGCACCAAGGGCTTCTCGGGCTCCAGGGCCCAGAGCAGCCCCATGGGCTCGAGCCCCGCGAAGCTGCCGCCCAGCGCGGGCGCGCGCGCCAGGTCCAGCTGACCGGCGGCGTCGGCGCGGTAACGCGCGTGGGCCCGGAAGAGCGCGCCGTTCTCGTCGCGCAGGGACGCGCGCAGCGTGACCGGCTGCTCGGGCGCCAGGCCGCGCACGACGATGCGCACCGGCTCGTCCCAGCAGCAGCGGCCCGCGGGCTCCAGGATCAGCGTCGCCGCCATACGGACAGGAGCCCAAGTGATCTGTCCACGTAGTCTCAGCGGTGGAGCCCCCAGCAACTGCGCCCAACTTTTCAGGCCCCCTCGGCACAGTCTGGACGCTCGCAGGACAGCAAAAGGCGAGGCCACCATATGGCGTTTTGATTTCAGACGTAGGAACAACTGAACACGGTGTGGACGAGATCCTCCAGGGCTGCCCGTTTGCTGGCTAAGTGCCCAGCAGGGCAGAGCAGTTGCTAATCTGAGCTGGGAAAGCCAGAGCCCTGCCGCTCAGCAAGAGCAAATCTAGACACACGTGAACTTGCCTAACGCCTCCTGTATCGAAAACCTGCTCTTTAAGGTTGGGAAACAACTTCCTGCTGCTGCTTTTCTGAAGCTCATTGGCCCGGGAAGAGTGTGCTGGCTCTTGATGAACCTGGCAGGTAGCAAAGTCCCCAGTCGCCTAAGAGAAATTCAGGACTGGAACTGAGTTTTATCACATTATTGAGTAATTCACACTCGTTACTAATTAGAGGCCTTTTTTTTTTTTTTTTTTTTTTGTTATTTAGTTTCGCTTCTTCTCCAGCTAGGAGCGAGAGTGCGCTAGCATTAGCCTAGTTCACAGCAATCTCAAACTCCTGGGTTCAAGCGATCCTCCTGCCTCAGCTTCCCAAATAGCTGGGACTACTGGCATGTGCCACCTCACCGGGCTGTTTTCCTATTTTCAGTAGAGACGGAGTCTCTCCTGCTCAGGCTGGTCTGGAACTCCAGACATCAAGTGATCCTCCCGCCTTAGCCTCCCAGAGTGCTGGGATTACAGGCACCAACCACTGTGCTCAGCCCAGAGTCCTTGTCTTTGAAAGTCTGTACCAGGGTGTTTGCATGTGTTCTCTGTGTAGCTTATCTTTCCCCGCAGTCTCACATCTAAGGGCACTGGCCTCTTACTAGCTGTATGGCCTCTGAGCCTCATTCCTTACTGGTGTAAAAATAGCCAAATGGGATAATAGTTATTATTTTTCATACTGGGCTCTCATTTTGCCCCATCTAGGCAAACTATCTCCCTCTCAACCTGTACTTCTCACCTTTTTTTATAAACTATCAGTTCCAACCAGAGGTAGATTTTTCATCAGACTTAAGCTTTAGGCCCCTTCCAAGGCCTTGTACTTGATTTGACATTCATAGTTTCATATCTTTGTTATAAATGTATACACAACCAGTGCACAAAACCTGTGTTTCCCTCTGCTCCTAATAAGACTGCCCTCAACACAAGCCTTTTTTACCTAGTTCTAGATGCTCTCATGTCCCACTGGTCATTAATCATGTAACTCCTTGTATCTCTAATTACTTTTGCATGTGTTCTGTGACATACTTCAGGTATATTTTATGCATAGAAGTTGTAGGAACTGAAGGAGGTAAATAATAATAGCTAGTTGTTAATCCATACAAAAACCCTATGAATAAATTAAGGCTCAGAAAGTTTAACTGATTTGCTGAAGATGACACAGCTAGAATGTGGAAATACAGGGATTCATACCTTTGTAATCTGATTGGGAAGCCTGTGCTCTAAGCTATTATACTTTGTCTCTCACATGACATGTACGATTTTTTTTTTTTTTTTTTTGAGACAGAGTCTCACTCTGTTGCCTGGGCTAGAGTGCCGTGGGGTCAGAATAGCTCAGCAACCTCAAACTCCTGGGCTCAAGCAATCCTTCTGCCTCAGCCTCCCTAGTAGCTGGGACTACAGGCATGTGCCACCATGCCCAGCTAATTTTTTTCTATATATTTTTAGTTGTCCAGCTAATTTCTTTCTATTGTTTTTAGTAGCAATGGGGTCTCACTCTTGCTCAGGCTGGTCTCAAACTCCTGACCTTGAGTAATCCTCCCACCTTGGCCTCCCAGAGTGCTAGGATTACAGGCATGAGCCACTGCTCCCAGCCTGACATGTACTATATTGAAGATGATTTGGAAAATACACATATATTAGTGGATGCATAAACTGGTATGTCCTTTTTTGGGCAATCTGTGTAAAGATATTGAAAAGATGCATTCTCTTTGACTCACAATTCCACTTCTAGGAATTTCTTGTAAGTAAACCTTCATGAAGGTGTGTAAATATTTGGCTAGAGGATGTTTATCATATTTAATATAGGAAAAGTTAGAAACAAACTGGCAATATACATTTGGTTTAACCAATGTAATTGTGATGTCATATAATGGAAGAGATGAAGCCATTTCAGATAATATAGCAGAAGAATATATGATGAGAAAATTTTCACGAAATTGAAAAATAAGCAGGTTAGAGAACAGTATATATTATTTTTAAAAATATATTAATACATTTAAAAAACTAGTCAAAAACTACCCCAAAGTATTGTTTTTTAAGCCTTGGGGTGTTGTGGGTAGTTTTAATTATCTTTTTTGTCCAGAATTTCTATCAGAAAATCTAAATGGCTTTTATAATTTTTTTTTTTTTTTTTGAGACAAAGACTCACTTTGTTGCCCAAGCTACAGTGAGTGCCGTGGCGTCCGCCTAGCTCACAGCAACCTCAAACTCCTGGGCTCAAGCGATCCTCCTGCCTTAGCCTCCCGAGTAGCTGGGACTACAGGCATGTGCCACCATGCCCGGCTAATTTTTTCTATGTATATTAGTTGTCCAATTAATTTCTTTCTATTTATAGTAGAGACGGGGTCTCGCTCTTGCTCACGCTGGTTTCAAACACCTGACCTCAAGCAATCCGCCTGCCTCGGCCTCCCAGAGTGCTAGGATTACAGGCGTGAGCCACCGCACCTGGCCTGGCTTTTATAATTAAACAGAGTTTTGATTTTAAAAATTGTAAAATATGCAATCATTAAATTTACCATTTTAATCATTTTATTAGTATTATTTTATGCAGTACTGTTTTAACCATTAACAATTTTTTTTAGACATGAGGTCTTACTTTGTTCCTCAGGCTGGAGTGCCATGATGATGCAATTATAGCTCACTGCACCCTCAAACTCCTGGGCTCAAGGGATCCTCTTCTCCCTTCAGCCTTCCAAGTAGCTGGGATTGTAGGCTTGTGCAACTGCATCCAGCCATTTTAACCATCTTTAAGTGTACAAGTCAATGGCATTAAGTACATTCACATTCTTGTACAACCTTCACAACCATCCATCTCCAGAATTTCTTCATCATCCCAAACTAAAACTCCTTACCCATCAAAAAATAACTCCCCATTCTTCCCTCCTCCATAGCCCCTGAGAACCAACTACTATTACACTCTCTGTCTCTATGAATTTGGCTATTTTAGGTACCTGTATAAGTGGAATCATGCAATAGTTGTTCTTTTATGTCTGGCTTATTTCACTTAGCATAATTATCTTCAAGGTTGATCCATCCACATGAAACATGTATCAGAATTTCACTCCTTTTAAAGCTGAATGACACTCAGTTGTTTGTATATACCACATTTTGTCTATTCATCTATCGATGGACACTTGGGTTGCTTCCACCTTTTGACTATTGCAAATATACTGCTGTAAACATGGATGTACAAATATCTGTTCAAGTCCCTGCTTTCAGTTCTTTTGAGTATATACCTAGAAGTGGAACTGTTGGATCACATAGTAATTCTATGTTTAATTTTTTGAGGAACCTTGAACAAGGTTTAAATCTTCAATGTTTTTACTCTTTCAGTTTCATAGCAGAGAATGTACCCTCTCACCCTTTTCTGGGGGTCCACGGGTCTGAGCACAGCTGGAGCCAGGCACTAAAGTCAATGCCCAACCTAGTCAGTAATGCTAGCCTTGCCTGGAAACAACAGATGGTGAATAGCACGACCTGGGTCAATGAGACAGAGCCCTAGGCCCAGAGAGCTTTCCTGCTGTCAGGATAAATTAATTTGTTTCACAAGGAGACCATAAGCAGTATATCTGTGGGCCTGAAATTATACTATTAGAAATCCAGGCGGGCGAGGTGGCTCGCACCTTTAAGCCTAGCACTCTGGGAGGCCAAGGTGGGCAGATCGCTCAAGGTCAGGAGTTCGGAATCAGCCTGAGCAAGAGCAAGACTCCATCTCTACTAAAAATAGAAAGAAATTAATTGGCCTACTAAAAAAAATATGTAGGCCGGGCGCGGTGGCTCACGCCTGTAATCCTAGCTCTCTGGGAGGCCGAGGCGGGCGGATTGCTCAAGGTCAGGAGTTCAAAACCAGCCTGAACTATAAATAGAAAGAAATTAATTGGACAACTAATATATATAGAAAAAATTAGCCGGGCATGGTGGCGCATGCCTGTAGTCCCAGCTACTCGGGAGGCCGAGGCAGTAGGATCGCTCGAGCCCAGGAGTTTGAGGTTGCTGTGAGCTAGGCTGACGCCACGGCACTCACTCTAGCCTGGACAACAAAGTGAGACTCTGTCTCAAAAAAAAAAAAAAAAAAATATGTAGAAAAAATTAGCCGGGCATGGTGGCTGTAGTCGCAGCTACGGATTGCTTGAGCCCAGGAGTTTGAGGTTGCTGTGAGCTAGGCTGATGCCACTGCACTCTAGCCCAGGCAGCAGAGTGAGTGTCTCAAAAAAGAAAAAAGAAAGAAAGAAATCCAGGACTTGAAGTATTTCTTTTAAAAATAGTGTGAATGACTAATAATCTAGCCAGAATTTGGGGAATCAGGAAAAATGGAATTAATTGAACTGTCTGGATGAAGACGATTAAGTAGCAGTGTAGGGGATGAAAGGGGAATGGGAAAGGCCCCAAAGGCAGCTTCTCTTTTACCATTTGTTCTCTCAGCCTGGTAATCTGAAGCATGCAGAGCTACGTGTTCAAATGTTCTCTGCTTTGCCTTTTTAAAAAATTTCCTCTCCTGCTTCCTCTGGTGCTTTGCCTCTTTCTCAGCAGGATTTATGAACGCTGTGAGGAAAAAATATTGAGCTGTGTAGATCTACAGGTTTATTTTTCAAAGAATGACCATGAAATCCATTAAACTACCAATCGATAAATATGATATAATTTCTCAAAGCTCACTTTACAAAGGAGGAAATTTAATAAATAGTTGAAGATACCCTTAATTGAACCCACGATTTCTATGAATAGACTCATAGAATTCTACTCAAAAAAAAAAAAAAAAAAAAGAGGGAAGAGGAGAGACATATTCTGGTTCATGCTGTCTTTGGTAGATCTTTTAATCGTTTGGAAAACTGAGACTCCTCTCTGTCAAAGAATAAAGGATTTGGATTTTTAAAACGTTTTAGTTATCACTGTAGCTCAATGAATATTATTTTACAGTGACCTATGATTCTTTTTTGATCAAAAAATTTTTTTTCTGCCAGTAAATACTTTAATGAGAATCGAGGTCTGTGACATACACAGCAGTAACCGCCCTGGCCTATGCCTTTTGCTCTAGCCCAG